TTTGACCAGAAACTCATAAACTTGTTAAGACGCAAGTTTTTTCGCAGTGTTGAATTCTATCGAGAGTCTTCAGATTGTCGATCCATCCATAAACCCTGATCTCCACAGTGCACAGGTTTTGACGGTGTTATGTAACCTCCTTGTTTGTTCCTAAAGGATGAAGCATGATTCTCACTGCTGCATGTTTACATGCTGAAATGTCTGAGGCTTCTAGTAAAGCCATGATTTAAAGCAGCATCCAGCCTTATTTACCCCAAAGTTTAACAATTGTGCTCATGAGTTATCATCTTGTATTCCTTTAATTTGGAGGAGTGTTTATTTTAGCCTTGGATGTTGCTCAGCTGGGAAACATCCTGCATGTTTGAGCAGTTAAAACCAGATTTTGCTAAATTGGATGCAAACAGAAAAAAACACTGCAGAGAGTTTGGAAAATCCACTCATTGTTTCATTAAGTGCTTTCAAGGCAATAAATGATTTAGCTAAAGTGGTGTTCTTCTTGAAATGGATGTTATTGTAATAGACCCTTTATTTTATTATTATAAATTCAGCTCCACTGGCTCTGAGCCACAGCCGTCCCCACCTGGCCTTTGGCCCACAGAGCCCATAATCACATCAGGTTGTAGTGAGCTCTGCGGTTCTCCTCCTCGAGCCCAGAAATCTGTAATAAAGCAGAAACATGGATTGTTTACAGGTCTCAGGTTTCCTTGTCGCTGTTTGTGGCCGGGAGTTGTGGCAAAGTGTCAGGCCGAATCCAAGTGAACAGGATCAAGAACCCGGTTGAAGAGGGCTATTGTGTTTCGCTGCTCGGACGTAATCAGAAACATATGCCCTCCATCCTCAGCGCTGAAAAGGCAGGCTTGTTTAACAGCGCTTTCCTTCATTGAATACTACTTTAATAGTCGCCCCTATTACACGATTTAACAATGATGTTTCGGGAAGGCTTGCAAAAGCTTTTCTGTGAGAGAGTGTGTGCGTGTCCCATGAGACGACTACACACACCCTGAAGGCTTGTGTTCCTGCTGAGAACTTCAGACCCAAACACACTCTGTCCAAGGTTACTGTTCCACATCACACACACACACACAACCTCACACACGTATTTTTAAAGGATGCACAATATGAACAGTTTGAGTGATGAACAGTTTTTAAGTGATAATAATTTGCTCCTGATGGATAATAATGGAAAGATTTTTAAAAGTCTGTTTTTTCCAAGTTTGTCAGACCTTGTAAAAAAAATGATAATTTAAGGGTCTGAACATGAGTGAGGCAAATGTCTCCATAGCACCCCCATGAAACTTTGAAAAAAACTGTCCATACATCATTTCTTTTAGCTACAGATTCCCTATTTGCAGCACATATCTGCCCTCTGAAGACTTTAACAAATAGTCTCTTAATGTCGTGGTAAATTTTCAACAGCTTTTTGCTATTTTGACAAAAGTGGCCCAAGTGACTGCTTTTTAGGCTATTTCCAAGGGTCCTTTGAATGTGAACTTCAAGGGGACTCATCCTATCTGCTTTCAAGAGTTTTTACAAATAAACCATGAAGTTATCGGAAAGTTTTGACACATTTGAACATAAACCTATGGAGGACCTACGTGCAGAATTCAAAAACGTTTTATCAAACAAAAGACTAAACTTGAATAAACAAAAACTTCCTTCCAAACTGAAAAATCCAAATGAAACAAAAACACCAGGTACTACAAATCCAACCAAACAAAATGCACTAGGAAATCATGGGGACATGATTGACATGGACAATGAACCAACCAGCAACATGTGATACAGGCAAGGCACAGGTAAAACTAAACTGATAAACCAAACAGTGAAAAACACCAGAATATCGGGAACATAAGAACAATGAGCAGAGGCAAGCATAAACACAAAAACAAAAACAAGTCCAGGGAAAAACTGTACTAACAAGAGCCTGTCATGACAAGTTGGAGTTGTTTTCAAAGGGTGTGGCAAAGTTGGACGCTTCACCGTGAAACAGAAAGTCGTTTTTATCTCATCCATGCATCCTCAGAGCTGATCTAAACTCAGCATGTATGTTAAAGGTTGAAGCATGAGCACATTCATATGTCATGGTTCACATATTTCCTCACAGCAATAGTTCTTGCGGTTACTGTAGGAGCAGTAACAGCCAGCAAGATGAACAAATTGACATCATTTTTGCTTAGATCATCTACGAGAAGTTGTCCTTAATGTGTAGCAAAATTTGTGTAATTTTGCCCGAGGTTTGGTCATTACAGTGCAGCAAATTTAAAAAGCCGATCCTAATATTTCAACTTTCCTGGCTTTGCCCAACATCTATACATACATGTAGATTTTTTTTGTTTATTAGGGGTCACAGTTTGAAGACTCACCAAATTTGGTACACAGGGGTGTTGTGGAGTCGTAAGACTATTGCCACTGGTGTAGAGCATGTTTTACCTTGAATAATGAGTGTTAGTGGACTTGTGTATCATGGCTAGACCTACAAAAAAGTCTCCTGGAACACAACAACCCCCCGGTTTACATTTTTGGTAAAAAAGGCTAATTTTCCAGGGATAATTCAAACCACCTCATCTCTACTTTTTTGGTCTATGAGGCATTATTGGCATATCTATTGTGTAGGAGTGAAAGCTGCTCCTTTGAGTTTGACTTTCTCAGGTAATACCCAGGCTTATTTCTCTAACATAGTTAATCCAATTCACCCTAACTTTTTTGAATGGCCAGAAGACCCCTTCATTAAGATATGTTCTTAACCTTCTGCACAGAACTCAATGAGTGTGGCAACAGTGACTTGTCAAAAGTTGACGTCTCGCTGAATAACAGAAAGTTACTGCATCTCAACCATACAAGGGCCAAACTCGCTGTTTTGTGTCACATGAGGCCACATCTGTTAACTTTGATAACAGCATTTGACTAGTACTGGATCAGCTACAGTCACCTTTATCAATGTGGACTTCAAGTGTTTATATTCCCACTTTTCTACACTTGGTTGTTTTTTAAATCAAAGCAGCAGAAAAGACGTGGCGCAGTTTTGTCTATCTGTTTGTTCAGACCCTTGAATCCTTCTTTCTGCTCTGCTGTGTTTTCCGCCACACCTTCCCCCCGAACCTCTTTCTTCACACTTTTATTGCTATCAGATTTGGCTTGGCCAGCTGACCGCTGTTTAACTTTAAAGTAAATGCGGTCGTGGTTTCCTTTGACAGATGTTGGGGAGGAATTTTATCATGTGGCCGCGCCAATAGCTGCTCAAAGAAAAACACGGAGGTTTTTTCTGGCACTGTGTGTTTGACACCTACATTCACAGCTGTGTATGTCTTTCACTGCATGTATGTGGGTGTCTATATGTGTATATCTTGAGTAGGTGGCAGGATTAGCAGATTTATTTTATTTATTATCTGTGAATATATTTGTGTAATGTGTGATATCACCTAAAAAAAGGCGGATTTTTAAACACACAGACCAGTTTTCAGTCCTAACCTACAGCCGGGATGGGTGATATTTTTCCTCCTGAGTTCAACATCTTCAAGCCTTGGCAAAGAAGCAGCTGAGTACATTTTCAGTCCAGGTTTAACCTCCAACTTTTTATCCTGAGTTAGTGCTGCTGTGCTGCTTCAGCCCCCTCCTCCTTCCTCAATGAAATGCTCTAAAAAAGCCACAATTTCAGTTCTGCTGTGAAAACATAGCTCTCTTTTCAGCACAGACCCCGGCCTGGAAAGCATTTGATTGAGGCGTACATGTTTCATGTTAGGACACAGTGGGTCTATTCATATCCTCTGACTTTTTAAGTGTAAGAGCAGGAGCACACTGCAGTATGAGGAGGAAGAGACACATTTATATGAAGTGTCAACAGCTGCTTATTGATTCTTTTCCTTTTTGTGTGTCTGCTCAGTGCACATCACATATATTACACTAGTGTGTCGCTCTGATTTTTTATTGTTACTCACCTGTTTGAGTAAACTTTAGTCGAGATCTATAAACTCAGGGGCGCTGCATTGAGCAACAGGTGGGTGTCGTCTGCTTTCTGCTACTTAAAGTCTGAGTTTACAGTCGACTTTTTTTCTGCTCGCCAAATTTTCAGCAATACAGTCATCTATACTTGGTGTTGACTTCCTTTGTATTAATTACTGCAGCAATGCGTGTTATAGAAGCCTAGGTTGCTCTGATAGTGGCCATCAGCTCTTCTGTGTTGTTGGTCTGGTTCGTCGCAACTTCCTCTTCGCAATATCACAGAGTATCTATAGGGTTTAGGTCAAGTGAGTTTCCTGGTCATTCAGTCAAAAGATATCAAGGTCCTTAAACCAGATATTGTTGCTTTTGGCAGTGTCAGGTGCCAAATTCAGCAGGACAATTAAATCTGCATCTCCATAAAGGTGGTCAGCCCAGGGAAGGATGACGGGCTCTGAAATCCGTGGTAGACGGCTGGGCTGACCTTGGACCTGATTAAACACAGTGAGCCAACCTTACTCTGGACCTCAGGTGAATTGGATTCTCTGCCTCTCTGCCTTGATTTCTCAAAGAAATACGAATTTACTGCCGCCTGTGAAAACCTTCATTTTGGGACTTTTCAGCCTCAGCCTGAAATTCTTTATCTTCGCTGCTTTCCCCCTGAAATGAACTTCGACAGACCTTGTGAATGTTACTTATTACACAGCTTTGTTGTCATAAAATGACCTGAAATTTTTTGCCATTACAGAAAACGCCTGATAGTGATGCAAATGACGCTAATGAGGTGAGAATAATGTGAATTGAGTGGACTTTGTGAATTGTTCAACGCACTACTTGCCTTATTTGCTTAATTTGCCAGAGTTGAAAAATCTGAACTCACCAATCATTCACACCCTGATAGCCAATCAGCAGTGAAGATTCACTGTTGACTGGTAGAGATTCATTTATGTGGACAATGGAGGATTAACTGAATGTGTTGGTATGCAACCACCTGAGCAATAACAAGGGATAGAGAGAGCTCAACTGGAGAAAAGTGAGTGAGGTTATGTTTTCAGTAGCGTTGGTTTGTTTGTCTGTTAGCAACTTTACGGAGAAAGTTACAGACGGATTGACCTGAAATTTTCACCAGAGGTGCGTCTCAGCCCCAGGAGGATCCCGTTAAATTTTGGTGGTGATCCGGACAAAATTCTGGATACTGTGATCCAGAACACACAAAAATAAGGGTGTCGTTGGAATTTTCAATGCTGAAAGATAACCAATGGGCGGCAGAGTGGTGTAGATAGGCAGCACAGTGGTGTAGTGGTTAGCACTGTCGCCTCACAACAAGAAGGTCCTGGGTTTGAATCCTGGTCAGGGCATTTCTTGTTCAAGGGGGGACATGAGCTGCTTGGCGGAGGTCTGCGCTCTCAGAGTGCTTTTCTCGTTAGGTATATGAACATACAACATTCAGGCATCCACGTATGAGCAAGTTGAACGGGTAAATGATTTCATTTGTGCTTGGCATGAATGCAACATCAGAGTTGATGCCATTTCTTCAAGTGTCAATACCAAAATGATGGTTTTCATGGTTTCTTCAATGTGCATTTCCACTTGTAATGTGAGAGAAAGCAGCAGAGTTCTCACGTCCTTCCTAAACTCAGAGTGGTCTTGACTTCTCTAAACGTCTTCTTCATCAGTTTGATCCACTCATGTTTATTCCCCTGCTCTCCACAGTAAGAGTCACCTTTCTACACCCTTTCTCAATTGGAAGTTCAATTATTCCTCTTTCCATATAAAATTGAATTGAATTTGACAGCCTGACACAACGTAGGTCTGACGCTTTTCTCTGTTCCACTATGTTTGACAAGTAAAGTCCAGGTGTGGTGTTGAGGTGGATGTAAAAAAAAGAACTGCACTGTCCTAAACACGCGTTAGCCTGTGCCTTAAACATCAGTGGACAAAGTAAAGTTTATGATGTTTCGCCTCTACACCTCTGCTCCATTCTGAAGTTAAAGTATAAATCGTGATCACTGAAGGATGGGCTGACTCTCACTCTCACTCTCACTCTCTCTGATCTTATCTCAATCTCTTGTTCAGGCGTCCACGGCCACACACAGACTATGATAGATACTGAGGAAACACACCCACATACCCTTTCTCTCTCTCTCTCTCTCCCCCTCTCTCACACCCACACACACACTCATAGCTGGGACGCCCCTCTCTGTGAACCATTATCATTACCAGGTGTTGAAAAGAAGAGATATCATTGCTGGTGATTCATCAATCATCACACTCCCCTCATACACTTCTACTGCTGCCAGAAGACCTTTTTTTTTTTTTTTAGAGAAGAAGAAAGATGTAAAACATTTTGACCACCTGTGCGCCTTGGCTCATTTTTCACTTTTACAAAATGTCAGGAAAAAGATAAATAAAAGGATATATGCTTTTATCAGAGCCAGAGAGGGAAGTGCAGGAAGGGGGTTACTGCACTTCTATACATTTAGGGTCAAAGGTTTGTGAGGCTATCAAAGTTATGATATACTGTGTGAAAGGGATTTCTCCTGAACGATGTTTTTGTTTTCTCCACTGAGTGTGGACTTTCAAATTGTGAGAAACACAATCAGACCATCTGCCAGACTGCAGAGACTGAGGGCCTGATCTACTAAAGGCTCATGCAAAAACACGTGCAAACTTGATAGCGCACGCAAACCTGATCTACTAACCGGGTGCACCGAGGAGTGCATCTGTCAAATGAGCAAAACAGAACGCGCAATCGATTCAGCATGTTTGCCTTCATGAATATGCAGAATGTATGTAGATCATCAGAATGCGCAAAATTCTGGGAGGAGCAGATGCAAACCGAATCATTTGGCAACTGCGATGTGATTTATCAAACTGGTTGCAGTCGCTGTTTTGCGTCTATATTTAGCACATTTGAAAGCAATACACAGCATTACACACGGTCATTATGGGGAGAAGGATGCAGAAGTGCCATGATAGACGCCATGGTCCTTGTCCAAAAGCTTGTGATTTATTTCGTTTTTCTGGTAAACGGCGATTTTTGTAAATAATAAGGTCAAACACCGAATAGACGGAAAAACGATGTTTGTCTTATTGATTTTACATCGTTTTAATCCCTTTTTTGATTTCTAGTATATCTTCTTGCAGCTGAAAAGCACTTTGTGTTGCCTTGTGTATGAATTGAGCTACACAAATAAACTTGCCTTGCCTTTTATGCAGTTTCCCAAAACGACATGCGCAATTCCATGGCTGCAAACACTCTGCTCTCACAAACTCTCCATGGTGACGGCCGCAGAATCCTCCTTTAAAGAGGGCGGTCCACATCACTTTAGCTCCAGCTATCAATTGCGAACACAATGATAGTAGATCACCCGCAACACGCCCACTAATAGCACGTGCAATTTTTTTGTTTGCACACGCAATTTAGCGCTCGCTATTGTGGATCATAGTAGATCAGGCCCTAAGAGTCTTCAGATAAAATTTGTTGTGAATTGAGGATGGATTTATTGTCATTTCTTATATGACTTAAGTTTGACTAATGTTAAAAGACATTCAGGTAATAAATTAGAAGTTTTAATGATGTCTTATTTCATAAAGTCATCCATTGAATCATCCATCCAGTAAATCAGATGGTGCTCACAGGCTAACCAAACTACTCCCATAGGCTACATCGTTCCCCCTCATATTAAGCCTAATAGGCTTCAATCCGTTACAGATAGATGAACCTTAAATCTTTCCCCCAGTAGGTTTGATATGTTTTTACATGTATTTTTGATAAATAACTATGTCCCAAAATCAGATGTTTGACGGTCGAAATGTTTCAAATGACACAGAAATGAAAACTAACGACCCCACAAAGTACTTCCTCGGTGTCGCCTTTAGTGCTGAGCTTTTCCTGCTGTGGTGTCACTTCACTTTCCAAAGACAGCCCGTTAATCAGTCAGCAGGCTGTAAATCAACATTCAATTCGGAAACACAAAGACGCACAGCAGATATTTATTTATACCAAAACGTTACAGAAGATTTCTTGTACCGCTTTGCCCCCGTGTCCGTCTGAAACGCTACGCTCCACTGCTCTATTTATCAAAGTCAGCAGCCAGAGGAAAAGGAGGAACAAGACGGGCCCAGACTGCACTGCGTCCAAGTCTCACACACACACACACACAAGCTGTTTTCATTCAGAAAGTCGGCATGTGGAGCCCCCTCCTCCAGTCCGAAGGCAGGGGGAAAACACGGGTGGTGCGAATTCTCTAACGGTCTCCAGTCACAGAATTTGGCCGACGCTCCTCTCCATCAAGGCATTCCAGGAGAGACAGATAATTCGACTGTTTCCTCCTATTTACATCCTGAGCGAGCACACTGAAGCTCCACCGGCGTGTGTTTACTTCAGAGACAGAAGGTGTGCATGTGCAGGAGTAAGTATGCAGCGCTGAAACAAGTAGTCAGATCCTCAACTTAAGTCAAAGTACAAACATGCTGTGAAAATCCTCCACTGAAATCCTCCAGGTTTTGACTCATCATGAATCTGATTGAACTCAGTGCTGATGTCTCTGTGTGGTTATCATTATCATTACACTCAAAATCGACTCCCGAATTTCAGTAGTGATGAAAAACAGTTCTTCTGACTCTGCTGAATCTTTAGAATCCGTTCATTGAAATGATTCGTTCAAAAGATTCGTTCACTGAATCAGTCAGTGCTTCAGGGCCCAGTCCTGCCGGGTGCGGTGCACGAGTGAGTGACACAGCGTTCATTCATTGAACAAGCCCCTCCCCATCTTGCTGCTGAAGTTACAGCATCGTTCAATGGGTGACATGTTTTATTCATTCACCAAGTCGTGACGGAGGAGTCGGAAAACTCACCTCTTTGTGTGCCGCTGACATTCGTGTCGTGAAGCAAGCAGCACGCCCACGAAACATGCGCCAGTCGTAGTTTTTTTATATCACGGAAAAGTGTAGAGATTAAAAACAAATACACAGTGAACGAACTGGTTCTCGGCAGTTTGTGGATGATGCTGCGTCCCTCCCTCCTCTGCCTGCCTCAAGTCGTTCGGAAGTCATTCATTTCGTTTACAGTCTGACCAATACATGTTGTTCATTTGCTGTGAGCAAATCACAAGACTCCGCACACTCGCTCACTGGCTGCCTGTGTGTCGTTCGCCAAAGAGTCAAAGGCAGCAGTTCCACTCCTGACCGGCACACCACGCTTGCAGCTGAGCTCAACCGAACTGAGAAAGAAACGAATCAGATCTTGGAGTGATTCCATTCACGCCATTCACTCAGCAGTTTCGTACTTTTGAACGAATCGTTCATAAACGACACAACACTGAATTTCAGGACTTTGATCTTACTTAAACTCAAGCGACTCCATTCTGACTTAGAAGATGAAGAAATTGACTTAGACTTGTTTGATACAGACTTATTAATTATTTTTTTTATTGAAAAAAAAAAACTGCTATCAGCTCTGCTCACCTACAGTATACACACACTTAAATGTCACCTTATTCACCTACATTTCCTGATGCTTGAGGAGGCACCACAGGGGGTTGTTTTTAGTTTATTAGATGCCTGCAGTGATCCGGTGCTGTAAAGTGATGAGTATGTTTCCCAGTAAGAGAACCATAGTGAGCGTTTTACATGACTCACAGCACTTAATTGATGATATTAACATCATGCCGACAGGATCAGATGGAATCTAACGTTAATAAAGAAAAGTGTTTTCCAAAAAAAGGTCCCAGACACTCAAACAGCAACCCTCCAATAATATCAAAGAACACTAAAGGACATCTACTTTCACCTTGCATCATGTCTGTCTTTGTCAGTATGGATTTAAAAGATGTAAACCCTCTGCCTGAAACAACATGTGGGTGTTACTTTTTGCACAGCTTTGTAATCATGAAACAACCCAAAAACTCTATTTAGCTGCATTTGCATATGTCAGCTATGTAACATCAGTTTTAATGTTTCTTACAGCTCGTGGTTCTGAGTCTTCATGACGGTTTTTACTCATGGGACAGCCCCAGGTTGCAGTGACATCTGTTAACAATGCAGTAATTGGTGAAGTACAATAGCTTTGATATGGCTGAAGGAATAAAAATCTCTCATTGTTGTCGGCATCTGCAAACACAGACAAATGCTCATTTGTGAGGACAAACATTGAACATCTCCAAGGTTTGAGCCCGTTTCCAAATATGTGTATGTGTATGTATGTGTACGTTATTAGCAGTGATATATAGCGCTTGCTTTGTCAGCACAGAACTGAGGAAAGTAATGTAGATTCTGCTTCAAATCGAGGATTTTTGTCTGTGCAAGGAAAGGATCATTTCTTGTGTCTGTGTGTGAAAAAAAGAGAATCAACAGCAGTTTTATAAGGACTCCACTGTTTACACCTTCTGTGTTTCCCACACTCATTTAAGTTGCGTAGCTGCTTAGATATTTTTGTGTATTATGTTAACTGGTTGTGTTTGTGTGTAACTCATTGTCTGGCTGTGTGTGCATGTGGGAAAGAAGGTGATTTAAGCAGCATTACTCTGCTCCTGAGCTGCCAAGTACCTGTCGCCTCAGCTTCGCCTTCCTTCTCAGTCTCCTCTTCCTCAATGTGGTCAGCACCTGCAGATACAATGCAGACAAACACTCACACACAAATGTGAACACAACATAAGGATGCAGAGGAAACAAGCTCCCATTCGCTTTCAACACCAGATATGATGAGACGACATTTAAGAAGTCTTTCTTTTTCGTCTAAACACTCTCCAGAAAGGTAATCACTACCTTAAAATCCACTTTCTTCATCCATTTGTTAAATTAATCTGAAACTGCTCCTAATAAATACTGATCATTTTTCCTTTTTTTCAGTTTTGTATTATTTGGGGTAAAATTTGTGTCACAGAATTTGCTGGGGATCAGAATGTGAATGTGTGTAGACGGCAAGTAAATACAAGTGTACTTTTCTAAATAGTAAATGTGTATTATGCCCACATTCAGGAGCAGCAGCATTACAAGCTAATATGCCTCAAGAATACATAAGAAATTAAACAGGTTATGGTACAAGAAAAAAGTTATAGTAAGTAAAAATAATATGAGAATAAAGCCATCAATGTAACTGGAATATCGTCCCAGAAATAAATTAAATATTAGGAGAATATCATCACATGTAAAAAGAACAAAGTGGTGAATTTATAATATTACGTGGACAAAATCATATTATGGCAGTTAGGTGTTTGTGTTTTTAGAGAAGTGAAGTCAACTGCCTCGAGCCTCTTGTTGAATCAATTACTTTTAGATGAAAAAACTGTCTCTTCAACAGGCACCTGGACACGAACAGCAGCACTGACATCCTTGCTAATCGCTGACAGGGATAATTCTCCGTCTGTAACATGACTGCATTTCTTCAGCAGAGCCACTTTATTCTCCAAATCTTTTTTCATTCTTTTTTTTTTTTAACCAGTTCCTCTCATGTCCCCATTTTTCTTTACAGAAACCACATTGGTGATCAGAAATCCTTGGTCTTTAAGAGCTGTGGAATTGTTCATTTTGTCATTATGTCTTGAACTCAAAACTTCCTGCAGTTCTTACACACCTGCTCATTCAGCTCTACGGCACTCACTGTTTTATTGGTGCTAATAGTAGTGACCACCGCTACAGCGCATTCCTTTAATCTATCTCTATAAGATGACGACTTTTCAGGTGACTTAAAAATATTTGGTTTATATAATTAAGAACGTTTTTCCTTTTTCCCTCATGGGTGCCAAAGCCAAGCAGTGTGACCAGTCAAAAAAACCATTGTGCGTGAAATGGAAAAAATATATATCAGATTAGCTCTCACTGACCAGGAGGATAGAAAAGAGGAGAGTATGTTTTCAATTTGGTAAAACGCTTCTAGCCCAAAGGTGTAGTCAAATGGTTACAGGTTCACCGAATGAAAGAGAAAGATTTTTGATCAGTGCAGAGAAGTAGCTTTGAAGCTTTTCTGAACGGGACCCCAGCTTAAGAAGTGCCAAAGTCTAACCTGCCCCACTGCATCCATTAAAAAAGAGCAACATTATTAGTTTTCTAAAGTACATCAATCAATCAATCAATCAATCAAATCAAACTTTACATATTAAGCGCTTTCTCTACAAGGAATGTAACTCAAAGTGCACACACACACACACACGCACACCTGAACCCACACACACACACACAATAATATAATGGACATGAGGCTGGTACAGATGAACCGGTTGAGAAAGCGCCATCAGAGAAGCCGTCAGCACCAGGAGCAGAGAGCCGCCTGCAGCCTAAATCTAAACCAATATCATGTATGAAGATATGAGACTGCAGCTGTTGATGACTTAGCAGTAAAATTATAATAACACCCTCGCCCTCGCCGATTTCGTCTTTTTTCTTCTTGTGGGTTTTTGTGTATTTCTATGCAGCTTGTTAAAATAGCTAGTTAAACTTAAGGGCGCCCATTTTAGTGTTCTCCTGTCAAATATTCCATGAATGCAGACCTGAGCCGTAGCGAACTCGGACCTCCTCGCAGCTGGATCCCCTCACCAGGATAACGCACAATTAAACACACAAACGCAGACTGCACACACCCACACAGAGTCAGCTGTGGACCAAAACTGACCGTCTCTCTCCCACTCTTAGCCTCTTTATAAACACTGTTACTCCAACGTTAAACCGCGCAGAGCTGGCATGCTACAATAAACGCAATAAAACAACATGAACGCTCAAATAAATATCGCCACAGGGTGGCCTGAAAATATTTTGAGAGGCTGGTTCTTTACTGACAACAAAAGAAGGAAGGTGTGAGAGTGTCTGTCATGTATCCTCACATTGTTGTGTTGTTTTGAGTATTTTACATACAGTGCAGATAAACCAGGTGTAACTCTGTTGTTTTGTTACTTGATCATTAGATTTGTTTTTTTCACTGTCTACCCCTCATTTTACACAGTTGTGTCGAGTATTGATTCTGCTTCATCCTTACTTAGAAAATATTTAATACTAAAGGTCTGTTATTTCTCTACGGCAGGCTGTTGCTATGAGGAAAACATTGTTGCTAGGGAAATGGCCTCAATCACAGACCCGAGGAAAGTAATTTAAATCTTAAAAATGCTCAGCGAGAAGGTGCAAGAAATATTTAATAAGATGCCAGAATGTGAACTGTGGCGTAAAAAGAAATGAGATGAAAAGGTTGAAGACACAAAAACTGTGAGAAACCGTCAAAAACTGAAGACAAGGAATGAAGTGACAGAGCACACAGCGGGCTATGATGGTATTATGAAGCCAAGTGCCACAGACTCAGACAGTGACGAGGCAGAAAAATTCAATCAGGTCTGAGTTGAATCATGTGGTCTTGTACTCCTTGTTTAACTTGATCATCAGTGGAAATGTTGAGTTCAATGTGAGTAACACTAACCTCAGGCTAATATGGATGGTGCTCCCTCATTGGAAGGAGTGAAACCAAAATACTGCCCAACTGGTGCTGAAAATATGAAATTTCTAGGGATCCAAAAGGTCCTACCGACCAGGACAATGAATGGTCTGGAGTAAAACAGGACTCCACCCTCAGACAGATATTCATAATGATGATGCCAATCTGGGCTTCGGCACAGGGACTTAACTGGGACCCTCTAGACTTGACTCAGGCTCTTACACTTAAGCTACTTTCTTGAATTGTGTGTTGGTAGAGGACACGTATCACACAGTCACGGTTTCAAACTCAGACAGCTGACGTACGTGATACGCACCATAACCTGCTGAGTCACCGGGGACACTCCTCATCATGGTTGCTTTTGAAGGTGGATTATTATACATATAATTTTCACGTCTACTGTATGTTCAGTCTTCTCAAACCATCTGGAGTGTGGGCAGAGGTGTCACAGTCCTGCATGAAACCACAATTTATTTCAGACTTTTCCTTGTTTAAGCAGAGCACTGAAGTGTGCAGACAGATCAAACAGCCGTGTCCAATATCCTGAGGTTTCTATATACAGGTCAGAGTCAGGAATAGACTGCCTCCTATACACACGTAACTTTGATGCTGCTCAACTACAGGCCATCTATAATTAGAGTTATTTCCATTAGGCTCCCCAAAAGACACAACCCTGAACCCCTTAAACACCAACAAAAATGTAAACTATGGGAGTCTTTTTTTGATTCTCTGTGTGGACAACAGGGTTCACACTGAAGTATTATTTCTATGCTTAATCTATTTGTTTAAGGTCTCTTTTAAAAGGCTTCTGCCAAGGCCTGTTCAATTAGCAGCTTATAGCCAGATTCTGCAGTGACCCCACAAAGGCTGACTTAAAGGTGTGCGTGACATACTCAAAATGTTACTTAAGTTGGCAAATTAAGCGACACTTAACAAAAAGACCTGGTCCAGACCAACTTGTGGCCTTACGTACATTTTGCTACTTATACAGTGCACAGTCTGAGCACTGAGAGGTCTGACTGAGTGCCTACATTAGTTTAAAGATGTGTTTTGAGTGTGTGTCTGCTGTCATTCCCTTTAACAGTGTAGGCAGGGGTATTTCTATTAACACAGCAGGTTTCAGCCTTTTAACTACAACAGCCTGGGTGCTAGCAGGCGCTTTTTCTTCACCTGATACTCTCTGAAGGCTCGTTTATGCTCGCCATACGTATGAAAATGTGTATGCGTCCATTTCAAACGATGGCTCCGCCTCTGCCCACATACTCCCATGTGTCCCTTATGTTGGCATGGATGTTAACATCCAAGCCACTACATCCACCAGGGAACGGCGACTAAAGAGGAGCTAGTGATAATGTATATTTTGCATCAGAGACAGAAATGGAGGCAGCGCTGGAGGAGGCGGTGGTCAGTCAGGCCACTAAATGCCTCGCGGTTGGAGGATGGAGAATTCCTTTCACTAGTAGTAACGATGAGAGAAATTGACGTTGATCCTCAAAAAGCTCCACTACTGTCTTCTTTGTTTCTCTCTAGTCAGGGTCAAACACACTGTAACACCGAGTTGAAAAAGGAATGTAGCTGACTGCTTGCTTCTCTAGTTATACCAACTTTAGTAACGACCGCACGATAGCAATACACGGCGGTATACGTCTCCACGTGCCAACCTCAACCAAAAAAGCCACAAATAAAAACAAAAATGTGTTAAGTCTCTTTCACAAAGAGACTTAACACAGCTCACCTACTCTCTTTCAGCAGCCACTTGTTTGTAGCGAGACCTCGAGCCAGTCCATTACGGACTGCTGCGGGGGAATGCAGCTCAAGGAAGAACATTTTAGATCATTTCTTCATTTCTCCAAATGTGGGTACATTAACCAAAGCTAAAGACAGAAGTGAAGTGATGTAGTTTTGATTATAAAATAGTTATTTTAGAGCATTGTGCATGAGTTCAAGCCAAAATGCAGAACCTTTGACTGCTTACAGATTAAAACAACTTCATCAACTCGGGCTAAACTTTTGCTGTTTTATTCCAAAGACAAACTTGCTTTGATATTGATTGAATAAGCATTAATTTTAATATCAATTACCACAGAAAATGAACTTTTCCATACAATGTAAGGGTGAGAGGTCAGTCTGGTGTGATGGTCAGGTGGGTTTGATAGGTCACATTCACACAACCCATCAAGATGGTTGTGTTCAACTGTATTTCAAATCCAAAGTGCTTACCACTTCAGAGTTGTGTTTTTAAGGTCACTGATGTGCTGACACCTATCAACACCAAGTACAGTGCCTATGTGTAACTTTGTGAATATAGTGCATAAGCCTGACTAAATGGTCACTACTTCACTGCAGTTAATATGTTTCTTTTTATTGCAGACATGTGGATTCAAAGAGTTTATTGCGTTTAATCATCTGCAATCTGCCTTCATTTGAATTGCAAACTAGCTGTGTAATTCTGCTGGGAACATCCAAACCCTGCAGATGAGTGCAGGTTTACAAATGAGGTGACATTTTATTCTCTGTCCCACTGAAATAATTAACTGCATATTGCTGAGTAAAAACACATGGCTCAGCGCAGTTGGTAAAGAAGGAAAAATACAGCGGCTGGTGGTACAAAAAATTTTCTGTGCCTAATTTTAAATCAACCATCTATAATCTTAAGATATCAACATAAAACTTGGAGAAAATTCGCCTTCTAACACCCTCATGTGACACTCAATGAATTCGTTCTTGGTTCTGGGAAGAGTTTCGTTTGAGTCTCAAAGGAGGTGGAAGTTGATTCAACATAAACACTCCAAAACAAATTCAGAAAAAAAAGAGGAGCCTCCAGATTGCATCTTTCGTATTTTCCGATCTCTCTTCTCTCCAGTTGCGTAACATGAGATGCTGATTAAAAAAAATGAAAAACAGAGTTCTGGTTAAATCCAGCCACATGCACTCCTCGTTAGCAGACCTTTAACCTCATTAGAGGATTCCATCTCTGGTTTGTGTAAACTCAACCACAGCTCTTTTGTCTCTCTCAGCTCAAATGTGACCATTTCCTGATAGAATAATTTCATAATAATGTTTCCCAGCTCTTTATTTTCGACTTTATTAAGACACATATTCATGGTCCTTAAGCTACAAAATACCATGGAACAAAAAGTTGTATAACATCAAAAGCCTTCTGGGTGTCAGCATGGAAAGATTTGTCTGAGTTTCTACGGTCGGCAGAAGCCACTAATGTGGACCAGAGCAAATATGAAGTTGTTGAAGTCATTAACTGTGTGTGGGATGACAGCAGAATTACAGTGATTTTCAGAAAACATAGGATGATAAAAAGAAAACAAAATAGAGTAAAAAGACATCAGAAATGAATTTCCCGAGTGAAAAGCTTCAGTTTTGGAAAATAAAGCCAATGTGAAAAAAAAAGTTGTTTCTTTAGTTTCCATCTGAGACTGTCTTTCTTTGTCTTTAAATCCACAAAAGCGAATGTTAAAGCACTTTATGAGGAGGATCAGCAGGTAGGATTTTGGGGGACATCAAATTTGGTACATATTTATCAGTCAAGTGGAGAAATGACATTTGGGTATATGAGATATGCCATCTTAAAACTTCGTAAAATTCAGCCCCAGCAGCATATTTCACTGAGAATTTGGGGATCTGGTTTGCTCAAACAAGTCTCTTGAACCCACAAAGTAAAACCTGCCATTTTCAACTTGTGGTAAAAAAAAAAAAAAAGGCTAATTCCTGCTATTTTCTAAGGGTCCAGGAATTACCTCTTCCAAGAAGATACTCTGATCTGCTCTGAATTTTCAGAAGCAGAAAAAGACATAAAAATGTTTTTGTGCTAACACCAAAGATCATATCAGAAAAAAACATTTTTTTTAGTTTACTTTGCAATTGGACTTGTTTTCATGGGGCCTACTGAGATCAACTCATTTTTCAAGCCAGCGTTTGGGACAATGTGGAAAGTTCCAGTTTTGGCTCCAAGTAAATTCACCAAACAGTATTGGAGAATGCCACTTGACCTAAAGTCAATTCAAAAGAGTCCTATTATGCTGATTAGTATTTGTATACATTGGACGCCGTCTGCACAGCTCATTCAGAATTCTGCAGTTGACTTTGCACGGTTGGCAGAAATCGTTTATATCCGACGTCTTCTGCGGAAGGAACAGCAAGTGACTCATGCAACAGGATGGCCCAGCCAGGCTAACAGCCTATGGGCGTACAGAGATTGCGTAGTTCACCCGGGTGATACGCTGCTTGAGCCGAGCGTCATCACAGCAACTCACAGCGATTCTCCTGCAGAATGCTTGCAATGCCACTGTGCAATGTTGGTTTCAGGAAATGGAGCAAAAACACAGAATTACCGAGAGCTTTTCGGTTTAAAATTTGTATACAGATGGAAAGTGGAACCAAGTTGTCCATAGTAAATACAGTCTATGAGACTGAAACATAAAAATGAGTACAGTGGGTCTCAATAAACACTCAAACAGGTTAAAAAAGAATGTGTGGCATATAAACTACCAAAACTCTTTAGAACATTGCAACACTGTTTATGTATTGTCTTTTCATGCATGTTTAATTAAAATATGCATCATTCAATAAGGCAGTGTCATAAATTGATATGCAAATAAACTTTGGTGCATGTTATCTTTTTTTGTAAATGTCCGAACTGTCCCTGATTGTCTCAGGGCATTAAAATGTCTGCATCAATTCAGGGCTCACCTTTGTCCTCCTACATGTGCAATGCAACCAATTAAAGCTTAATAAGTGAGAGAAGTTTATTTGTCAGATATTTCCGGCTCAATGACCATAATAAATGTTATAATTTTTGCACGAGCATTATAAAAAATGAAAAACTTGCAGCTGGTATCTCATTAATACTATTTTAACAGTCCCCGAATCTCTTTCACCTCTCTAATATGACACTGGGGATCACACTTAGTGCCAGCACAGGGAGCTATATTAAACACAAGACCACTGTGGCATACACACCATAACTTCCTGCATTTCAGTGGGGACAAGGAGCAACAAAAAGAAACAAAATCACTTCCTCAGGGAAAGTTTGCAGCTGTATCGACTGTCAGATGAACTCCACTGCCTCTCGTTTTGGGACTTCAACAGAAAACAGGCATGTTTTGTTAAATTTTATTGCATGTGCCCTCACATGAAACCCGAGCTCGCTGAATAAATACAGGGTAATGCCATTTTCAACAATGCCCTCCCGTTACCCACTGAAAAACCGCTCAACGTCCATGTACACAATTATGTCACTTCCTGCATAAATGTGAATGCCTACCCCTGAAGCTTACAGTTCAGCTGACTCAACGAAATATTGATGAACATCCTCATCTTCTTGGCCATCAGGGGCTGAGCCTTTTTTAAAAGAGGAGAAAGTGTCATGAAGGAGCTAAAGGCTGAAAGTTCAACCAAAGGAGACTGTAAAGGAAACAACTGAGAGGGTCTACATCAACATCCAGACTCCATTTGTAGCTGGGACTGTATAAACCGCATGCATTTATGTGTAGAGCAGAACAAATCGAGCTACAATAACTCAGGTCTGAGTGAATGATGGGTCGACTGAATGAACCCTGGCTTAAGGAAACACCGAGAAAGATGGTGAATTGTGGGAAAGCTTTTTTAAACTGAAGGAAAAAAAAATCTCTTTCCTGTTCGTTATGAATGACTTTGTGTGAGTATAAATCCACCGACCGGTCTCAAGGAAACCAAGAAAAACTTGTGGGTTATTTGCAGCAAGATTACATGATTTATGGCCTTCAGTGTTTCTAAAAACACAAAGAGGAAAGCGAATAAATTACCTGAGTAAACACGACCTATGGCATGAACACCTGAACACAGGTATAACAAAATTCAGGCAGACATACATACACACACAGCTGCTGTAGTGATATTATTCATTAAAATGTCCCTCTCAAGGCCACTTCTCAGATTTCTGACCGTAGAAACTTCCATGCTTGTTACAGGAAAACAGCCTCACACATTGTATCAGTTCCTTTTAGGGATTTAGGGATTGATCAGTTCCTTTTAGGGATTTACCTTCACTAAGTCTGATTTCACTTTACATGTATTGCTGCTACACCACACTCTGTTTTATTAGTTCTTATCTGTTTTATTTATTTTTAGTTCTCTTTTAGACTACAGGATTGGACAGTTTTTAAGGGATGAATGAATGCACTGTATTGTAATCTTTTAACCCCCTGCACTTAATGTGATGTAATGGAACAAATGTAATTTTGTGCCTGGCAAACCCAGGTGTAACACGACTACGTGAGGGCGGAGTCGCACGAAGTTAATTTTGACATTTTTTTCGAGTTTGATCGAGTATATTTCACGCGCTTTGAACTCATTAAGTCCACATGACACAAACTCGAAACTTACGTACAAAACTGTGGACATTTGAAGGATTTCCCCAGACAAAGCCAGACAAACCTGGACAGCCCCCAAAAAAGAGGATATGTCCAGGTAAAAGAGGATATATGGTCACCCCAGTTTTAGGCATACAAAGCTTTTTTGTAAACGAAACGAGATCATGCATCGCTCTCCTTAGAACCTCCAGACCTTATTGATTGCTGGTTATTAGGGGTGGGAATCACTGGTGGCCCTACGATACGATATTATCACAATATGATATTATTGTGATTTTTAACATTTTGAATTCAGTGAGTATAGGGATAAAATATATTGGGATTTATACCATTTACACAACTGTTTAGCTAATTTAGTATTTGTTTTTCCTTTATGTTTGTCTTATTTACACTGTATTTTATTTTCATGTAGCACATCTTACTAACCTTTAACATATTTCTGTTATATTAACTTTCTCCAAACTCACTGGAAAAACTGTTGATTTTATTTTTCAATTATCACAAATTTGACTTCATATTGGCAATTAATTTGAAAAAATCAATACTTGGTAAATGAGACGATATGATATATAATCAGACAAAATATCGCGATACTATGCTGTATCAGATTTTCCTCCCAACTCTACTGGTTATATTACTTCATCTGGCTGACAATTTCAATTTTAGAGATTGGAAAAATACAGTACATCTGTTTTAAAGATGTTTTAAACCATCAACATAGATTGTTTACTTCAGTGTTTACTGTTGTAATTCATTATTTTTGATGGCTTTCTGCATAAAAACAACCTTGAGTCTCAAAAAGACTTTTCCGAACAGGCTTTTGTCAGTTTTGTCTAAATATCAGTCGTCTAACGGTCAGTATAGTAGATGGTCTTCAGTTGTGTTATGCACAAGTTTTAGATTCAATCTTATCATTTCAAACACTCAAGAGAAATTAATGATTAAAACCCTTTTCACCTCACATGTAGTGAAACAGCTCTTACAATGAGGGGCAGAAATCTGCACAGCAACCTTCAGCCCACCTACCTCCGTGTGTAACTCTTAAAGTGCAGGCTAAGTGTGTTTTTATCTGTTCATCTGAACTTTGGCTGCAGCTGCTGCTCCTCAGAGATTTCTTCCAACAAAGCCGGCTTTATCCCATCCTGTCAACAATGTTAGCCCCACTTCTATAACATAGTGTTGTATTGTTGAACTCAGACCTTCAACATCACGGTTGGTTGTTCAGGAATTTAAAGAAAAGTTCAAAAAGGTCCATTTCAAAATCAAATATGTGGGGTCAGCACAATGGTGCAGCCGCTGCTTGCATAACTTGAGTTTCTAATATTTGGAGAAACAAACTAATTTGCTGATTATTGCATTACAATTTTCCAAAACTTCTCCATGTCAGTCCCAGGTGTTTCACAGCGTTCAGCTACACCCACCTTGTCCTTTTCTATCCAAATATTCACTCCTCTGCTGTGTGCATACATACTGTGTGCACAAAGTGGACTGCTGCTGGGACATCACCCATAGGTTCCTGACCAGTGTTTTGACACCTCTGATTTTGCCTTTTATATGCTGCAAGTTTGGCTTTTTCTCTTTGGGGTTAAGTAGACTAAGAAATAGGGACTGAGCTCATAAAACCACAGTGAATATTTCTGGTAATGTGGTGCATTTAATGGGAAGTGGTGGCATTTCCCAGCTGCCTTACATACAATCAAAATTACTTTGAATTTATTTTTACCATTAATTGATTGGTATTTATTATAAGTGCAAGGATGCAAACTACGGGTTTGAGTAAAAAAAAAAAAGAGGAAAATAAGTGTATATAATGGTCCAGGTGCAAGATAAAGCCACACTAATGTGAAATGTGTTGACAATGAACTCCAGCCTTCCCAAATAAGGATGTAAATGATTGATTGATTGATTGATTGATTGATTGATTGATTGATTGATTGATTGATTGAAGTTTATTTTGAACATATAAAAAAGACATAACAACAAAAAAGTAAAGAATACAACAATAAATGACAAAAAGTTATTTGAGTTCAAAAAAGAGTGGGAAGAAGCCGAGACTTATGACCTAGTTTCATTTAAAAGCTAGTTCTGCATTCTTTAAAACCTGACAATAACATTTGAGTTTATCAAGTCTGCATTATCTCATGTGGGTTAGTTAATCAACCAACCAACCGCAAACACAATGTTTGCAGAACTTCTAAAACTAGCATAAAGTAACATACTCCAGGACCTGAGGTAAACAGTTTCGCGGCGCTACAACACAGCAGGTCTCATTTGACAAGAAACACTTCTGTTACAGACACTAGGCTTAATTTGTTACAGCAGAAAGATTACAGGGTCTGTAAGATCCCGAAGCGTCTCCCATCATTTGACTAATGTTGACCCGGCTTCTTAGCTCTTATCCGGTCTACCTCCGTTTTCAGCGCCCATTATTCCGCCAGAGTCTCCGGTATTTAGTTTGTTTTCTTGCTGGTGTTGGCAGTCGTGGTCAAAGTAGGATTCAGACAATTTTCCGTACTTTCTAGTTGGTTTCTACTGTCCGATATTGTATCATGCTAACTTTGTTTGGGCTCGTGAACGTTATTCAACGACATGGAGCGTGCCTCACAACATGGGAAGCAGCATTTGCCTCACAACCAATAAGCACTAAGAAGCAGCGTTGGGGGAGGTGGAGAACGGCTTTCTTTACAGTCAGAAAGAGCGGGGCACTCAAAAAATTTAAAATGTTGACTACACAGACATAACAAAACACAGCGATATCATTATATTATCAAATGTCATCAATAACTAATAGCTATTGACTGATATTAAAAGCTTTTTTGTATATACACCATAAAAGAAGATGCTTCTTTAACGGATTTCTGCCTACCCCACCTTCAACAAAAGAAGCAGTAAGAAGCTGCTATTTCGGTGCTGCTATTGGGCCAAGTGCTGAACAACAAGGTCCAGGTTTTAAACTTATTTCAGGGTATTGTTCTCAGACTGTGGGCTCAAATGTTCACACAGTTGCACTAATTGTGGTTTATTTACAAGTTTTATAGCTTTCAGGTGGGCTGGAGTTTCAGCAGGACTAATTTGTTATACCTGCAGTGGTTCTTCTTCTGTCTAGCCCCTGCTCTGATAGGTTCCAGCACTCATGACCCTGAAAGCAATTGAGCACGTAAAGGCAATTTTATCCACTGAAGTCAGGCTTTAAGAGTATTTGCTGTTTTAACGGTGAGTCACATTTTGCTTTGCTTCAGTGCCAGCAATTTGTTTTCACCAGTGGATGGATCCGTTTGGAATCAATCGAAGGACTTTCCAATAACAATTGGTTTAAAACGGCTCTTGAGTTTTACGCTAAATTTATCCACACTGGGCTGTGGTGAACTAACGTCTGAGACTGGATCAACAACATCAAGGAGCCAAGAAATAAGGAATGATAATAATGGGGCATTTTACCTGATTGTTGCTAAGCTGCCCTGCCAAACATATACCATCATCATCAGCCACCCTGCCAAACACATGCACACACACAGACACACACACACACACACTGATACACATTCCTGCAGACAGACGTTCAGCTTTTGGATTGCAGTATAATTCCCAGGTGACGCCTATGATGCCTTACACCTGCTAGTGAATGCAGTCGGTTCTACTTCCTCCGATAAATACTCAGCAGCCACCCTCTGCCCTTTCCCATGGATCAGAGGAGCCAAGATGACCCTGAAATGATCCTAACAAACCTCAGGTCTACGTTCAGGTTTCTTCATCTGCAAGCTGATGACATCCAGTTACAAAACAACAACTTGAAACTAAGCAATCAAAATAAAAACATCATTAAAATAAATTTTACTCGGATAACTTGATAAATAACCCCTAGAAAAAAACTAAGGTAAAAGCAAGTATCAAATCAAATAAAAAGAGCTGTTAAAAAATTCTTCAACAAGTGTTTAAATATCGGAAGAAATGGTTCTTTAGCTGCTAATGGTTAGCACTGTGGCCTCACAACCAGAAGGTCATGGGTTCCAATCCCAGGCAGGGCATTTCTTGTTTAAGGGGGGACATGAGCTGCTTGGCGGAGGTCTGTGCTCTCCAAGTGCTTTTCTAGTTTGTTTGTTTGTTTGTTTGTCTGTTAGCAACTTTACGGAGAAAGTAACAGACGGATTGACCTGAAATTCACCAGAGGTGCGTCTCAGCCCCAGGAGGATCCCATTACATTTTGGTGGTGATCCGGACAAAATTCTGGATACTGTGATCCAGAACACACAAAAATAAGGGTGTCGTTGGAATTTTCAATGCTGAAAGATAACCAATGGGCGGCACAGGGGTATAAATAGGCAGCACAGTGGTGTAGTGGTCAGCACTGTCGCCTCACAGCAAGAAGGTCCTGGGTTCGAATCCAGGTCAGGGCATTTCTTGTTTTAGGAACATTTTGAATGGTGAACACACCAGTTTAAACACAAATAAACGTTAATAAAAGACACGCAACAGTTAAAGTTTTGGTGTGAATCACAATATAAGGGGGGACATGAGCTGCTTGGTGAAGGTCTGCGCTCTCCGAGTGCTTTTCTAGTTCACATTGGGCAGAGATTTCCCTGGATAGAGATTGGACTTAAACGCGACCGAGTCTCATTGGCAAGTTATCTCCAGCATGAACAGGCCAACCACTGTTCACGTGGTCTTAGTAAAATGTGTTATGAAATATGTGTGTGTTGTTGACCTTGAGGCATGCGTCTACTGTAGCAAAACAGAGAGAGCCTTGTGGATCATCAGGTTCCTCCTTATCAAGCGAGATGTCACACTGTTCTGATTAAATGAAAACAACCTGTGAGTAAATGAAAACACTTATTAAATTGCATCAGTTCAGTGAAAAAGGACAGCAAAGTAAAACACAATTATTTTTTTTACACCATGTTTTGCTCAGTGATAGTAGTGGGAAAAAAGCTTTTCTTGCACTATTTTGTTTTTCACTTTGAACCTAAAAACCTTTGTCCAGAGGGAAGAGCAGCGAATTTGAAGGGTGGGAGTCATCTTTGAAAATACAGGGACTATCAGCTGGACCTGAATGGTGTAAATAGATTTGGGGCATGGCAGTGACTCACAAATCAGGGAGAGAACTTTTTATTACTATGGCTCAAGTCTGAGGAACAACTTGAAGACCTGATGACTGCTCAGTGTATCAGTTCTTTCTAAAGCAAACTCAAGAGCCTCAATTTTACTTTTTCTTATCTTAAATCAAACACAAGGACACCAAAACTATGGGCTCAATATGAAAAGTTCAAACATGACACAACAAAGGTGAGACAACAGTGCTGTTTTGGACGAGGTGTGTGATTTGTTCAGATACAAAGCTGTGGCAAAGAATTTAGGGAAGGATGAAAAGACAACACAAGATGTTGAGGGATAAGATGTAAGAGGACACAACATGCCTACTTATAGATACAAAGACACATACAAAGGGGAATCGAGAAATAAAAATACTGACTTCAAAAAGACACTATTACAAAGACAAACAAAATAATAAAGATGCAAAACAACTCCAGTGAAAAGCAAAATGAATCAGCAGAAATGTACAATCTTGAACAGAAGCAATTTAACTGCAAAAAGGTGAAAAATGACTTAATTATTATTAAAACAGATGATTTGAAAAAATGAGTTTTAATGAGAAGCAAAAGAAGAAATCTTCGGACCTTTTATGTTGCAGGATAGGTTATAAACATCTCATAATAAAGAGGTAATGACAGATAAAATGCCACCCGTCATGTTTAAAAAAGAAGTGTTGAACTCAGCTGTGCAGTCAGCGAACGTGAACATCCTCACGTAGCACACTCTGCCGTAAGGTTTGAACCTGTGCTGTTTTGGCATCGGGGCCGACCCTCTAACCTGCAGCCAGGTTACATAAAAGCCAGACCCACATATAACCACCGTCTTTGTTAGGAGGTGATGGAGCCACAAGAGCCCCCAGCACCCGGAGGTGTTTACTGGAGGCAGCAGCTATGGGAGGGATGCCCAAAGAAAGAGGCTCATTCACCTGAGGCTGTGAGGGGGAGACAGAGGGGGAGGGTGCTGCTTAAAGGGGGTATGACAGAGGGAAAGGTGAGATAGAGAGATAAGATGGAGGAGAAAGTCAGGATGAGAAAGTGAGAGACAAAGAGAGTAAATAGAGCTCTAAAGAGATAAAAAGATAGAAAGGTAGGGGAAGTTTTCAGTTTGCTTTTTCATGGAGTTGCCTAGGGGTTTCAAATTGTTTTTTAAGCACTTCTTTAGTGGATATTTCAGTGGGAGTATAAGCCACAAAAGATGATGGGCAGTTCTGCCCTTTGAATAAGAAACTGCTGAGAGAACCTGCATGCAAGCTAGGTGGCAGTTTTCTGCAGAAGGGGCCGACTCTGCTGTGTAAAACTTTGAGAGACTCTGACCCAAGCACTCAACTCCGATAAAGTCTACGCTGCAATCAGGATTTTACAGCATTTTACTTTGTCATAAGAAAACATTGTTTTTTTGCACTGTTTGCCGACACAACACACAAAGTGGGTTGTTGTTTGGTCCGTGGGCTTCCAAGAGACAAAATACAACCAAACTCAATATCTGACAGTGCCAGTGACATGCTGAATGCTCATGTTTACATTCATGGACTGCAAATGGAGATGATCAGTCAGAAAAAATGGATACTACTACAGGGGTAGGAGTTGTGCAAAATTTTGAGGGTTTTTCGGCAAATTAATGAAAACACGTTCCAGGTTTGTCATCTTTTTTTTTTAAGAAAAAAAGGTGACATTTTGTCTCATCTTTTTTTTTTCCTTTTCACTGGCCAAAACGGGCTTCCATACAAAACCCTGGACCTTTGAAGAATTTTATGAACTCCCCCCAGACAGGCCGTACAGCCCCCCGAAAGAGGACATGTCCGGGTAAAAGAGGACTTATGGTCACCCTTAGAGTCTTCATACACAACACTGTCTATACTGATAGTATATGTCCTAGAAACAGGAAGCAGATCATTTTCAGTGCTGACAACCCAGAGCCCCGAGTGCAGGTTTTGTGTGTTCACACAGTCTCAGACATCTTAAGGTAAAATAATCCTACTTTAAGACGCTGATCAGAGCTCGTTCTCCGTGAAACGATGGTTTGATTGTCCCTAGTTTCGTAACTTTCTCTGTTGTTGATTCCTACTGAGTGCGACCTCTTGACTTTTACCCAAACTAAACACAGACATTTGTTTCCAATGAAAACACAAGCGGAACAATTCAAAACAGAGGCTCGTAGCAGCATTCTTTGGTTTTTGAGATTAAGATGAAATGTGTCTGTGCGCCATCGGTCGCCACAGAAATGACTCTGTTTCTCTTCTGCGCTCTTTCTCAGCAGAAGAGAACAAAAGAATGAGGATTATCTGTGGACTGAATTCCAGCTTTCAGTTCATACATCCTGTTGTCCATTTTAGATTTTTTTTTTCCTCTTTAAGGTAAAACATGAGGTTTTATCCTTTTATTAGTGTTATTGAACAACAATCCAACAACAGTTCAAGAAAAGTCTGGATATGAGTTTGAAAATTGTGCAAAGACGACACATGAAATGCCGGGTCTAAAAACTGTTTTTTTTTTTAGATATACTAATTTTAGATCTGATTTCAGTACATGTGGATGTGCCCTTTTTCCTTGATACAGTCTGGCTTTTGGTTCTTCTCTGCTGAACAGAGGATGTTGTTTCCAAAAGGGTGCCAAATTTCATATGCGGATCCCTTTTTGTGTGTTACAGTTTTAAGCTGCATTTCAGTGAGGAACCAGAATCATGTCTGAGTGTCCACCTGGGGGTCTTAAGATCACAGTCTGAGCCTGCCATTGGAAAACACATTTGACCCCTCTAATTCGCACTTTATAAGTCATGTAAGACATCGATATGAACTAAAATAGCACAACACACTTGTTGAATAAATAAGACACCTGTCCACACACACAAAAAAAACACTTTTATTCATAACTTGCCAAAGATCTCATTAACGTACAATAGTGTTTACAGTTTGTGAGAATATAGATAGTTTGCTCCTCTTCCTGGTTTTGAACACTTACTTCGACTTTAATTCTCTGATACAAACGCGCAGATGTTTTATTTCAACATTCGATGAGGTCCTTTTGCAAACCCTTCATTGTCCTGTGATAGATTTCTGTTTCTGTATTGTTTTAATTGTCTTTTGCCCAAAGACTGAAAGAATGAAAACATTCATAAAACAGAAATTAGCCTCAGCAGACATCCAGTAGACATTATGCCAAGTAAATCCTCCTCCTCCTTAACATGTGGCATCTGTCTGTGAATGTGTCACGTGATGCATGTGAACATTTTAAAGCACAATTATCAGCCACAGGTGCAAGTGAGCTATAACCTTTTATACAAATTTTCAGGAAATACAATGAGCAGTTTGACACCTCCTCATATAAAGCTATAAATACTGGTCTGAAATTGGACCATTGAGATCAAGGAAGCGCTGATAAAAGTCTCTGTGTGCATCAATCAGACACAGGCAGCAGCTGAGAACCTCGTTCTCTTTCTTACTGAGAAAAATGCCAACAAATTTGAACTAACACAGACATTATGTTTGACAGCATGATAGGAAGACTGACGGGGTGTTTGGAGCTGATGAAACACAGAAAACAGTGAGGTAAATACTGGACAGTTTGGTCACAAAGTACTTTTGGTCTGTTTGGAGAAAAGTGACAGCTGTGAGGACATCAACAGTTCCTGTGTTTTCTTTTTATCTCGGTCTCTGTTCTTTGCTCATGTGAAACAGAAGAGCTTAATTCAGCCCACTGTGGCAGAGCTCCATTCAAACATCAGTCAAGTTTAACCGTGACTAATTCTAAACGAACGGGACACTTCGGGTCAACTCTGACATCTTTTAATGTTTGCAGGGAGGATTTCAAAGCATGTCTCTCTCCTGACTTTAATCTGAAGTCAAGTTCTGCTTCTGATCAAGTCCTTGTCCTGTGCAATAACTTTTTGGTCTCATTGTTTTACCATGTGGCTGAAATCAAACTCACATTCCCAGAGCCTAGGATTGTAACTTTCACAATTTACTATTTTCAACATACAACTTGAATTTTTAGAGTTTCAATTTAAAGGAATTAACAGCCTCAATTGATATGACTTCAATGAACAACTTTGGGCGACTAAGTTGGGCCTTGTCTGTCTGTCTGCCTCCTCATGTTCAGCCTTATGTAGGTGCTCCTTGTTGTACGCTGAATGATTTGAGGTCTGTATATGAGTCTAAGGAAGTCCTAAATCAGTTTGTCAAAGTGTATAATTGGCTGAGAAGTTGAGGAACAAATCATTCAAAGAATAAGTGTGTGTATTTGTGTCAGATGATCATCAGATATCATCCTATTGTCTACTATTCACAAGGCACTCTGTTCTAATTGAGACGATTTTCTATCGTATTGTGAAAAACGTGTTCACGGGATGACACCTTCTTCTCCATGGGAAAAACTATTTTATATAATGATGTTTTGAACCGGAAGAGTGGCACACAGTGGGGTAAAAATATTGGCAAAGGTAGTGAGGTGACCCTATACTCACTTCTTCTCTCTAAGTATGTTCTAAGTATCTAAGATCGTTTTACTTATCTGTTAATATTGTGGATAGGTTTAATCATTCATACGGTTGATAAAAAGGTCAAAATATGGTGTCTGAGAGCTCATTTTTTTAAAGACACTGTATTGCAATCATAGACCGTATATACTATGGACAACTTGCTTCTGCCCTCCGCCATTATACGGATTTGAAGCCGAAAAGCTCTCGGCATTTCCCTTTTTTTTTCTCCACTTCCTGAAACCAACATTGCGCAGTAGCGTTGTACACACTCCACCACTTGCGAAGAAGGATTGTATGCATTTGATAGGAGAGTCACTGTGATGATGCTCGGCTCAAACAGCGTATCCCCCAGGTGAGCTACGCAATCTTCGTACGCCCACAGGCTGTATCAGGTGTCAATCATAGAAAACATGAACCCCCCAATAACTTTTAAAAATGGAGCTGTACAGAAAAAAGCACAAACTAGTCTTACAGTAACTACATGTCAACATCACAATCAGGGGGGAGAAAAATGTATATTCTGTGTAATAAATTTCTAAAGTTTGTCCACAGTTCCATAGGGATTGCTGGAGGAGGCAGGATTTATGACCTATACTGCAGCCCGTCATCAGAGGCCGTGTTCTCAGGGTGGCTTCACCCAGCGAGGAGGCAGACGGTGTCCATTCTATATACAGTCTATGATTGCAATCATTGAACATAACCCAACGCTGAGTTTACAAACAGACAGAGGCTCCAGGGTCTGAGAGGGAAACAAAAATAAAGAGAATAAAGTAAATAAAAAGCGTATAGTGGGTTTTAATCTTGGATAGGACTACAAGGAGCTTTGTGTGATCAGTGTGGTCTGGTAGAAATTTGGGGTCAGACCCCCTGAAATATTCTACAAATGTCCCAGAGTGCATGTCTGACAACAGCTTAAGAGACTTATCACCGTGGTTATGAGCTCCAAAGTGCCTCGTGGTTAGTTAGCAGGTCTTTAGGCACAGCTGTTTCAAAGCTCAGTATGAAGCAGACCAGGGCAGTCTGCAGAAAAAGTTTGTAGATTTCACAAGAGTCCATCAGCTGCAATTGATGTGAATCAGTCTCTCGATGGGAACGAATAGAATGTTCAGTAAATATGGACTGACCTCGGGCTTAGTGAGTGCGCACACATTCGGTATTTGTGTGCACATGCTTGTATGTGCTCCAGTGTTTTGATAAAAGTGTCATAATATTATTATGGGATAGAGATGCCAAGACAAAAGCGGTGTAATCCGGCCCTCCTGTCAAACACACTTAAGACCTGGACAACGAGAGGTAAACTAGACAAACCTTGTGAGTGTGTGACTGTGTGTTTTTCTGTGTGTAAAAGGAGTATAACGCACTTTCCCGTAGCAATGACAAGGTGTAGTGGACCACCCTGTCGAGGAGCTGTCTGTTTTGTTGTTGTTGTTGTTGATTTCAGTGTTGTTCAGCCAAATGTTCAGTGTGCTGACTCACAGCCACTTCCACTTTTCCCAGAAACAGGTTTGGAAGAATCAGAGGTGCAGCTGTACGAATTGTTTTTATCAAACTCAATTTGGAGAGACAGATGAGAGGAATGAAGCTTGTACTGTAACAAGTTCAAGACCCATGACTTCTAGAAATCCAGATCAGACATTCAGGAAGAATGAAGCAGCTTCATGACAGCATATACTCCTCTGAAACACAGTCATTTTTTAAAATACTGGTTAAAACAAACAGTTTTTCTTTATTTGCTGCTTCTTTACGTACTGTGGGCTCTATTTTCATGCCTCGCCGGAGACATGTCGCAGGCATGGTGTAAGTCAGGTCCGCCGCGCTGACAAGGCGTTCCCAAGCACAATTTGGTATTTTGGTGGGCGGCGCAGCCTGGCGTAAGTATCCCCCCTCCCTAACTCAGCTCCTCCCAGCGGCTTAAGTCGTAGCGAGGGAGGAGAGAGGGCGTTGAGTGGGTTTAACACAGCCGAGACCTGTTTTCACCAATCACATCAGCTACTCTCCTCGCCTTTAAATCCGACACCGGCGAGGCGTCTTACTATTTTCGTGAAGTAGTCAAAGAGATCAAGAGATGTCTGAAGACAGTAATGCCACACGATGGCGACAGAAGGCAGCTCCTCAACAAGTGTCGCTGTAAGCGCTGCATTGGGCATCATTCACACTCTCTCATATGAGCACAGATGGATTTGGTGTGTGTAATGTTGGACCCTTTTCCACAAATAAAGACACTCACATAAAGTTGCATATATTCAAACCTCACGTGACAAAGGTGGGTTGTTCACACAGATCACAACATAAACTCAAAAAATGGCATTAAAATCGGAACCATCTGTGCGTAAATGACGCATCGCGCTCCGTGGCCTGGCTCTTTCTTTCATAGACATTGGCATATAAAATAAATTTGGCTCACAAAACTGAATATTATAATATCCATATGTCGGCTTAAAGTAGATAACTCATCTGAGCACTGAAACAAATCATCTGTTCAGCTGGCTGTCCGCTGGGCTCCGCCAGACGAAAATACAACTGCTCGTCAAAACACACTGTTATAGTTGTAGAAGGGGAAGACTGAACTGAGATCAACTCCACACACACACGTGACTGCATCCACAGAAAAACGTCCAACATTTGGTGCTTAGATTAATGTCAAACAGAGATGCAAAAACTTGGGCCAGTTTCAGTCCAATGGAGTGTATATATGAAGACAAAAACTAAAAACACATTATCTACTGTGGGTATGTTAGTCCAGCTATGAGTAGTTTGATTTAGTGTGATTTCAGTCTATGTAGGGCAATAAAAAGTGTTGAAGACAGCATGGTACAGTTGACCCCATCTGTAGAGGCTAATAGTCCAGCTTCTGTTCTGGATCTACAGACAAGTGCCTGAACTGACTGACAGCCCCCTGTGGGTAATACTATAAACAAGTACAGTACGTCAACTTAAAATATCCGAACGATCCGTTTAAGCTTTTAAAGTATTCAAAATATGTTCTGAAGAAGGTCAATTATTTGTAGAAATGGACAGATGGCTTTGTCAGAGTTTTTCTGTTTTCCCAGAGTTCTCTTCACTGTCTAATAAAACCCATAAACTGCTGAAAAATCATCTGTAAATTTGTAAGACTGCAGTCAGAGTGACGCCTCTTGTTCAGCCCTGTCAGCACCTAATGTCAGCAACTTTCCCGTTCTGGACTGACGGTCATTAAATGGACTTTATACTCCACAATAAGCAAACTTACTGACCTGTAGCTCAGTCTGCTGAATGCACAGCTCTAATACTCACTTCCCCCTGGCCTGCTGTACAATAGCACTGCGCTAATGTAAGAAGCCTCTGGGAGGGCGTGCAGAGAGGTGAGTGTTAATATGAGCCGAGTGTTGACAGCTTCAGGGGGTCATATAGACTCGTTACCTGAGGACAGACTGTGGAGGTTTGTATCCTGCTTCAATAAAACAATATGAGTTTTTTCTGTCTGTCTGTCTGACTTCCACTTCTCTGTCATTCAGCCTGAATTTATACTCTTATAAATCACAGACAGTAAGACGCAATCACTCACTCACTTTACTGTAAAACAGTCTCTAAAATTCCCTGTAAAAATGATCCTCCTGGAGGTTTTTTTTTCATCCGAATGGACTTTAAAAGTGTTTATTAGGGGTGTTAGGACACATTTTAACCCAGATATGAGACCTATTACACTACATGGTTGGCAATAAGATGCAAGAATGATATATAGTAAATTTATTCACAGCAATGCAATGTAACATGACCAAAAATGGTACCTATTTGTTCAATATTTCAGTGTGTTTAAAAGAAATATGTGAATATATGGAATACCCGGTTGAGTTCCACCCTTTACCTGGTGTAACCCTGTGTATGAGTTCTTGGCAGAAACTCTGGGACAGTCCCACATAGGACTCATTTTACCGTCCTACATGGGGCACAGTTTTCAGCCCTTTTAGGACCATGATGGCCCCACAAACAAATGCAGGCTGCACAAGTTAGAAGCTCAATGAGATGATGAGGTTCACAGTGTCAAATAGAGGGATATCAGACAAGACATTTAAACATTTGAAATAGGAATTTAAAACACAAGCCTCCCTTGATTTACTTTTCTCTAATGCTTGGCCTTTAAACTTCTGGTACCCTTCAGATCACCCTCTCTCTCCTCTTTCCCTTCTTCCTCTTCTCTTTTATGGAGAGAGTAAATTAGCTCCTGCAAAGGAAAACATGGAAAAGGCAGCGGTGCTGTGTAGCTGTCATGATGTCATTGAGTCCCTCTGCTCAGTTTAAGTTATCTGGAGCCGCTTTATGACTGCACTGAGTGTGTGAGTGGTTGTGTGTGTTTCTGCAGAAAGAAGTGTGTGCAAAGGGGGAGATTTTTCTCTTTTTTAAGTGTGTGTATGTGTGTGTGTGTTTTACGACAGGCTGGGGGCTCAGTGTGCTTACCTACCTAATAAATCCCGACAAGCTCTCCACAATAACCTGGATGAGGTTTCTCTTTTCTCTCACTCACACACTCGGCCGGACTAACCTCTGAGCTCCGCTACATATTATACCTGCCACCTACTGTTTCCTCAACTGCTGGACAGGAGGGAACACACACCCACACACACACTTACACACACATCCGTATGAACATTGCGCTCTGTGTCCTCATACTCACACGGTCCACCAAACACCCCATCTTTTCACATGTACAGAGCTCACACGTCTTCTACACACACTCGCATTTGCATGAGGAAGTGTATCTGAACTGCAGGACTTGTGGAGAATGTGTCATAGAAATTGACCGAATGGGATCTGATCTCTGGTCTATTTTATTCTGTCATTTAAGTATCACCAGATCAAGAGGAATACTTCTGTAAAACACATTTACGGAGGGTTTTTTATGTGTCTTCAGATAATGTCATTGGTCTAGTCAGACAGTGTTACTCTGTGAAAACATCCATCAGTCAGTCACCTCTGCAGTTTGGGTGTGTCATCCCTGCAGCTCCAGTTCGCTGTTATACCAAAGTTAGACAAGTTTTTATGAATATGGTTTTGGTTTTTTTGGTGTGTGTGTGTGTGTGTGTGTGTGTGTGTGTGTGTTTTATTCATTTATTTATTTTCTGTCTGTGTGTGCTTGGTTACAAACCCCCAATCCCAATGAAGTTGGGATGTTGTGTAAAACTTGAATAAAAACAGAATTCATGACTTGTGAATCATTTTCCACCTGTATCCAGTTAAATACACAACAAAGACAATATACTCAATGTTACAAACACACCCCCAGACCATCATCGATGCTGGCTTAGGACTTTGACCTGAGAGCAGTCTTTATGGTCCCCTTTAGCCCAGAGGACACCATGGCCATGGTTTCCAAAAACAGTTTGAAATGTGGACTCGTCAGACCACTACACACCGTTCCACTTTAATCAGGTCCAGAGAAGTCGTTGGTATTACTGGCTGTTGTTGATATCTGTCTTTGTCTTTGCATGGTAGAGTTTGAACTTGTAGATGTACATGTAGAGAGGAACTGTGTTAACAATGGTGTTGACAATAGTTTTCTGAAATCGTCCTGAGCCCACATGGTAATACCCTTTACAGAATGATGTGGGTTTTTAATGCAGTGCCGTCTGAGGGGTCAAAGGTCAAAGTCTCTGAATCTTTGATAATACTTTGGACTGTAGATGATCAAATCTCTAAATCCCTGCTGTCGTTTGTTGAGAAATGTTGTTCTTAAACTGTTGGACTATTTGCTCAAACAGTTGTTGACAAAGCAGTAAACCTCGCTCCATCCTTACTCATTAACAACTGAGCCTTTGGGGGATGCTCCTTTTATACCCAATCATGACCCTCACCTTTTTCCAGTGAACCTGTTTACTTGTGGAATGATCTAAATGTATTTTTGGAGCAGTCCTCAATTTTCCTCCTTGTCTTTTGTTGATCCTGTACCAACTTTTTAGGAGCCTGTTAGAGCATTAAATTCAAAATGAGCGAATATTTGCCCCAAAAAACGATCAAGTTTATCAGTTTGAACATTAAATATAGAGCTCAAACTGAAATCCATTTAGGTTTCCTGCTGAGCAATAGACGGCTATTAGATGTTTAGTTTTTTTAAGACCTAATTTCAACCGTCTAGATTCTGTATATTTTTAGACAGAATTTAGACGTTGCACTTCAACCCACTTTATTTGATAACTATTTATTTCAAAGAGCAACTGTGAGTTGCATAACTGATCTCCGAGTACTTAACCAAAATAATTATGATAACCTTTGAGCACTATACAGTGTAGTATGAATATAGCTCTGTTAGCTGGCTAGTCTAAACTTGGTCTAAATTTAGACGTCTAAAAAACTTTCATTTCTAGACCTGTAGTAGCCTGATTTTAGACCAGTCGTCTCGGCTACATTTAGACGTCTATTAGAGCTCTTAGACCAAAAAATGCTCAGTGGGTGAAGAATGGATGGTTTTGAACCTCTCTCTTTCTTGATATAGATCTTGTTTCATTTTTTTGTCTCCCACTCTCTCCCTCACTGTTCTTCTCACCCACCAAAAAACTCTCTTGCTCCCTCTTTCGTCCTCTCCTGTGCCACACACACACACACACACACACACACACACACACACTCATAAACACACACCCATGCAGAGAAGGCAGTGAGGGATGAAGTCATTATCAGCTCTAATAGGTGACGTGCCAGCTCTTTCCACAGCACTGCAGGGAAATAACATGACAGCAAAACAAACGACGCCATTACTCATTCCTAACACCACCTGTAAATCAACTCTGTGTGTTTGTACGTTTGAGTGTGTGTTTTAACAGGTTGTTTGCTTCACAACTGCAACCGGTGGAAAATATGAACCCTACACATGACTGACAATGTACATAGAGTGCACACACACTCACACACATACACACACACTCACAAGTTTCACACTCTGCTCATGTTTTGCTGACAACAGATTATACACACACTATGGCCAATCCCGGTTAATATTTTCCACTACAGGGCTAAAGAGGTTGGCCAAGGCTCACTCAGATGCTAATTTGTCACAACTTAAACCCAACATGGCCGCTGAGCATCCATCACAGCATAACACTGTGTACCAAAAAGAGCAGATAATCATCTCTTAGTCACTCTGCTCTTTGAGACAAGGCCTAAAACTCTTTCTAAAAGCTTTCTGATGTTATCACTTGTTACTAAAAATTGTGTAAATACAGGATTTCAAATTTCAAATGTTTCAACAATTTCAAATGAAACAAACAAAAAAAAAGTGTTTAATTAACTGGAAAAACCTAACTCGCTATTTTATAACACCAAAGATGAAATCTAGGTAACTCGCCATACAACAAGACTGCTGGAGATTATGTGGGAGTGTGGAAGCACACATCTTCTGGAATTGTATAAAAATAAGGATATACTTGCAAAATGTTAACTTGTTTATAAAAATGTTTTGGGATATCAAATCCCAAATACTTGCCCAGTGATGTATCTTAAAGATATTGAGAATGGTAATGAAAGAAGATCTGTACTTGACTAAAGTATTAATTGCAGCAAGCAAGAAAGCAGTCAAAAAAACCTGGCTCAATGTTAACACTCCAAACCAGGAGCAGTTGTTGGAAATTGTCAAGGAAATCCTTGTTATAGAAAAATTGACATACCTGTTGAGACTTAAAGAGCACATATTTGGAAAAAAATAAAAAAATAAAAAGAACAGAAAAATCTAATATTTTTATGAGACATGACACCTACTGAACAAACGCTAAATGGAACGGTGGACTGAATAGTACTGACTCCAGACAGTTTCTTGGTGTTATTATTGTTACTTGTACCTTGTCTGCTGTGTTGTTTTTGCATATACTTGTGAAAATGCAATAAAAAATTGATGTTATGAAAAGGAGTAATTGTCAGAAAGTTTGGGTGTGAGAAAGTTCTGTATTGTTAAAAAAAGAACATCGGGAGGAACATCTCTGAACCAACAAGGTTGATTTACAACAGATTAGTAACATGATTAAGAACATAAAGGCTTTTCAGGTTGAGACTGTCTGAAGATGGTAGGAGGGTCACCACTTGAGAATAAGTTCCTCACAGTAATATTGTAATCACCATGATCCATGAGCTTCAGGCCAAGTCAGCATTGCATCAAAAACAGACATGACTCTGTTGTGGGAATCACTGCATGGGTTCAACACATCACTTCCGAAACCAACCAAGTGACCACAGTAAACTGCTAAATCCACAAATTCAGGTTAGAACCGTATCAGGCAATAAGGTCACCACATCTTCTGCTCTAAAGAGGAGAGAGATCACTGGGCTTGTTATCTTCTCACAGTTTAAAGTCAGCATCCCTGATGGTTTGGGGATCATCAGTGTCCATGTCATGGGTCGCTCACATATCTGTTAAGGCTGAACTAAATATACAGGTTTATATGCTGCCATCCAGACAATGACTTTTTCAGGGAATGTCTTGCATATTTAGGCAAGACAGTATCAAACCAGACTCTGCTGGTATTACAATAGCATGGCTCTGTAGTAGAAGAGTCCTGCTACTGAACTGGTCTGACTGCAGTCCTGACTTGTTACCCAGTAAAAACATTTGGTGAGAAATATCAACAAAGGAGACCCCAAAACTGTTGAGCTGCTAAAAGTGGCCCTACATTTCATCTCCCAAAGTTCAGAAACTGGTCTGCTGGGTTCCTAAATGTGTTGGTAAACAAAGAGCTGATGCAACACTTAGGTTAACATCACCCTGTCAGCATTCTGAAATGTGTTGCAGGCGTCAGATTAATCTTAGCATGTCTCAATATTTGATCTGCTGTCATGCTGTTTTTCATTCAAATGGATTTTTATAATTTTAAACCATCAAATCCTGTTTTTACTATCACTCTGAGCTTACTGAAGCATAGACGGCTTCTTTTCTAAGTACCTCCAGATGTTGAGCTGTGGTTTTATGGTGTTTCATTACCAGATAGTCTTTATTTGTACAAATAAGAGTCTACTGTTTAGACAATAAACTTATGAGGATTTAGCTGAAAGTAATCCATGCTTAATCTTCTTGTGTGACCTACGTGGACAAGAACCTTCAGGGTGGACTAATTTTGACAACTCTGTAAATTATAAAGCCTACAGCAGATGAGCGAGACTAGAAACGTGATCATCCTTATACAAGCTGCTGAAGGTGTGAAGTTCTTCAGGGTCTCTCGGCGGTTTTACTCAGCGCTGGTGTTAATCCTCTCTAAACCGTCAGCAGCTGGACCTGCAGGAGGACCGACATAAAAATGGAGAGCTGCTCAGAGTAAAGAGTCTGAAGGGACCGTCCATGAAAACCAGGCTGAAGCAATTAAACACCGAGCAAACAACGAGCCACTCAACACAGCCTGGACCCCCTACACACACCTTTTCAACGGGATATTTTCTGGTAATGCTACTGCCAACCAACAAATAAAAAGTAAAACAACACCATTGTCTAAGTATTTTACATGTGTGTGTCTTTGTGAATGTGCGTGTGTGAGTCATCCAGTCTGTTTTTTTCATGCAGTGGCAGCACTGATGGTACAAAGGCCAAGAAAACTTTGAGAAGCACACATATAGCCATTGATTAAATCACCAACATATCCTTATTTATAAGACACTTCTTAACTTGCTTCAGTCTAACTATGTTATCGTGTTAATTTGAAAAATGTTAGAAGATACAGTCTCAACTTTTTGACCCGGTCACTAGACTCTGGTCGAACAGCTGTCCCCTCTAAATATCTTTAAAACTAGATTCAAATCAGGCATGCTGAAGATGCTTTGATGAATCTCTTATATCATCCAGGAAATGTCGACACATATTAGTTACTGTGTTGTGTTTAGTATGTCTGTAACTTTTCTGAAATCTGGTGTCTTAACCAGGACACTCCAGTAAAATAGATTTTTAATCTCAATGAGGCTTTCCTGGTTGAATAAATTTAAATAAAATGATAAAATAAGTACATAAATGAATGAATTTCTTTCAAAGATAACGTGACAGTGTATTGGTGTTATTTCAGCACTTAAATCCTAGAAGATAAAGTGATCAAAAGGTGTCTATCATGAGCTCAGGCAGTCCTGTGATGACACCACGTGATGCACTGGACTACCAAGGACTGTGTTTTTAGTTCATAACTCTAACCATAGTCTGTAATGTTAAGTGATACATCAAACCTTTATTTTGAAATGCTGTGAGTGGTGTGTGTGTGTGAGTGGACTGGCACTAAGGTCGATGTGGGTATATACAGTAGAACCAAATAGGAGATAACGCATGACTGAAACGCCCTGATTTCCGCAGGGACCTGGATTTGTTGGATGCAAGGCAGTCGCAACATCACCCTGACCATACCTGTAGCAACAACACAAGAGTCCCAGGCATACTGTCCCATAACTGAAGTCCTCAAACTGCAGCCTTTGGCTCTGCAAAGACTTAATATTGTACAGCTCTGCAGACATGAGCTGCTTATGAGTACCCTGACGTCTTTCACTTCCATTTTTTTGTATCTTTTGTCGTTTCACTATTATCAGTTTTCAATATCGTAAATTAACACATGATTATTTTTAGATTAAAGCTCTTATGAGGAGTTTTTTATGTCATAAAATGGAATTCGTGTTGATACCTTTTCATAATATCCAAAAGCAAACAAGTCTATCAGGGACAAGATGGATCATTTGTCAATTATCATTTTTTACGCCTTAAAACCTGCGTGTGGGGGGGGAGCTGTCAGCCAAGCAGCTGAAGTCCACATAAAATATTCACAATTCAGGATAGATTTGACAAGGTAAAAAGACTGGTTTGTCCACAGGGGGTGCTAAAATTGACACAAACAAAAAGTTCCTAACTGGAGCTTTATAAGCTTTACCGTTTTATCCACATTTATGACCCCAAAGCCTTTATGTCACACTTTGATGTATATCCCCTACAATAAACTTTAAAGGGTTGTCACATTTTAAAAAAATGATAAAAGTCTAATCAGCTCCTCTGATTTTATGCTTGTTAGCTCTCCGTCATGTGGCTGTGAACTGCACAATTTAAATAGGGCACTGAAAGACAAGAACGTCGACCTGATGTTCGGGTGTCAGAGTGACGTCATTATCAAAATGACGGTTAAATTCTCATGTCTGCTCAAAGCGACATGTAGCAAATGAGGAGAAGTTGATGGTTTATTAATAAAATGTTCAGTTTTTTAAGGTCTCAGGTCTAAGATGCCACTTTTAACATCTTCTTCATTTCTGCTCGAAATGGTCCTGACACCATCATGTGACTGATGATTTATGTCTTTTTTCAGCATTTAAATGTATAAAAACCCTTAATGGCCAAACCTACAGCTCAAGGTCCTCCACATCGCTCATCTGGGATGAAACTCTGACAAAACCTCCATTATTCTTCTAACATGTAAGCCCTTTCTGCTGTAGTGTGTACTTTTTCTGTCTATATGATTTAACATCAGTCTCTTGAATAAAATGATTTAAATGTGGCCCTGCCAATTATTCCAAGACTTTACAGCCATAAATACAGCAGTTATTTTCTTTAATGTGGTCTTGTTGAGAAAGAGATCACTGCCACTGCATGGAGTCATAACCGCAGAAAACAAACATTTCAGCTTTTTAATTCTTCTTCTGTGGTTAAAACGCTGCGGTTTGGCTCGTTCTGCGGTTTGGAGCTTTAAGTGGGCTGTTTCAATGAGCTGTTAGTGAGCGGACGCCTCTGGGGTGTGAGCGTGTACATGGATGTTTCATACGTGTTCGTGCCTGGGCTTTCAGAGTGTGTGTTTGTGTTCATGCATATTTATGTGTGTGTGTTTGTGTGTGTTTGAGCCCCTGAGCTCTGGGAGTCTATAAAGCAGCTCGGACCGTTCAGAGGGTGATTATATGTTCACACAAACTTAACAGAGGTGAGGTCACCTCTGCACGCTGTGTGAGTGTGTGACAGTGAATCAAACTGTGCTGCCAACAGCAACAACTCTGCATCGCCATGATGCAAGGGTCAACCTGTCCCTCCCTTTCTCCCTACATCCTAATCTTTCTTACTTTCTTTACTCCCTTATTTGTTCTCTTAATAAGTCCTCCTTCCTCTACCTCCCTCCTTTTTTCTTTTTATTTCAGCCTCTTTAAACCTCTGTTAAAAGTCTTTAAACACTTTGTTTTCAAAATGTGTGGAGAACAAAAATCTGTCAAAACAGTGAATAATGCAAAACCACAGTTAAATGCAACAGATGTTGTACAGCAGGGATAATGAAAATTGACAGAGCCTGTACCTGACATCTCTCCACCCAAGATATCAGGTCATAAGAATTTAACATGTTTGATTTTTGCCTTTGGAGAAGAGAAATCAAGAAAATCAGGGGGAGTAAAATCATTCTCAGCAACATATGAGAGTTATGTGAAAAATTCAAGAACATTTTGTGAGTGTGAGTAAAATAAATAAGCTGCAATAAAAATGTGGATTAAAAAAGTTCAAAGTATCCCAGCGTACTGTGTAACTCTTGTGTAAATAGTAGATAACTTTTGGAGACATATTATGTGAGACAACAGACAGTTGAATTTCCCCTCGAGGATTAATAAAGTTATTCTTATTCTTATCTTTGCAGTAAAAGCTGACAGTGTAAGAGCTTGAACATGATCAGCTTTACAGTAAAATTAGACTGACTATAATGGGAGAAAATGCCCTTTTTCACTTTGTTTGTCTCTCAGAGAGCTGGTTAGACAGGAAATCTTAGCCTAAAAGCTTTATTTTGCTTGCCCTGTCTCCTTTTTAAACATAAAGATCAGACCCAGCTTCGATTCAGTATGACTGAGGGATTCCCAACTGGGTCCCAGACCAGTACTGGGCCTACAGTTGTGTGGAGCTAGGCTGCAAATCTGTTGACCCTGTCTGTAGTGACTGATAACCATCCCCTGTTCTGGTTCCAGTGTTGCCAGGTGAGAAATGTAGGATTATTGCACCAGAGCGGGGTGGACGCAGCTGACCGCATGCTTGTTGTTCTGAGGCAAACGCATGGACATCACTTGTAGCTCACATTTAGAGAAGCACGATTGGCTGGAAACTTGTCACATGGAAACAAATGCCTTCAGGGTTCACAAAACAAGGCAGACAGTCTCAACAGGCTGACTACAACCACGAGAATGATCAAATTATCGTATTTTTGGCCTTTTTTGGGGATTACTGATTGTACTGAGGGCAAAACTTTTCTACAAACACAATAATTATCCTACACCTGGCAACACCGTCTGGTTCTCCAGACACTTTCTCAACAAAGAGGCGCAGCTGACCAGCATTTCTGTGGGTATTATACTGACCATTTGCAAGTGCCTCATACAACCGGACTTGAGAAAAAAATGAGATTTACCTTTAGGTGGAGTATGAATGATTCTGCTTCAAAAGTGTGTTTGAGGTAGAAAGTTAGGAAACCTAGAAAACCACTAATGGACCCTTTGACTCCTTCTGGCCTAAAATCTGGGTTTGGTTTGACATATGACTTAATTCAATAATAAATCTGCTTCTCTGGCTTCTTTAAACACAACTTCATCAAATTGAAAACCAAACATTTGCTTGCACAAGTGAAAACAAACGTGTGGAAAGCCCCTTCTGCTCTAACAACAAGTGCATCAACTTTCAAAGTTTTGTTTTAAGGCAGAATCGATTCATTGTTTAAAGATTGATCAGCTGCAATTCATCAGTCAATAATTCAAAACCACAGATGATGTAAATCTGTGTAACGGGACTATTTTGTGATTCAGAGGCTTCAGGGTGACTCAAAACTCTATTTTTAATCTCGATAATGTCTTTTGCTTTTATATTCAGGAGCAGTTTACGAGTCTGGATATAATTTTTGAATTGGTAGCCGAATAGTTTCCTCTTCATATTAAATCTATCTTCCGTTGTTATGTCAAAACACCTCATAAAATGTCATGGCATCAGCATGGTTTGAAACACTTTTTGAGGGCATGAATCATCCCTCGAGACATGCTGTTCATGACTTAAAAATGTAAGTCTAACTTTGACCTAAGAGTCTGCAGCAATGCTACCAGCTACAGATTCACCACTTCCTCAGTACAGCGATGTTTTATTTGTGTGAAAACCTTAATTCATTAAAATTAATGCAAAAATGCAGACTCCAGTGTTAAGAATACTTATGAAGTACAGCTTGCGGGAACTTTTTATGAGAAATAATCCTGATCTATACACTTAAAAACAAAAGTAAACTGTGGTTATTTATAAGTGAATTTTAATAAAAGAGTGTCATTTGTGTTATTAGCTGACTATGCCAGGCGAAGGCATATTTGGGAATTGGGAAATTGTGATAAGCATAAATAAAAATAGAATACAATGATTTGTGAATCCTTTACAACCTATATTCAATTGAATACACTACAAAGACAAGATATTCAATTTTCAAACTCATAAACTTTATTTTTTTTTGCAAATAATAATTAACTCAGAATTTCCCGGCTGCAACACATGCCAAAGTAGTTGGGACAGGGGCGTGTTTACCACTGTGTTACATCACCTTTCCTTTTAACAACACTCAAAAAACGTTTGGGAACTGAGGAGACTAATTGTTGAAGATTTGAAGGTGGAATTCTTTCCCATTCTTGCTTGATGTACAGCTTCAGTTGTTCAACAGTCCGGGGTCTCCGTTGTCGAATTTTACGCTTCATAATGCGCCACACATTTTCAATGGGAGACAGGTCTGGACTGCAGGCAGGCCAGTCGAGTACCCGTACTCTTTTACTACGAAGCCACGCTGTTGTAACACGTGCAGAATGTGGCTTGGCATTGTCTTGCTGAAAAAAGCAGGGGCGTCCATTAAAAAAGACATATGTACCTTTCAGCATTAATGTTGCCTTCACAGGTGTATCAGTTACTCATGCCTTGGGCGCTAATGCACTCCCATACCATCACAGATGCTGGCTTTGCGTCCATAACAGTCCGGTTGGTTCTTTTCCTCTTTGGCCAGGAGGACACAATGTCCACTATTCCCAAAAACAATTTGAAATGTGGACTCGTCAGACCACAGAACACATGGCCTCAGTAAATGATGTTTTTCATGCTTTTATTTTAACATTTTTTCATCTCAGTTGCTTAATTTTCTGTGTTATCAAATCATGCCTTTATTGTTAAGTAAGGTGGCTGGCTCATAGGTGACAGACCTGTCTGTACAGTTAATAGTTTGAAAAAAAGGTTAGAAAGTAAGAACATTTGATTGATTAGTAACCTGAAGAGGCACAATGGTGTTCATGAATAACAATATATCTCGAAAATCAATATTTATACTTGGTGATGGAAATAAGGAGAAACTTAATATCAGGCAATTTTGATTCCAGTGTCAATGAAAGACAGGACCAAACACTCATGCTAGAGATATTAACATTTACATCATTTCTGTATGTGGTAAGTTTGAAGGAGTTCTGGTTTAAAGTTGTTGTTTGACTCCAGATATTAAGTCTTTCTTCTTTTACTGGCCATTCACGCAGTTTTCATGTCTCTCAATGCAAACGATGCACATTTATTAAAGCAACATTCATTAGCATCTGGGTTTCCAGGGTAACCATGACAAAACACACATTCCACTTGAGCAAGGGTAACTGAGGTTTTCTGTTTGTTGAGTTTACTATGAAGGTCTTCACTGATTTGTTTTCCCTCCTTATTGGAAGTGTGTTGGCTGTGGATCTGCAGTTCTGGCGCTGCAGATGGTCTGATTGCTTTGTTTCTGAGGCCCGAGTGACAGATGCTTTTAGTTCCCATAAGTCTCCGCTGCTGGCACTGACACACACACATACACACTGCAGAAGGCAAGTGGTCGAATTCACTGTATTTTAGTGTGTGTGTGTGTGTGTGTTAGTTTTGGCGGTGCTCCTGTAGCAGCTATAATCAGGGGCGTCTTTGACATGTCACAGTTTCCCCACCTAGGCATGACCTGCCCTCAGCCAGGAAACACAGAATAAACCAGCAGTGCCAGAGCCTCAGTGTGTGTGTGTGTGTGTGTGTGTGTGTGTGCGCGCGTGTGTGTGTGTGTGTGTTTGACAGATCAAGATGAATAAGAGTGATCTTCTTGTTTAAGTGTATAAAAACATGTGTATGCATTTGAGCTTTACACACTGCAGATGAAGGAGTTGAAGTTTAGTTTAGTTTAGTTTATTAAGGATCCCCATTAGTCTACACCGCAGTGGAGACTATTCTTCCTGGGGTCCAGGCAAAAACATCAGAAAATCACAAAACAAATCATACAATACAAAGTAGTAAGTAACAAAGCATCAGTGGGTGACTCTAAAGTCAAATCAAAGCTCCATTGTTAGCCACTGTGTTTTAATTTTGGACCACTTTTAGAGCCTGTTAATTGAATAAATAAAGATAAAAACAAGCTGGACTCAAAGTCAGAGTTCGAAGAGGAGCTGGTGATTTTTGCAGAGAGCACGGTCTCATAGAACTGATGCATCCCATCTTACAGGGTTTGAGGTCTTCACTTATTTACTCCTTATCTCCACTTTTGTGAACCGCAGTAAAGTTAAAGTAAAATTCAGAGGAAAAAAGACAGAGAGGGAGGCAACATCACATAAAAGCAAGTCAAGAAGAGATCTTCTCAGGCAGGTGGCTCCATCTCCTTTAGTTTTACGTCTCAACTTCAAGAACAACCGGCGGGCCTCCACTTGAGACCCCCAACCGAGTGAAAGAAGGCCATCAATTCCCATGTCCAGCAGTCAGCAGTATGTTTGAGGTGGAGACACACAGAGTAAATCCAAAATGTGCCACACAACACGATCGTATTTCTTTTAAATGTGTGTCATTTTGGCCTACCTGCGAATCTCAAACCTGATTTATAACCTCACTCCGCTAAGAGTATTGTTGAAGAGATGCCATGTAGGTTGAGGACATGTTACTTCAAAAGATGGCGTTCAGAGGGATTTATCTACAGAAGGATTTATCTATCTTCAGTCTGTGAATGAAAATGTTAGATTGTTCTACAGGATCAGAAAACTGGTCAACACTGATTTATATCCATCTTTTTGTCTGTGTATACTGAGTATTCGACATTCTGAATTGTTGGTATAAAAATCATCTTTTTGTCTCGGTAAATCATGGCCTAAATTGAGTTTTATAAGTTATAAGCTGTGATCATGCCTTAAATAAATCAAGTTGAATTTTTAAAACTTTTGTGGTCTCAGGTGACGACAAGTTGATTTCTGTTCATGCCTTTCACCTCAGCCCAGCAGGAAGTCCAGTTTCTCTGCTCCGCTTTTCCCGTTTCTGTTATTTGACTCAAATCAACAGCTGGCATTGTCTCTCACACATCTAAAATATTAAAACAAACCAAAGGCCAAGACAAACTGCTGAACGTGAATTCTTATGTTAAAAATGTTCACTAGAGGTTTGTATGGAGCACACGAGCAGAAGTATGATTCTTGCACCCTTCATTCCTGCACCTTTGAGAGACCTAAAGAATGCTGAGTCAGCATCAAATTATGCAGTTACTGTATATCAAATCCAAGCTGGCTTTTCAAACTCAGTTTTTATCTCAGCCTGAGAATGATAATTTTTCATATTTCAGGACATGATTTAAAGAAACTCTGTTTGACTCTATGTCCACTAAACTCGTCCAAATGGGCCAAAAAGACATTGTCTAAGTTACTAAGTAAATGCACAAAGGGTTAAATGCCCCCAAGACAGCACTGCAGAGCAAATAGCAGCTCTTTGCACTATTGTTGTTTTTACCTCCGCCAAGGAGGTTATGTTTTCGGTAGCATTGGTTTGTTTGTCTGTTTGTCTGTTAGCAACTTTACGGAGAAAGTAACAGACGGATTGACCTGAAATTTTCACCAGAGGTGTGTCTCAGCCCCAGGAGGATCCCATCACATTTTGGTGGTGATCCAGATAAAATTGTGGATATTGTGATCCAGAACACACAAAATAAGGGTGTCATTGGAATTTTCAATGCTGAAAGATAACAAATGGGCGGCACAGTGGTGTAGATAGGCGGCACAGTGGTGTAGTGGTTAGCACTGTCGCCTCACAACCAGAAGGTCCTGGGTTTGAATCCCGGTCAGGGCATTTCTTGTTTAAGGGGGGACATGAGCTGCTTGGCGGAGGTCTGCGCTCTCTGAGTGCTTTTCTAGTTATATATGCAAACGATCTGTTGTGCATTCATTTAAAACAAAATATGCCTAAATAAACAAACCACGCAGAGAAAAACACATCCAATCCACAAAAACCCTAACTTTGATTGAGCTAAAGTATCATCACATTTCATGACTCAACCACAATATGGTCAGGACCTTCTCCTCACAGACTGTATGGAGATTCATTTCTGCATTGTAATGGGACGCTCACACCAAGTGAGAGTAAAATCATCTACTTGCTTAAGTGGCACGAATCTAGACATGTGAATGAATTGTTTTTACTCGCTTTATTTGCATGTCAACGGTAATTTCAACTGTAATCTCTGCCAATTCAACCAACAGGATCAAGTGATAGACAAAGGTTTTTTAAATTTACCAGTTAATCTGACTCCTCACTCACTTGCCTCCAGGCCTTTTTATTTCGGTTTTGGTAATTAAAAGAAAAGGCACCCACACACCGACATAATCATTTCGTCCTCCATTTTAGATACCAGTGAACAACCGTCTGTTTTTATATGTCACCCGGCAACCTTTGTGCTGATTAGTTATCGGGACACGAATATCTGCGCAAGTTGAGACTTTTTCAGCTTCCTCCCAATTCCCGTCATTCGTGCTGCCAGAGTGGAGAAGCTGACTGCTAACAGTTAAATCAGTCACAATAAAATTATAAACTAAAGCAAATTTTATTAAGATTGTGCCAAATCTGATGTTGTTAGGTGATCAGTAAGTTGTTCTCCGTGCAAGAAGTATGAAAGCTCCCCAGCCAAGATTTATTCTCTCATAAAGGATGTGATCCCAGCATTCTTAGAGGCTCGGCTGCAGATTGAATACTTGTCTTTATTTGAGGATATACAGTACACAGTTCTGATCTCAATTACATCTTACCAAAGCAGAGTTCCCAAGAAACCAATATGACAGTCAGGGACCTCTCTAGCTTCTGTTTTGCACATGCACAACTCTGTTCAGGTTTATAAATTAAATATTTAAGATCTTGAGAGCAAACACCTTTTATTTAACAAGCAGGGACTGAGAGAGGCTGTCAAATCTGGACCCTAAAACTGATTCTTAAACAAACTTTGATGAATAAAGACAAGAAAACTTTTGCAAATATTTCCTTACAGTTTAAACAGCTAAACCTTAAATGCTGAACAGATTGTAAAACCCCTAGAGGCAAATTTGTGATTTGTGAAGTTGGGTTGTATAAACAAAACTGATTTGACTTAACCTGACATACACACACAAATATAAGGAATACATGTGGACTTACAAACAGATCACATTTTTACACGTGTAAGCTGAAACATGCTCCCTCAGAGGAGTACAGTAGAAATACTGTAGTCTTAAAGGTTTACCACACGAACGCTCCGTTCTGCCAGGAAACACTTTAGTGAAACCTAGAACTTAACTTCGTTGACTTTTCACTCCTCTGGGTCATTTTTTTCACCTCAAGGCCACATCTCTCTCTCTCTCTCTCTCTCTCTCTCTCTTTCTCTCTTTCCCTCTCACTCTCTCTTTCTCATTATACAGATGGAAGCGTTTCCAAACCTTCCTGTCGGCACATTACCGTCTTCACCTGTCCGCCGATACAAACTCTCCTCTTATTTCCTCTGGTCCATGTTTTTTTTAGGGAATGCTGTCAAAAAACTGAACTATTGGAGTAGCTGTGGCCAGAGTGAGGGTTGTGGGGTTTATGAATTATATGATATAAGGAGCTGATTATAATCCTCATCTGACTACAATGGCCAGCTGTCAGGATCAAAGGGCATCTGCAGTAAAACACGGGTCACAAAACCTTCAATCTCTTGGAAGGAGTGTGCAGGTTTCTTGCTCTGGGCAAAGGGGGCTTTGTTACTCACTGATGCAGCTTAACAAATGATGGTCATTAATTTTTTTTTTTTTTTTTGGGGGGGGTGCCTTTTATTGATAGGATAGTGTGAGGTATAGGGAGATAGGGAGGACATACAGCACATGGTCGGGGCGGGACTTGAACCTGCAACTGCTGCAGTCCGTATACATGGGGTGCACTAACCCACTCGACCATCTGCGTGCCCTTTTGTTAAGATTTTTGAGTAATTTGTCAAAGTGATTGAAATTATATTTAATGATCAACAATGTTTGATGTATTAATTCAGTTTGTTGTGTCTCTTATGTTTGCACACACAAAAAAAACCACAATCTCATACTGCAGTCACTACAAACCCAAGCGCAAGACAGACGACATCATATTTGTCTTGTTTGTCTCAGCATTCATGATGAAGTATCATTGTGTAGTATCATTACAATATCAACTCTAAAACGAGATCACCATGATGCAGCAACTTACAAGGACTTTCTAGGTTCATTTTTCAAAAATGAAAGTCATCTGTAATGAGTTGCTGGTTACGCTAAATAGTGGATGCTTTCTTTGTTTTGGTCTGTTGACCAATCAGGGACTGTATCTGCAATCAGCTAACTTGAGCAGGGGAGGCAACAGAACTAGTTAAGTTTGGGCCATTAACACAGAAAGGCTGTATGGGTCATTTCTTTCCCACACGAAAATGCGCAAGTATAGACCTTTTTCACAGTGCGCGGAAGTTAGCATTCTGCTCACTTCCGGTGTTAGCGAGTGGTGGAGCCACTTAGCATTGCCCATAGACGGCCATTCATTTTTCACGATATTAACAAGCTCGTGACTCGCTTTTTTTGAAAGGTAATGTAAAATTTTATGCTTTGTGCTGTTTTACTCACGCATGTTCTTCATAATACTGTCCAGATTTTGTACTTTACTTTTCGGGAATTATGTTTAATAGGTCATTACTGAAGAGCAATGGTTACCATCGTCAGAAAATTTCCAGACCTATTAATGAAGGAAACAAGAAAGAATCCCATCTAAAAGCAGAATCGGTTACTCTTATCAGTTTCCATCCCTACCCCCATCACTCGCTTTTTCTCTCTAAAATATCTGGCCATCTCAACTTTGGCCACCCTGTCATCGTTTGGGTCAATCAGTCTGCTCCCATTTGTCAGCATTTATGTATTATTCACACTCTTAACTTGGAAGAGTGACTGCATATATAAAGACAGATCTGCACCTTCTTTCCCCATTGCTAAAATCTAGCCAAAACCATTTGCTGCCTAAAGCCAGGGACACACTACAAGATAATCATGCCAGTTTTTTCAGGTCTGATTTCCCCCTCTTACAAAAATCTGCAAAAGCCTGACTGTCAAATGGCTCTACAAATAATCTTGCCTGATGATCTTGCGATGTGAGGGTGGTGACAGGGATTTTTCTTCTCTACAATCTGGATGTAAGATAATCAGAGCTGTCCTGGCTTGTTCAGTATTTACAAGCAGACATCCTTACATTTAAAGGAGGGGACCTTGAGGACTTAACAGTTGCGAAGAAACATAATCCCTTCACCAAAAACGGTGTCATTGCATTGTTGTATCCGCGACTTCAAAGTTTTATTTTGGTCTATAAAGAAACAAAAACTTCTGTGCTCACACTTAAATGTGTCATATTTTAAGTACTTACAAACTCAAACACACAGTCACAGACATAAGCTGTCTTTTTCTAACACCTTGTACCCAAACACACATGTACGCGCACACACACATGCACAAACACACTCACGTAGCAGCTGTTAGGGTTAGATCATCAGTTTGTACAACAGGCCGGTGCCCTGTCCTGCGTCAGAAGGTGTTAGGGGTAACATTAGCCAGCGAGGTGAAGGAAGGAAGAGCCAGAACTGTGCAAGAGCAGGAGGAGGAGGAGGATGGAGAGAGTGAAAGAGAAACAGAAAGAGAGAGTGAGGTGGAGTGTTAGCATAACCTCAGGCTTAAACGTGTCATTTCTGCTGTTGTTTTAGCCCCACCAGTTAAACGGTCAGGAAATCAGGCTGTCTTAGCAGGAGAGCTGCTCTGTCAGCACACACTCAGACACCTTTTTCTCTCCTCTTACATGACCACATCTTTGAATATATTTAACCCTGTCAGTGTTTATCAGTCCTGCTGTGTTACTGACCTCATCCTCTGTCCTTTTTGCCTCCAGTCAAAAGTCAAACAAGTGCAATGACACTGAAATAAAGGTAATAAATTCATCATCTTGTATTTACATATTCATTTGAATTGCTACTAAGATAGCAACTAATGTTCCAGGCGTCCACTCATGAAAACTAAAATTGAAATCAACACAGAGTGCGTTATTTAAAGACAAAAACAAACTTTAAACACAGAATTCATGGCACTGAATTTCCTGTTATTGTCATCTATTTCTGTTTGTGACTTTCTTTCAACAATCAACAATCAACTTATTTGCCTTGCATTAATATCAGTTATAATCCATGTCTATATGCTTCGCTCCCTTTTTCCAGCAAACTCATTATCAGGGACAAAAAACATGATGTGAGGTTTTGTTGTGGATGTTTTTTGAAGGAACCCAAAAGCAGAAAGCGGAGAAAGTAGAAGCTTTAATGTCCAATGAAAAGAGGCTGCAAAGGTTAAAACTATACTTGACAGTAACCATCAGATGTTTGTGTTCTCTCTCCAACATACGCTGATAAAATGGAACATTTGCTCTGCGGTCCCTCTATAAAATAAACTAACACTGTTTATAGCTGTGCACCTTCTCTCTGCTGACCCATTAAGGGAGCTTGCAGATGTATGGTTATACTATGATGGTATCACTGCATGAACATGATGTAAAGTTACAACATTTGCATCTTTTAACCATCTTCAGTGGTGACTGGATGGAATCTCGTGGCTCTTTATAAGAACTACATGATAATAAACTTTATCAGCAAGATGCATTGTACAGTTTATACTTAAACTCATAACATAAGTACAAATCAAGTGCACTGTGACAGCTACAACAAGGACCACAGCCTCCATACACTGGGACACACACTAAAACCTCTGGGTTAATAGGGCCCCAGGACGCTGACCCACCAGGACAACAATCACCTTACCCTATGTATATGCTTCACAAAGGTAATCTGGACACTGTTTGATTTTTATTCACTACAGCAGTATGTGTTGGGTAAAGTATATCACTCCAGAATCCAAAACAACAATCTGCAGGGTGATTTAAAAGCCTCAATGTTGATAGTGCTGCAGCCTGATGGTCCTGTTCTGACAGAAAAGAAGGAGCCATGTAGAAACAAGAAGCTTACACACTCTGGTGAGACGTTCACTTACTTTCTGCCTCTCAGTGATTGAACAGACACACACCACATACACACACACTTTACAATGTGCTTTTGAGCAGAGGCAGGGCCATCACTCACTACTGTGTGTGTATGTGTGTATGCACTCCCATTAGTCTCTGCATATGTCTGTGTGAATGTCCACGGGTGAGTATAAATACATCCTTGACCTTTGTTTTCTTTGCAGTTTTTCTCATATGGGATACTGTTCAAAGTGGAGACACACACACACACATGTATCATCATACACAGAGTGTAGTGTTGCAGGCAGGATGGCGGGGTGGCAGTCGTTATTTATGTCTGCTTTCTTTAGCGAGCTTTCTCACAGGAACAGGAGCCGAGCAGGAATCCAACGCTTCCTCTGAGTCTGCCATTTATCACTCTTTATTAACACTAAAACACACACACACACACACACACACACACACACACACAAATACACATGCCAAGATATAGTTGCAGACCAGACAATTATACATCATTAGTAATCCATACACACAAATAATACATTTATTATCCATGCTTGTTAGATGTAGACAGTTACAAACCAAGGATAGCCAAACTAAACTCTCTCTGTAGCTCCACAGTGTCAGTGTCACACAAGTCAGTTTTTGTAGGTTCAAATCAAGTCTCTCGTCGTGTTAATAAGTGCGATGAAAATAAAAATTAGACACTCCTAAAATTGATGTTTCACTAATTGATAAATGTTACCCCATTTATTTCATGTCATGAGATTGATGAATATTGGGTAACAAGTCATATTTTATTTAATGTTTATTGTTGTCAGTTAAAATGTAACTCAACAAAGTGGTAACACATGAGCTAAATTTTGACTTACCAAATTTTTATGGATTTAAATAAAAGATATTTGTCAAAAGTCACATTTTAAAGACTGAACGGAAAGTTTGATCACAGCCAACAGCCACAATGGTTGATTGTAGCATAAGACCCATCAGTGATAAGTTAATTACAGATGTGATATTTACATCTCTCTAGTTTTAGTAGCAACTCCTTCCAGCTCATCAGCAGGAGTTCAAATTACAAAATTTAGATTTTTAATATTTACTGATCATGACAGGTGACCTGTGTGACAATGATCGCCTGGTGTGATAATGATCCAAAACTGAGAGCAACAGCAACCAGCTGAACAAACCTTTTGAAACAGCTGTATGAGAAGAATCAAATCTAATTAGAGATTTTGAGCTCAATGGTTAACACACTTGAAAAGGAGGGAACTACAGTGTTTTTTTTCTTTCTCAGATCAACTGCAGAGCAAACACTGTTTGCAGCTTTGATAAGGGTAAGAAGCAAGTGGTGATTGACTGTTTTATTGATTGCAGATCGTGGTTTGGAAATGACTCAAACTAGTTGGACAATAGGCTTGAGCAGCTTCTTAGATATGATCTACGTGTGAGCCACTTTATGCCGTCGGGGCAGCAGGTGATGTGATGTGGCTGCTCATGTACTGGGAACAGAAAGTTATGCAGAGGGAGTGATGTTGAGCCCCTGATGATATTGACACTAAAATAGCAAATACAAAGGTTATACATGAATCCAGGACAGAGGTTGTTCAAACAGGGACATATATATATATATATATATATATATTAGATATTTGTTGGGACTCAGAGCTTAAAAATGAAACAGTTCCAATCAAACTGCAGTTTATGATCATCCTTTGAATGTTTTCCTATGACCTACGGTTTTAAACAAAACTTTCGCTTTGACATAGTGGGTTTAAACTCTGCACCTTTTCACATTTGTAATCCAGCTGGCACATTCAAAGTCTGGAGTAGAGGTGGACCGCTGGCTCTTTGGAGGTTTCCTGGAAGGTTTATTTAGTGCTAGATCAAGGTCATAGATGGGAAATGGTGTTTGTAAGTGTGTGTGTGTGTGAGTGTGTTTTTTAGGTGAGGTCACGTCAGGGAGTGCAGCCTCTGACCGACTGCCGAGGAAATAGCAGCGACTAGACCTGACGTTACCCCTCTCAGTCGTGTCTCATAACTCACTGCTGAGGTATAAGTGTTCACGTTCAGCATCAATCTGAGGCCGCTGAGTTCATTTCCTCACTAAGGTTCAAGTCTCGAGCTCTTAAGCTCACTGTTGGTCCAGAAAACTCCCCTTGACCTTTTGGTGTCCCCTCTCACACCCTGTTTTTGTTTCTCTTTGAGGCTCTTTGACACACACGTCTTACCCGCTTTTTAACCAGTCGTCCTCCATTAATCTGCAGTGATTGATCATGTCTATGCGCTGTGTCTCAGGAATCAAAAACCTGCACTGGGGCTTCTCACATGCATGCCAGGAAAGTTCTTTTTATCATTTGAAGTTGAGAGGAACTCAGCATATATATGAACTGCTCTCTGTGAGCTTCCCTCATGCCATCTATCTGTCTGCTGAACTGCAAACACATTTTCTGCCCATGGACAGTACTTGGAGCTCTGGTCCCATTCTCTGAGCGTGGTGTAATATCCACCCTGTGAGTGTGCATGTGTGTGTGTTTGTTAAATGTTATACAGATTAGTTACCTTTAATAACGTTGACCTTAATGACTGTGGCATGAGAGACACTCTGAAGGGGGGAAAAATCTGTCAACTCTACACACACACACACACACACACACACACACACACACACACACTTTTTCCAGATGAGACACTCTGTATCCTGTGATGCAAAGGTAACTAAAACATTACCTCACCTGTTCAACCAAGAAAACAGAATCAGTTCTGAACCCAGGCTGCCACTGCTAATACTGGGCTTGAGTCAGTGTCCTTTTTAGTTTTCCAACCTATGATTCAAAGCAAAGTGTGCAAAGGCAAGTGCTTAAAATAGAATTAATAAAATGAATTCAACCAAAAATACTAAAACTATGCCACATGTGTCTAACCCTGTCTGGGCCTTAAAAGCATCCAATTAATTTTAAAAAACTATACGTCTCTGTAGTTGTTAATCCCTGTCTATCTCTCTCTTTCTGCATCTCCCTCTCCAAACTCAACTGAGTCTCAGCAGATGACTGTCTAACATGAGTCTGGTTCTGCTCAAGGATTCTGCCTGTTAAAGAAAGTGCTTCCTCTCCACTGTAGCTTGCTAAATGCTGCAAATTTTCACTTATGCTGGATGAAGACAGGGTAAGGTTAGTCTTTGTAAATAATATTAAGAGTAAGGTCTAGACCAGCTCTTTTTTCCAAGTGTCTTGAGAGAACATTTGTTGTGAATCGTGGGTGTATCAATAAAGACTGATTGATTAATTGAAATATCATATGGTCTCTATGTAATCAACTATTGTGTTTCATCCAAATTTAGTGTGTCATGAGAAGGAACATCGCTGTTATCAAATAATGATTCCAGAAAAATAAATGTTATCACAACACTTGTGACACACAACAACACAACAAACAACAAACTGCCATGTGTAGCTCTTAAACAAAGGAGGAGGGCCTTGGTGCAGAAAATGTTAAGACAGATTGAACTGAAAGAAAAGGTGAAGTAGCAAAAACCTGTTCTCCAAAAGAAGAAGAAAAAAAACAGACTTAACACATTGGGTAAAAAGCAGTAAGATGCTAGTGAGACAACAAGGTCCAGGTGCAGACTAAATAGGACTAAAGTTACAGAGGAATGGGAATACAGTCATAAAGTTAAGCAGTAAATATTTTCTAAATATAACTTAAACTCAAGCCAATGTTAGTGTTAGTGTTAGTTTACCCAGTCTGTCTGTGCCACTTCTCTAGCTGATTTTTCAATCAAACGGCAAAGTTTACCAGCATCCCCTGGAAACAACATAGACCAAATACAAAACTATCAATCTTTCTGTGGTCAAAAGCTGTAGACCTTCTTTCATTTGCTTTGCAGCTGCCAAATCAATATCATCAATACACTGCCTAAAGTACCGTATTAGCAGCAGTTCATTCTGCTTTGTTTTATGACAGATGTTTATGGGACAATATGTCAATATATTCTGTAGGTTTTTTCTTTATTTATAAGGTTACAGATGACTTTTGCTTACATGTATCAGTGTTACTACATAATATAGCAAACGCCATGTCTTCTACTATCTTCCATGCTGAGCAACACTTCATAATGTGACTCTCAGCCTGGTGTTTCAACAGGAAGCAGTTGGATAGCTGAATAGCTCTGAACAATATGTGGAAGCATCCATGCATGGCTCTGCTTACTCTGAGGCCTTACTGTAGCTGCATAACTGAGCTCTATTACTCTAACACAATGATATAAACTGTAGGCTGAGTGATCCTTTAGTAGATAATACTAGAGGGAGGTTTGGAGTTTAAGGTTCCATGGCATGCCAATTTTACACAACTTAAAATAGTCCCCTGGTGTGTTAAAAGCATGTCTGTGACGTCCTTCGATCAAAATTCGATCTGGATCAATTATTTTAGTGCTCTTTTTATCAGCTAAAACCAGCTCCGCTCAAAATTTGAGCCAGAGTCTGACCCAGAGGGAGAGGCTCCGGAAGAAACTCTTAGCCGCGTTCAGACCAAGCGCGACTTGAAGCGACCTAGTCGACACATCCTATGTATTATTCAAAGCCGCCAGGAGGATCACGCTTAAAGAGGAAGATATGAATGTAGACAAAATTACAACCAGAGCTCTGCTACAATGTAAGATTTTGATGCTCTAAAACTTCTCTGAAGCCTTTGCTGATTAATAGGATGGCCGACCGTCCAGCATTAGCCGGGACGTCCCGTATTTGAGCCAAAAGAACCGCACGGGTAAATGCTAAAGCTACATGTTTGTCCCCCGCCGCCGGAGTTGTCGGGGAAGAAGCGAGCAGCTAAAAAGGTGTTGGGGCACCGGGGGGAATTTAGGCTAAACAGTAAGTCAAAATAAAAGGTTCACACTTACAGATGCCACGTTTGTAGTAGGATCACGGATAGTTGGTACGGATCCATTCTTTATCTTCAGACATCTAGCAAATCCAGCGTTGAACTGTCCCTCGTTGATAAAACAGTCCGAAGTGAAATGGTGCGCACATACGTACAGATATTTTGGAAGTGCCGCGGGTACGTTCCCATTATAAATAAAATCCACCCATTGAGTCCTCAAATCCTCCGACCAGGGAGTTTTCAAAAGAGTTTTGTGCTCGTTTGTGCAGCCAACAACAGAGCAAACGCTGCCTCTTTTTCAGATCGTACTTCCGCCATGGTTCTAACCGGAGCAATGCGAGCGGGCGGCCGGGAATAATGGCGGTGTTTAGATAATCTTTTGGGCAGGGCAGTGGGCGGCTCCATGGGCAGTACCATCAACCCGCCAGCACTGACATGACGTCATGTCAGTGGAGTTTTCAGAACGGCTCTGAGCACACAGTTCCTAAATACGGAGATAACTAAAAAACGACTGGATGGATTTTTTTTTCGAATTTGGGGGGATTGTAGCGGTTTTCTATCCCTGATACGCACCCCCCCTCCCGTTAACAAAGTCAGTTTTCCATGCCATGGCCCATAAGACTGTTTCAACCACTACAGACAGCTACAGGTAGAAAAGGCTCTGGATAACTCACAGCTTAGTTCATATCCATTGTTATGTGTCAATTTGGAAATGTCAGACATCAACTACAACAAGTTTAGTAGTGATTTACTGGACTGTAGTGTGCCCAGTGTATGCCTCTGCCAAAGGTGAGACCTGATTTAAAGTTAGCGGTGGAGTCAGTCTTCTTTCAGGCAGAAGGTTTTGATTTCATCCCATGTCCAGATGGTGAAATGTCCTTGGGTAAAACACATAATCCATCTGACTGCCCCAGGGGTTGTGCCAGGGGTTTTGTGAATAGGGTTAGTTATACTGATGGGAGCTTTACATAGCAGCCAAATGTAATGTAAGGCATGTGATGTATAAGTACTTGGAGTGTTCAGAAGACTAGAGATAAATACAGTTTATTTACCATTTTACTGCTTTGCAGTCGACCGGTAAAATGTATAATACCAGTATATATTTGTAGACACATTCATCAAATGATGCCGAAATGATACCAAAGGGGAAGACATAAAAGTTATCTTTAAAAAGGGGGTAAACAGAGTTTAAGTACCAAGTCACATAGAAAGAAAATGTTTATATAAAGCAGCTTACAATTCTGTCAAAACTGTGCTAACTGCATAAACACAACATTATGAGAAATTTACTTAGGTACTTCAAACTAGGGGAACTGAGGTAATCTGAAAAGTTGTTCAATTTATTCATTAAGTCAAGCAAACTTTATTGAAAAGGATCACATAAAACAAACAAAATTTAAAGCAGAGAGCTTTTAAAGTGGTTGACAGGAGGTAGATTTGGTAAAAGCCTGTGATGAGACCAAAGAATACCATATATAACTGACACAATGAAATTTGTTTGTCTGGTATTTTAATAATTACAAGATATGGTCAAAACAGCATAAGTAACAAGACTATGGCAGAAATGTTCAAAACCAATATAACAGCAATTTTTGGGAAAGATAGATTCAAACATAAAATGGTTATTTCCTACAGTAATTTTTTGATATATAGTCATTGATAACAATAAAACACAAAACAGGCATGGATAATGAACACAATAAAATCAGTCAATCAAATTTTATTTATATAGCGCCAATTCACAACAGTCGTCATCTCAAGACGCTTAAAATAAGAATAAAATACGACAAAATAAAATAAAAACACTACAAAAAAGCCGAAAGTATGATAAGTCAAAAAGTATGAAAGTATGTTAGAGAAAGTATGTTAAGTCAAATTTTTACAATTACCTAAATGTCCATGGTAATTTCAGCTAATTTGACCGTGGTAAATCATGTCTTTGCATTTTTTACAATAAAAACCAAAAAGAGAAATTTTAACACCACTGATTGATACGTGGACCTTTTTCTCGCTAGGCCCCCTTTTTCTACACGGACAGGTTTGAGCGCCGGACAGATTCCGTTGACATTGCTGAGGAGGAGGAGGAGGGTCGGGACTGGCGTTATCAAACCTGAAGGTTTTATTGCAGGGAGCCGCATTTTAGTGGCAGCCCGCTTCCTAACTGTAATTTAGGATTCAGCGGAGTCATGTATCGGCGGCCGCTGCAGTCTGCCGTCAGAAACTTTGTGAACGTGTCAGCGTCCAGAGCCGCCTACAGAAAGGTAACTACGCTGCTACTGAAGCTGCTGGAGCTAGCTTAGCTGGCTAATAGGATTGAAGCAAACTTACACGCCACTCAGACCATTATAACGGTGAACACAGAGAGACAGGGGAGGATAACAACACAGAAAGACACGGAATATAAACTGTTACAATGTCCCGTTTACGGACATTTCCAAGCCAACACCACACCATCTTATCAAGCAGGTAATTTAGAGAGATAAGTTACCTGTGCGGACTGTCAGCAGGTGTAAGCAGGTAAACTTGACCACACAGATTAACCCTATTAAAGGTAGCTGTCGGTCAACGTGAACAGATACAGACCTACACAGTCCCCAATACTCTACAGCAGCATGGAGTAAACTGACCTAGTTTTACTCCAAGTCCCAACACATCAGAATATAACACTATCTAACCTCAGTCCTCATCATTGTTGACTGTTAATGCACATAGAAGGGTTAATTACCAACTAAGAATATTAACAAAATGGCTTCTACTCAACTAAGTCTTGGAGGGAAGGCTGCATTAGATACGGGTAAATCCAGAAAAATGAAAGAATCATGGAAAAGTCTGTTATTTTCTGAATATCACAAACAATAATAAAATTGTGGAGATTTTCACCAGAAGGAATCATCAAAATGCTCATACATGGTAGAAATACTAAAGTCAGTTTGTGTTTGCTTTCATATAAAGTCCAGGTGAGAGTACACACCCACATCCATCTGCAAATTATTGTTTTATCTGCTGTTGAAGAAAGTGGGGTGAATTATGCAAAAAAAGATGAACGGTTAGTAAAACCAAAAGGTAGTAGTGTCAGCTGAGGTTTCAGCCTTTTCATTGGACATCCATTGTCCAGTAAAGAGCTTAAAGGAGACACTGATGGTGGACCTGAGACTGTTGAAAGTGCTTTAACTAGATTGCTAGGTAAGATCTGTTTGTTTCATAGAGTTCTGAAAACAAAGCTGACCAAGAAACAGTCCATCTGATGTTAGAAACAACATTGAAGAGCATTAAAGTGACAGATCTCAGACCCAAAATGTATATTTTTGTGGTTTTTACTTTTTTCTCCCTACTTTAAACCCTAAATAGCTTTCATGATATGTGATTACAAAAAAGTGCATGTTGACAGCTGATCATTGAAGTTACAGTGACATTCTGGCTAATTCCATTACAAAACATCTAATAAATCCCTTTAACAGTTGCATTTGGTTTATTTCACATTATTATTTAACAGTTGTTTATAGGCTGTGGCTGTCTTGTGTAATTTGCAGGTCCACACACTTATTTGTGCTTGATTTTGATTTTTAAAAAAATGCTGTATTTAGTCCCCAGAGATTTAAGATGAGCTTTAAAATAAACAGTTTTTCTGGATGTAGAATATTGGAAAACGAAACCGGTGGACTGAGGAGTCTTCAGCTGAATGAGTACATAAACTCATGCTAACACAGAGTCTCTTGAAAGAGAGATTTGTCCAATTTTAAATGGCAAAGTCTCAGGAAATCTGCAACATTACTAAAATACGTACACAATCATTCTCTGTAGTGATTATTTTGATCAGTTATTCTGTGATTTTATATTTAATATTGTTTGTGTCTTTCTCCCACCCTCTTCCTCTCTCTTTCTTCCATGCTCCTCCCTCTGTCTGTCTCTCCATCCAGGTGTTAGATCAAGAAGCCTGTTTTGCCCAAGCTTTAGCAGTTTGTCAGCTGGCCAGAGTCCCCTCTCCCTGTTTAACACCATGCCGGTCACTGCACTTGAACACACAGGTAAGACACCCTGCAGACAAACATTTACGACTAAAATGATACAGACTTGAAACAAACAGATGCAGAGCTTTTCTTGTAACTTGGCAGCAGTTTTTTTTTTTCACATACCAGAACAAGACAAGAGAAGGGGAAAACTAAATGACAAGGAATCACAGTCATAATATTACAAATGAATTAAATTTGCATACTTGCATAACCCGTTGTATCCTGTTGTCTCCAGTTAACCAGTTTAATTGGCAGTCTACCAACCAAGAGATGATTAGTGATTGATTTCCCACTGTTGGTATGTTTCCATGCACAGTTAAGTCAAGCTTGCCATAGCTAGATTTGACGATTTAACTTGACTTCTGTCAGTGTCTCATCATACAAGTTCAAGACTTCAATCAGACTACCTCAATAAATGGATTATTTTGGACAGCATGTTCATGTACTGTGTGTGTTTCTCATACTTTGAAACCAAATCAAAGGTGTCCAGCATAAAGTAAAATGTTTAATTTCATATTGTGCTCTGATCTGTACAAGTCTGATGAAAAAAGGACTCGTGTTTGGAGCTGCTCCACTTGTTGCCCTACAAGGGCTGAGAAACAAAAGGGCCTGAGGCTTCTCAATGCTGCTTAAGTAGGAGGCAATAAGGTTTGACAGATCCTGAGGTGAACTGAATGCTTTCCCCCCCGAGTATGGAGGCCTGACAGGTCAGACAGGTCAAACCCCTTTACAGTATAATGGTAAATAGAGCAAAGCTAACTTTAGTATTTGTGTACATTAGCGGTTCTGCTCAGTTTCAAGTCACTACATGAACTTGAGTATCTTTGCTAATATTGAGAAAACAATGCAGTTTTCTAACATAGTAAAATCTCACGCACAAATTTAAAAATATGGCATATGGAGCCATAGCCATTACTGACAGCCTTCCATGTGGTTCAATGTAGCCTGTGTCAAACCTGTGTCTCTACCTTAGTGGCCCTGGTACATGCCACAAACTCTTTTACAACGTTGTCATCCTCTGAAGTCTTCTTTTGTCACCCAGAATGTTTCTGACATGATAAGATCCTTAAATTCCTGGTGTTGAGACAGGGGAAAACTAAAAAGTAAAAATTCCACTCAGGGTGAAAATAATAGTTGTTAGCATCAGGTACTTCTTTATTTTAAGGCCCACCAGTCCACTCACAGAGATGCCTGGACATGTTCTTGCCGTGTCAGTGGGCATTGCGCCAAGAGTGTCATCCCAGAGAGACCGGCGGCTAATTTAAAAGCTGTGAAATGTTTAGGTCAGTTTGTTTTTCTGTGATGCACTCAAGTGTATCTGACAGGACATGATTGTGCTCGGACGGGAAAATGCTGACACATATTCAATTCTGTTAAAATAAGAAATGTGCCTAAACTCTTCATGAATGACTGGAAATCAGCACGAGGTTCACTTCTTCATGTAACGGCTAAAACACACAGGATACGGAACGGCTGCGCTCCCACTGGAACAGCAGCCTGATAAAATACACAAGCATTATAATCAATGTGCGTGATTCCACACAATATGGCCGCCATCAGGCTCTGCTGCAGATCGGCTCCGGCCATAAGATTAGATACGCAAGGCTTCTATTTTTCCCGGACGTCGCAGCACAGCGCATCAGTTGAGTGCAGCGCAGCACGAGCAGCAGAGGAGGTTTTATGCAGCTACAGAGTAAAATAGCCTGTTAATTTTCAAAATAAAATAAAGTCAATAGGTTTAACTGTTCTTCACGTGATAACGGGAGGCGCCAGGATTGTGGGATGTGCTTGTCTCATTCAGTGTCTCACATCGTAACATGCAAAATCTTGTCCAGTCTTGTTCAGTCGTAAGAAATATCGGTAATATCACAAGCGCTTCTTCTCGGATCTAGTAGGCAATGTATGCTTGCATTTTTGATCCACCTGCCGTTCCTGAGTGGAGCGGATCTGCATGCGTTGGAATCCCGGCATAAGGCCAAACAGTAGAGGTGATGGATGGGCACTAAGCTTGGCGGGAGAGACATACCCTCGCTGTCCTAGAGCAAATAACTTATTGTTTCATGACTTTGACCAGGATTTAAATGTTGTTTTTTTTAATAATGGAAATCTGTCATTTTTCTAAGCTTTACACAGATTTTAAATCACTGATGCCCAACAGATTTGTCTACATTGGTGTCCCTCTCATGAGACTCACTGTGACTGGAGTCAAAAATCAACAAGACCAGAAAGTATTTCTGCTCTGGTCCTTGTAGTGTTGTAAAAAGTTTGAACCCCTGACACAGACACAGGCATAGCAGCCCAGTGTATATGCTGTAATCCACTGCTGTTTTTAGCAATTAGCATCATCATCAGTATAGAAAATACGTAATGGAGAAAAATCTGCAGGAGAAGTTACTGAAGTCGTTTCTGAGCCAAACTTCAGTGAGCACTAATGAAGGGTAACTGGGGTCATAGTGGCTGTAATAAAACTGTCAAAGCATGAAGACAACATGCAGCTCAGAATAGGTCAGTGTATTCATTTACTCAACAGCTGCACTGGTCAGCAAAGGCCATGCTCTCCAGGTGTGTGTTGTCATACTGAAACTGTGTGTGCTGTTGGTTTAACAAGAGTTACACAGTCTGAGTACAGAGAGTATTAACTCTGTTTTAGGAATGGTCTCTTTTCAGGACGGGTCACGTCTGTCAACACTAATCTCACTCCTTTTTCGCTCTTGTCTCCTCTATCCACTCTTTGTCGATGCTCTTCATCTCTCACTTCTTCTTTCCATTACTCCATCTTTCTCTGATTTTTCTTCTCTCTTGTTTCTTCTTCCACCTCGGCGTCCTCTCACCATTCTTTTCGTTTTCTCACCCATCAGCTCCGCAACGTGAAGGAGACGCCCCAGCACACAGAGGAAGAAGTCGGGGCCTTCACCAAGCTCATTGAGGCCATGGGCTTCACTGGTCCTCTCAAATACAACAAATGGGTGAGTGGTGGCATTAAGTGGGAAGTTACAGGAGGATAGAGAGGTAAATCAGTGCCCTCTTCTCCAGGACCTGTGTTCACAATCACTCTAAGAGACCACTCAGGGAGCTCCTGACTTTGAACAAGGAGAGGAAAGAGCTGTTTATCTCAGTGAGGAGACACGGTTGACCCTGCTGCAAGGTCTTTCAAAAGCTGTGATTGGTTGATTCACAAAAAGAGAAACCATTCATTGCACAGGTCTACTGTATCTGAGCAGGCTGATGTTTTCACCGGATGTGATCGGCATGTAAGACATGTGTGATCTGCCCTCTCTCTAAAGCCTCTCTGTACATAATCAGAGACAGAGATGTCAGTTTTTCTGTCTCCTTAAATTCACTGGCTGCAGCCTGATGTCTCATTATATTTCAGGACCATTAAATGTCATTGTTTTAATCCTGTTGAGCAGAATTTTGCTTTCAATGTTACTTTGCGCTTCTTTGTACACATGGCTCACCAGATTTAAGAGAGGTTGTGAATTCAACTGTTTTTAGACAAGCTAAATATCTTTCATTTACTCTTTTGGGTAGTGTTGTATTTCTCCTGTTTCACTGCCTTTCCTCTCTTTCCTCCTCAGCTTTAGATACTTATAAGTCTCTTAAAAGTCCTCCTCCTCACTCCTCTCTTCAAGGCTTCAGTAGTTTGTGAATAACTTTTATCTTTACAAAGATCTAGTCTTAACTTTTAGGGGAAAATTTAGTAGAAAATGTCCTGATTTTGAAGAGTTTCATGAGACTGTTTTTCTCTGGGATTAACTCTTCAAACTGGGAGGCTTTGTGAAATCAGCCACAGGAACATCAGCCAGCAGGAGCTGTCGGTTACTGTGTGCCATGTATTAATGATTTCCTTTCAAGCTCCTCACCTTTGGGCAGTCACTGCTGTCTTTCTTATCTTTGTTAAATGACTGAAGTGAAAGCTGCTGACAGGTGTCCGCTGGCCACTACGCTTCTTTATTCTTACCTTTCAGAAACTAATGCTGCCATTTAGGATGATGTTTCTGTAAGTGCACTGTCTTAACTGGAAGTATTAAAGGGGAGGTATTTTGCTCTCCCTCACATCATCTGTGCTTCACATCAGGGTTGAGTGGTATAAACAAAATCTTATATCATGGTATGAGTAATTTCATATCATGGTAACGGTTCATACAGTACAGGCCAAAAGTTTGGACACACCTTCTCATTCAATGTCTTTCTTTATTTTTTTATATGAATATTTACATTGTAGATTATCACTGAAGGCATTAAAACTATGAATGAACACATGTAGAATTTTGTACTTTAAAAAAAAGTGTGAAATAAGCGAAAACATGTTTTATAATCTAGTTTCTTTAAAATAGCCACCCTTTGGTCTTGATGACAGAAGTACCTTGTCAGGGTTACTTCAGGCCCACCTGTGAAGTAAAAACCATTTCAGGTGACTACCTCATGAAGCTCATTGAGAGGACAGCTAAAGTTTGCAGCGCTATCAAAAAAGCAAAGAGTGGCTACTTTGAGAAATCTAAAATATAAAACATGTTTTCAGTTATTTCACACTTTTTTCTTAAGCACATGATTCCACATGTGTTCATTCATAGTTTTGAGAATCTTCAATTTAAATAGTAATGAAAACAAAGAAAATGCATTGAATGAGAAGGTGTGTCCAAACTTTTGGCCTGTACTGTACATCACGGGGTGTTTTTCCCCCATGTAAATTCAATTAATGGCTTAAACATAACCAAACTGTCGCATTTGTTCATTTTCCTTTTATTTTTTAACTCAGATTTCTATACAAATGCAAACAACTCCATCAATGCGATTTTTTTATCATATGGTGTGTCTTTGGTGGAAGACTCTGCCAAGCTCTTTTGTATAAGAGGAGCTGCTGCAGCTTTAGTTTTTGGTGCAGCGGATGCGCCAGGCATCTTTTGGCTCTCATAATAGAGCTTGGTGTGTTTCATCTTTAGATGGTGGAAGAGGTTGCTATTTAGCCAATATCCCATTATCAATGCATTAGCTCATCAGTTGTGAATATCATAATTATATTACACCCATAATTTTATCCTCAGATAGTCTGTCCCCTTTTTCCACAAAGAACGCCAAAATAGACATAAAGCGAAAGGTCTTGACCGAAGCTTTAATATGTCATTTTTATACACTGACTTTGACTCATGACTTGGCCCAGTTTTCAAAGATCCGAGTCTGTTCACTGATTGAAGGTACAGCTTGAGGGTAACAGGCTTTCTGTTCCCTGAAAGATGAGTGTGTTTTTCTCTCTGAGCAAAGCCGGTTAGCAGAATCAAAACAGGATGACAAGTGTGTGACGAAGAAGATGAGAGAAAAAGTTACATCATGGAGAACTAGGGCGGATTATCTGACATAATGGCCCTCTGAAGATATTCTTTACAACGTTGTTTTCTCTGTCCTGTATGTAACTTTAGGAAGCACATACACGTGTATTTTATTGACTTGAAGTTAAATAGGTTACTTTGTACCTAAGGCTAAAGTCACCTGTTCGTTGTCAGTTGTTGTTAGTGTAATGTGAACATGTTAAACATAATTACAGCAACACTTCTACTGCTGATTAATCTGTTAGTTGAGTGAAAGCATGTCAACAGCCTGAAGGAACATAAAAAGAAAGCAAACAAATCTTCTTGACCTTGATACCTGCTCTTCTTTAAGTAGTGTATTGTGTTTTTATTTATATAAATTAACCCAGTTATTATAGTCTTTAATCGGATTCCCAACAACAAATGCCCAGTCCCACTTAACTCCCTGCAGACAGGCAGATAAGCTAATTCAGTGTTTGTCTGTGAACAGAGAGCTGCTGCTGCTCAGTATTTAGAGGACGGTTATATGACCCGAGTTTGTGTGTGTGTGTGTGTGTGGCGGTCAGAGGAGGACAGAGGAGTTCTGACCTCCCAGCAGGGGTTTTAAAATATGAGCTGTCAGTGAGTGATATTCCTCCAAGAGGGAGAACAGACGTGAGCCTGAACTATAACTCTCACTGCTGTTATACAAGGTATATGTGTATGAATAAAAGGCGGTCAATTTTTTCAACAAGTTCACATCATGCAGCATGTTGCCATGGTGCTCTCAGATGCTGACAGTCGCTTTGATCGGGTACTATCAGGCAAAAAAGGTCTTAAGCTCTGCTTTCACTATGCGACTGTGCATTCAGTCAACCAATCTTTCTGATATGCCACACATTCACCTGACCCAGTCGCCTCTGTCGGCTGTCCAGTACAGGACAGAGGACACGCAACCATGCTAAAATGTGTCTTAACTTCAAATTGAGACGCTCACAGTGACCCAAAGATCACAAACCGTCCACATAAAAGATCAGTTTGGATCCTTAATTTGCAGGGTATGTTATACTGGATGTGTCAAGGTGGTTTACTCCTCAAACACAGACAATTATCTCTACACTTGTGCTACACAGCTGTAGGAATATTAGTTGTAGTTAAAATGTGTTCTTGTTTATGTAAAGCCAAAAAGGCCAAAAGATTTGAACAAATCGTTTATTTGAAATAGTGCTGCAGAAATTAGGGGTTGTCTTAGTCCATGAGACTGACAACTGATAGTTGGACCGGATATGCACTGACAGGAAAATTTTAAAACTTTGTTGTGTTGAAATGTAAAACTCAGAATGTTACAAACTCCATCACTGAACTTTTCTGAAATGCCTTTACAAAATGTTGAATCAAAACTGAAACATTCAACCTCATATTAAGGAGTTAACAGTTCACCTGTAACAGACTGGTGATCAGATGGTGTTATGGGGCAGGTGCAAGAAAACAGACCCAGTAGAAAAGACAGATTTTATTTTTTTATTTCATTGGCAAAAATAAAATAAAAGGCCAATAAAAATAATCAGCCGTTTGCCAAATATTAGCCTAGACAGTCGGCTGTGTCTGATAATTGGTCTTACCCTTTTACCAAATATTTGTTAACGTGTTTGTTTGATACAGATCAGAGCAAATGACCTATTAACTTCTTGTTTTACCCCAGTATAAAATATCAAAGTTTGATATATTGCACTGCTGCCTTTTCCTGTCAGTCATAGCCAAACATCATCTGTCATATCGTCAGGGATGTAATGTGGTTGGTGTAGAGTTTTTTTTGTTTGTTTTAATCATTTTGCATTATCTGCTGGCTTCACAGTCGTACGACCCTGACACAGTGAACTATTAAAATCCAGGATGAAGGCAAAGACTTTGGCGGGTCTTTGATGATAATGGAGAACATTATTCTGATGGAAAAACATGTTCTTTGTGCTGCATCATTTACTACATTTTTACAGTGTGTTGATGGCTAACAAGTCCATAAATCAATAAAGATATTTGGATGCCTGTTAGACTGTGAGCAGGACGGTTCATCTGCAGAAAGCCAAACTCTGAATCAGGTCATAAAAAGGCAGTTAATATTGTTCGGGGTTGTGACTGTTATTTGCATCACACACCCTTGCAGTGAGTGTGTTTTCCAAGAATTCACACACCAGTGAAGCATCAACATTTACAGCTGCAGAGAGGTTAGGATATGTTGACGGTTTTCAGAGAGGTGGTGGTGTGTGTGCACAGGAATGTGTGTCCTTGTGTCTTGCCGTGTTTGGCGACATGCTGGCCCGGCAGAGTTTGGCAGCAGAGCTCACACGTCTCTGAACTCATGTCCTGTTTGCTCAGAGGCTGTGTTGACGTCTGTAGTTTTGATTTCTTTCATGGAGTTGTTGCAGTCAAATTTGCGTAGCCTGTTTGTGTCAGCCTGCCAACACCACACTTATTGGCAGTAATTAAAGCTGCATTTTATCCTCTGAATCCCAAATCACATACTCTCATAGGGTTTAGAGGCTTCAGGTGCAAAAAATATGCCGGTTGAAATCAGTAATCGAATCTTCATCTTATCAGGACAAGCTTTTCCATTTAAATCTGGCACCCTAACTAAAGACAGTTTTTTTTTTCTATCCCAGATCCACTTGTTTTGTAAATTCTAACACTTTTCATCCTAAAACAAATAAAGTCTATTTGTTGCCATGTGTGTATATGTATGATTATGTAACTGAATTTGTTCCCTTTTCATGTGTTGACAGAAAATCAAGATCGCTGCCTTGCGGATGTACACATGCTGTGTAGAGAGAATCAATTATGACGATTTCTTTGAAAGTAAGTGCAGAGCTGCTCCACTGCTGCAAAGGCTAACACACCTCACTATAAATCTGCCAAACACTTGGCATATGAAAAGCAAATTGTATGACTTGCAGAAATTATTTTAACGTGGAAAGAAGAAGAATCATCCACGGTTAACTTTACCGACAGGCCTTAAATTTGGAGACATGTTTTAATTCTTTAAATATTCCGGGGAAAGCTCAGCTTATGGTTACCAGTTGCTGTTTCTATAAACCCACCTTTCACAATGCCTCTTTACATTCATTGAGTTAAATGCATTTCTTAGAAGTAATTACAAGGATCAATAGCAGCATAGAGCAGCGTTTATGAAGCGTTACATGCAGTGAACACACTGCCCCATAGGGATAAGATTTAGATCGCTTTGTACCCAGATATTACAATGCTGCCATATGCTTATTTTCAGCATGATATCAATATTTCATATTATGATAACGACAATTACCATGAATACCAGTGTGTATTGTGACAGCCCAAATTTATCATGTTCAGAAAAATGTGTTGTTTTAATAAGTTCAGATTTGCCTTTGGATATGGTTAAAGCTCTATGACAAACATACAAAGTTATTGGGAAGTTAAAAACTTTCTTTATCCAGTCATCACCACAAATTCTGTAATATCATCTTTCATATTTTTCTTTTAATTCTTTATCTCACTTAAAATACTTAGTCATGTTATTGCAGGTTATAAGTATTAATCACAAGTATTTCCATTTGAGAATAATAGAAATGAAAACTTGCTAACACTTGAGGACACTGACACTGTTCTCTGATTTTTGTCCATAACTCGATAAAGTTGTAAACTCTGAATTCAAAGCCACTGTGGTTAGTTTTTCATTGAGGTATAATGCATTAGAAACCATTCCTTCATAATGTCAGTTGTTATGAATGCTTCTAATCACTGATATGAAGGATTGTTCTAAAGGCTTAGGAATGCATTAACGGGTCTTATATGATGTTTTATAAGAGGTGGGTTTAAATTGAGGCAAGTTTTTTTTATTTTTCATCTTTCTTGGATCCACTTTGAGAAACAGTTAGTTCATTGTAGACTGATAAAAATAGACATGAAGCTATAGAGTGATCAGTACATAAAGTCAGATGTATACTCAAGCATATCTAGTCATGAAAGGTCTTTTTCACTGGCTAAACAATCACACTTTTCCTTCCATAGGGTGTAAGTAATTTGCTGTCAAAGCTGTTAAACAGTATTAATAAAGAGGGCAGCAGAAGGGCAGCTTTTCTGAAGCCAGTATTTCGCAATGACCTTTCGCTCGATGCCAACAAACTCTATAGGAGCTTGGTATCATTCAGTATCTGTATTTATGAGTTTAAAATTAACTTTGGAAATCTACTGAAGGCTTCAAATGTGGAAGAGAAAATCGTTTTAATTTTCTGACAGCACACACGAACTTCAGCGCTAGACCTGATCCAAACACTGGACATTCAGGCGCTGGTCGTCACACCAGTCCAAATGGAGTTGATTGGCGTTGGGGGACACTGTCACCACCTGCCTGACACATTTATTTGACACTTTACGGCCTGGCACACTGAGGCTCACTGAGCAGAAATGCTCATTAATATGACTTGCCCACGCGCACAAAAGCACAAATCTGAGCCAGCAGCGTTCAAAGCAGTGATGTGACAAAAAGAGGAATGAGTTTCCCACAGCAGAGGAAAGGTAGAGTTCTGTTTTTGAAAGCACAACAGTCTAAACCTTAAATATGTGCATTTTGATGTCATATGATGAGTAAACATGTACACTGTGTTTGTTTCAGAGTGCTCCCTCCCCGACACACTCAACTCCTGGTTTTTGGTAGCCCAGCTGCACGTATGGTGAGTTACACACGAACCAAAAAACACAAAAACCTCTATTAAGTCCTTGCTCTCTGTCAGTTTTTTTAACCCCCTTATCGCCTTTTAACCCTTCCTTGATCAGGATGTGTTTGGTTCGGATGCGTCAGGAGGGCAGAGCAGGAAAGTACATGTGCCGTTACATTGTGCACTCCATGTGGGAGGATGTAGAGCAGAGGAGCAAAATCTTGGGGGTAAGTTTTGTTTGTGTGTGTGTGTGTGTGTGTGTGTGTGTGTCAGTGGGTCTTAATTTGTCTGTCCCCGCAGAACCTCGTGTTTACTGCCAGGTCATAAGCCAATAAGATCACAGGACTACATTCCCACCATGACCACATACTGTACGTGCAAATCACTGCATGTCGAGTTTAATGCACAGCATGCCTATGATAACATACAGGGTCAGTACCTCCTAAATATAGCACCCTCAGCCCGATACAGTCTATGTCTGTATACATGTGTGTGTGTGTGTGTGTGCAGTGTCGCAGGAACAGAAGTGACCCTCTTCATGAGTCCTGCTCCCTGAAGTTGTTTGGTTGCCTTGACTGTTGCTCTTCCAAGTTTGTTGAAAGTGAGAAAACAACACAGGTTCTGTTCAGCTGGGTGAAGTCAGGTATATTACATGTTTTGTCTCTGCAGCGTCTTAAAGCTGACTGTAAGGACTACAGGATGCAGTTGGTGTAAGGCAGTGTGTTCCTGGATAACCAGGATCAGATATCAAAGCAGAGAATTTTTTTTTAAACCTTCAGCTGCTCCTTGTTGACGCTTTGTCAACTGCTTGAGACATGAGAATAGAAATGGTGTTTAGGTTCAACATCTTTGTTTGCCAACATATGCAGATATGCCTCAAAGTTCACTAAAAAGCAAAATTATAGTTAGATGATGGGTTCCTGTGGTTGATTTAGGCCTTTTTTTTTTTGTTATGCTCTTCACGTGTGTTACATGAAGCTGCTCAAATAAAATAATGGAAACCAAACTGGAACTTTTTATACCAGAACTGTTTACAATCCTGTTGAGATGAGAAACAGAACAAAACTAACTTAAATTTTTAGAGCATTAGAGTGAAATAAAAAGCTTTTTTAAGATACCTGTTAAAAAATTAAAGATCATCTTTTTTTTTTTTTTAGCCACATTTACATTCTTGAACATTTGGTTAAAACTGGACAACCCAAAGACATGACTAATGTTTCTCACCTGTTTTAAAAGTGTAAATCAGGGTTAAAAAAAACTTTAGATAGTTAGCTCATATCACCCAGCCCTGGGTTGTAGTATCAAATAGGGCTGGGCGATATGGCCTCAAATCAATATCACAATATAATGAGCAGGTCACCTCGATAACGATAAATGGACGATAACTACTCCAGAAGCTGCTCATCCCCTTCCAAATTACAACTTTTGAACCATCCCCCATTTTCTTACCTGTCTGGATGGGGTGGAGTCACGTCTCCAATGTAGGACAGCGCCTTTAAGGGACATGAGACCATAGCCTACCTACATTCACTCAAAACCAAGTACTTTTTTTTTTTTTACACCAAATATATTGGCATGGGCAAAATACTCAATTTCGGTATCATTAAATTTGTGGTTAATCGCCCAGCCCTAGTATCAATGAAGTCAGCCGTTGGTATCGGAAGTGGTTTGATGAAGCTGCACAAAGACCCATCGTGGTCATTTCTGCTGCCAAAACCTGCATTATAACAGTAGTGGTGGCAGCACTCAAAAGGACACTTGCAGTTTTTGCACTTGGTTTCTGATTGATGTAGGAAATGCAACAAAGTATGTGTTGTGTATCCTTGCGCTTATGGCCAATTCTAACTGAGATCACAATCAGTAATTAATTTTAGTGAGGACTATCCCATTTTTTTTGGCATTTTTGCACACACAGGCCTCTCAAACCTGGCTGAACATGACCCAGCAGTGATCCTTTGTTGAGATTTGCTCAAGAAGAGAAAACTTGAAGAGCTCTGAACACATGAACACCAGCAGCACAGATTTCTCCTGAGAAAAGCAGCCTCTAGATAGGTGCTTTCCCAGCAGTAACTTAAAGCCAGTTTGTTAAATAAATATTCATAATTTCAGAAACATTTCCGCTTTGGACTGATGCAACAGTGCATTAAGTTTTATCCGTGACATGGCATGCTACATAGGATGCAGGTTGTGTTTATTTAAAGTTTGACATCAGCATAATTGTGCCAACAGCTCTCAGTCGGGGAGTTTTGCTAAATCCCCGGAGAGCGAGGCTGGCTGTGGTCGCCGTGTCCACAAAGCTGTTCCTCTATTCTTTCTCAGCAGAGCAGCTCCAGGGAGTGTTGTTCATTGGCATCGCAGACTCAAACTTTGGCTCTGCTCACATGTAACCCTCAGAAAGACTTTCTCTTACGCAAATTAAACTGGAATCAGCTCAAAGTTCAGAGTTAATCACACTAGCTACTTGTGTGTTGGTAATATTTGACTGTGACTTCAAAGTGGCTTTACTCCAGTGACTGTGAATGAAATACAAACAAAAAAAGGACGTAGCTGACCAGAGTTAGGTACTTTGATTGTTAATAGCGGCTTATTCAGAGAAATGAACTTGATATCACAGTAATGAGCTTCAGAGTCAGACACTTTTAAAAAATAAGCAGGAGTGAAATTGATTTTGATATAACATCCAGTCATATCTTATGACCTTATGACTGTATCAGTATAATTAGTCCTTAACTATTACATATAGGGATGGGAATCGAGTACCAGTTCTTGTTGAGAACCGATTCCAAATGTTTCAATCCATCGACAACATTTATATTTCATCTTAACGATTCCCTTAATGATTCCTTTCATCCGGGTGCCTTGAAAAACGGTCTTGCGAGTGCCAGTCTACGCGAACGGGAACAGAGACAGAGGAAAAAAACATGGCGGACGGTACAAAAAGTAGGCAGAAATGATCTAAAGCGTGGCTTAATTTTACGAAGAAAGACGACAACAGTGCAACGTTTGTTGAGCAGTAATAACATGCAAAGGTGGAAACACCAGCAACATGCTTAAACATTTGTCAACAGGGCACGGCATCAAATATAAGGAGTCACATATATTCGATGCTCTCCGCCAGTTGTCAGCTGCTGCTCCATCTCAGCACGGCAAGGTACGTATGTCAGGGTTACCATACGTCCTCTGTTGCCGAGACATGTCCTTTTTTGGGGGGCTGTCCGGGGGAAGTTTATAAAATCCTTCAAATGTCGGGAACGTGTATTCATTCATTATTAAACAGTGCAGCGCATCAGTGCTCTCTGCAGCTCTGCCCCTCCGCTCACTTCTAAGCAAAGCCGGTGACACGACACACGCATGCACTGTCTTTGGGAATTCAGAATATGCGTTTAACTGAGTTAGAAGCACATAAAAAACACTCAAAAAAACCTCAAAATTTCACACACAAGTCTGCCCAGCGTAGTAGTGTCCTCTATTTGGGGATTCACGATATGGTCACCCTAACGTACGTCCTGTTTAGACATAAGCACAATGCATGGCCAGATATGCTGTACAAATAGCATTTTTGTTTGATTATTTTTAGACTCTCCCTGAAGGTGGTATACATCTTTTTCTGTTATCAGAGACTCTTAAAAATTTGAGTCTACCTTTTTTTTTTTTTTTTAAATCAAAGAAAGGCATTGATAAGGGAATCGTTAAGGAATTGAATCAAATGGAATGGCATCAATATTGATAAAAATCTTATCAATTCCCATCCCTAATTACATAGATTCAAGTCGAGAGTAAGAGGTGTCATTAAGATTTCAACCACTTTGATTTTCTGCTGTCAGACTCATGACTTGTGACTGGCCACGTCTGAGATCAGGAGGAATAAGGACTCCTACTTAATCTGTAGTCATCAGTTATAATGATGAAACTGTAACTGTAGTTTGAGGTGAGTCAGACACTTTAGTCTCAGGTTAGGATTTCTCCCTGTCTGTATGGGAAAAGCACTTTAATCCAAGTCACTCAGTGCGCTCTTAATAAATAAGCTCAGTAGCAGCTGGTTAAAAAATAAAAGGTTGTCTCTGACTAATTCATGATGTTAACCGAGTAGGATGGTTGAACCACGGCCAGGGTTCAGAGGGCCGTTCATATATGAGGTCTTTAGTTTTGCTCACTTTGTTTTGTGTGACAGAAAGAGGTCAGAGATGAGGAATTACAGAGTGGTTTGTGAGGTCACTCCTGGTGTGTGTGTGTGTGTGTGTGTGTCTGCATGAATTGGTTGCAGTGCAAGGGGGTACATGTGTGGGGGTGTACGTGCAGTGGGTGTTTTTACAGCTGCACATGTGAACTTTTGTCAGCATGTGTACTTGCGTTTATCCCTGTGTGCTGGCACAAGTTTTCACATGTGAGTGCAAATTAAAAAAACTTCATCATTGTGACCCCCAACAAAAAAAAAAGTCACAATTCAGTGTGAAATTTAATCCAAACACCAGGCTGCAGCTCATGGTAACCATTTTTCAAACTGCAAAATACAATTAATATCATTGATCACCTTCAACAACCAGTAGAAAGATACGACAAAGATATAGATATTTTCCCAAAACATTAAAATTATGGAAAAAGTGCAGAGGTATAAAAAAGGAAAAAAGTTATTAAGAGGGAGGAAAAGGAGAGTAATTAGATCAGAAAAGGAGCCTCAGTCGTGACCTTTCTTAAAGGACAAGTGACTCAGCAAAGAGATGAACACTGACCTTCTTTGTGAGGAGACTGGATGCTTTTTTTGTGTCTACATGAGTGTGATGTGAGTTTCACAGCCGGTGTTCTTGTACTTAAGAGGCTGAAACATAAAGATCAGGTAACTGTTTGTTTCATGTTTGAATTAAAGGCAATATCTTTATGTCAGAAGCCAGTAGAAGTGTTATACACAATGCTGTGAAATTAGCTTCACAGCAGCACATCTATTTTTTTCCAACACACACAAGCAGGAGCATTGATTGGAGCTAGTCTTGGGTTTCATGCTAATTATCGTAAGAAGCAGTAAAAACATCGGTCATTTTCCCCGTGTTCATAATTACTGCGACAACCAGCTGAAACCAGCCAAAACTTCACCACAGCAACAATTTCCTTTGTCGAACCACATGAGCTATCACCACATCTCACAGAGGATTCACTAAATCCTGCTTTTCTGCAGCGTTAGGTGGTTGAATTTCCCCCCACAGCTCAGGTTTCTTTACAATAACGCAGGGACTGATCGCAAAGGTTAAAGCTGTAGTGGGGAACTTTTGGTCTGTGTCAGTTTTGAGATGCAAGTCTTTTAACTTTGCTGATCTTTCCTGTAAGTGTCAAAATAGTGTTTTATGACAAACAAAAAAATTAGCTTTTTTGTCCCTTTCAAACGTTACTCACCAATAAGTGCGTCCAAACAAATAAACGTGAACAGAGAAATATGTGTAGGGTAAGTTGTGGTGTTGATTTATACAATTCTATACATATAATTAGGGTTACCAAGACAAAATTGGACAATGAAGAAAACAAAAGAAACAAACAAATAAAAATAAAAAATCAGGGGGGTAGAGAGGTAGGGGAGAAAGCATAACAAAGGACAAAAAAAAGATAAATCTTTTGTGAACAATGAAATGTGCCACACTTGATGAATCTGCCATGAAAAAGGTCAGGTAAGGATATTAATTCTAGTTCCTGATCCTGATCTCAAAAACTGACTTCCCACCACAAGATTCAGAGGTACAAATTAAATTCAAAGTGTTGTGTCTTCCAGAGGATGGATATTTACAGCTTGCAGATTCTCTACTTTTAGCTGTGCTACCAATAAGAGTTCAGCATTTTTTTGTATTGTCATATATCTCACCCAACGTAGATGTATTTCGATAAAACATGGTCTAGACAATTCATGTATTGTTCCAACCTTGGCGATTCCAGTCAGCCCCCTCTGCACTCTTTGTCGGTGGTCATGAGCTTAAAATGGAAAACTATGTATGCAAAAGGTAGATGTAGGGCTGGGCGATAAACCAAAAGTTTACCAATACCGAAATTTCAGCAGTAACCAACGTCATTTTGCCCGTGTCCAAAAAAGTGTCCAGGTGTCAAAAAAATAAATAAACAAAAGTTGGTTTTGGATGTGTGTAGGCTATGGTCTCATGTCCCTTGCTGTCTCGCTGTCCTACGTTAGAAATGTGACTCCAACCCATCCAGTCAGTAACAAAGAGGGAAAGACAGGTGAGGAGATGGAGGACGGTTCAAAAGTTGGAGCGGCTGGAGTAGACGAAGTTAATGTGGGAGGGGGTGAGCAGCTTGTGGAGTATTTATCGTCCATTTATCGTGATGGAGGTGACCTGCTCAATGTACCATGATATTAATTTGAGGCCATATCACCCAGCCCTAGGTAGATGTGAACATTGTTAACATTGATCCTGTTTTACATCTTGATTATGTATTGTTACAGTCCTGCAGGGACGACATGTTTTTAAAAGGATACATACTGAAATTTTCTTCATCCAGGTTCACTTAACAAAAAGTCAGTGATATTTTGATTGGATTTGGATTCTGGCTCTGTGGGAAAGAAAACCAACAGTACAGAAACGATGTAAAAATTCTACTGTCATAGATTAAGAGCTTGTCAGCTTGTATATGTTCTGCCTTCAGCTTTTAAATGTCCTCATACAACCTGTTTCCTCACCGAGCCTGTTAGTTACAAATTGCTGTTATTTTAAGACGTGCTAATTATTCAGAACTGCTGTCGTATGATGCAATTTGATTTGGTACAGCAAAGCAGGAAAATCTCCTCCCTAGTTTGTGTCAAAGACTTAGAGTTGGAATCAGACTCAAAGATATGGGCAGCAGGACAACTACAGCTACTTTTAAGGTTTGTAACTGAATCCTGCAGCTTGAAGGAGTGCGGGACGTTGGCACGCCGATGTTTGCATTAAGTACAGCTTCATGGAGCTGCACTGACTACACACTGATCACACTTCAATGTGAATGATCAAACACTGCATTGAAACCATTGATTGTCTTCTGTCTGTGTTCCAGATTGATGCCATCCATAGGAAGGAAGCAACGAAGGCAATGACGGAGACCTTCTACGCTGCTATATTTGGATATGATGAGGTGAGAGACACTGTGAAATAGTCGTATAGAGGCATCATCAGGAGTTACTCTGTGAATGAAAACTGTCTCTTGACCAAAAGGTAGAGACATAAAACTTGATAAGAGTTGTAGTTATTTTATACAAGTATTGCAGTCAGCCTGATACACAGTGATTCAGTCTGATAACCAAAATCTGCTTCATTTGTAAAAAATGCTGAAAGTTCACGTCTGTGTCGCAGGGAATCCTGTCTGATGACTGTGTGCTGGCAGCAGCTCTGTGGAGAAATCTGTTTAACCGCGAGTGTGAAGACCCCAAACAGCTGGAGCTCATGGTGGAATATGTGCGCAAACAGGTCGGTGTGATTGCTCATTTATTATCTTTGTGCATATCTGTGGTCTTTTAGATTTCAAAAGCTTTATTACAACCATGTAGTCTTTGCAAAAATCCTACAGTTTTACTTTTCTACTTTCGCTACATCACACATCAATTACATCCTCTGCCGCTATTCTTTCTCTTGAAATGGATTTAAAATTTAAAAAACACTAAATAAGCAGCATTTTAAACTTTGTTTCAGAGCCCCAAGAAAATACTTCCCAAGAAATACTGCTCTGTTATTGAATAAATACTACAACAAAATATTGTAACATTAGTAATGTGGTTGTATCATCAATATCATGAAACCTCTAACGTCTGGATATTGTCGTGGATCAGTGTTGATGTGAAGTGATAAACCCCCCCTCGCAAAAGGTCTTGTTTTGTTTCAGCCCCAGCGAATCAGAACGGAGCAAAAAATGAACTACAAAGACCAGTGTCCCATGTGCCCCATCATCCTTTGTGCTCTGTTTCCCTCAGAAAAAAAGAGAACTTTAGTTGTGTTGAGAAACTTTAATAAGTTCAAATGAATGACTTTTTATGATACACACAAAAAAAACACAATCAGCCACTGGAGTGACAATTTTTGTGTCATTTCTAATGTTGAAACCAGTGCAAGTGTCAGGTTTTAGCCCAGCAGCTGAGGAAACAGACGTTATTACAATTCCCACATAAATATTCACCATAAATGACACACTTGACCTTTAAAAGACTGCAGAATGAGATTTTGTACATCCAAAAAATGGCACACTCCAGAAGTTCCTCATTGTAGCTTTAAATTTATAGTAAATATTTTCATGACTGTGTTGGTACTCATAAAAAGTTGAAGTCAGACTTCTTCTTCTGGCCTTCTTTTAGTGTGGTGACCCTGTAGTCATTATCAGTATCCTGAGAACACACCGACCGCTATAACCCACCTCTCTTCTCATTTTCTGGGTCCCCCACCCTCTCTGAGTACTTTCCCTTTTTCCTTACCTCCTGCTCACCTCCTCCTCTCTCTCCTCTCTGTATATTTTCTTTCCTTCTGTGAGATTGAAAACACTCTCCTGCTTTCAGAAACACCTGCAGGCCTCCATCTGCTGCTGGGGCCATGTGGTCCTGGACCCCCTCTCTCCTTTAAACTTAACTTCCTTTCATCCGCTCTCTGCAGCCGCTCTGTTAGTGACTCTGTTTACATCAAGCCGCTGCCTCCACCTTTAATATTCATGTTACTTCAACACGTCCACCTCTTCTATATCACCTTTTTCCAGCTTTACATGAGCCAACTTACGGCAAAACACACACACACACACACACTAGTACACACACACACTTCCAGATGCAGGTGTGTCAAAGGTCATGGAAGCAGTGTCCAACTCAATCAGCCAGTAAAGTGTCCCTGCTGCCTAACTGTGTGTGTGCGCGTCCTACCTCAGAAAACCAACAAATGACACACTGTGTGTGTGTGTGTGTGTGTGTGTGTGTGTGTGTGTGTGTGTGTGTGTGTGTGTGTGTGTGTGTGTGTGTGTGTGTGTGTGTGTGTGTGTGTGTGTGCGCCTCTTTGCTAAAACACACAAACTCATAAAGAAAACAAGTTTGTCTGGTTATTTGTTGTTGCGCCATCATCATACAGCTCTTCAAGCTGCTGTGACTGGCTATAGAAAACATGCTCTGAACACACACAGACACACAGACTCACACAGACACGCAAACTGTGCTTTTGACACTGATGTTGATACATGTAGTTTTTTAGCAGAAACCACCAAAGACTGAAACAGAGTGCTTCATTTTTGTGCTTTCTATTGTCTCTGGTGATGATTCTGATCTCTACCACAGAGTATTAGTGTTATAAAATCATTATGATACTTATGATAATGTGGTGCTGATGTGCCAAAACATTAAGTACCTCTTTGTTTGAGAAACCTATAGTTAGGGCCATTTTTACGAAATGCTTCATGACTCTCATTTCAACCACTGTCATCTTTAACAAAAGGTTTGAGTACAAGGACTTAATTCTGACTTTATCCTTGTAAGTACTTCAGTACAACTTTATTCTCGTTAGTAATGACTTTATTCTCAGTAGTTGGCCCTAGTTCTCCATCGTAGATTTCAGATCTGGTTTCACTTTTTGCCTCCTGTGATAGTAAAGAGTGAAACCGGAGACTGAACAATGTTGTGGCACCTGCCGTGAAGCCCCCACTAGTATTATCAGAAACTAGAAAAGCACTCGGAGAGCGCAGACCTCTGCCAAGCAGCTCATGTCCCCCCTTATATTGTGATTCACACCAAAACTTTCACTGTTACGTGTCTTTTATTAACTTTTATTTGTGTTTAAACTGGTATGTCCACTGTTCATAATGTTCCTAAAACAAGAAATGCCCTGACCGGGATTCAAACCCAGGACCTTCTTGCTGTGAGGCAACAGTGCTAACCACTACACCACTGTGCCGCCCATTTGTTATCTTTCAGCATTGAAAATTCCAACAACACCCTTATTTTGTGTGTTCTGGATCACAGTATATGGAACTTTGTCTGGATCAGGATCAACCTTTGACACCTCATAAAAAATTTGGATCCTTTTGTGTAATTTTTTACCAAAGATTCTGGCCATTTTTATAGAGTTAAATGCAAAAAATCAAAAATTTGCTCAATCTCACAATGACAAAGAATCCTTCAAAAAATTCCTGGATCCAGAAGGCAAACAAACAAACAAACACTACCGAAAACATAACCTCCTTGGCGGAGGTAATTATCATCAGAATAAAGCCAAAGGTCTTCAAGTGGAGTGAAGAACTGATGCGTGCTCTCTCTTAGTTGTGGTACATATGACTGTTTTTAGAAATGTCGATAATCCTGACACAAACGCTTTGGTGGAGAAAGAAGTAGACTACTCAGTTTTTCCACTTCAAGTGATTTTCAAAGAATGAGGAGTTTTTCTAAGTTTTCAAGAGGTTTGAAGTTGTGTCAAGGGTCGACTCAAAAGTAATTGTTTTTAATAATTGTAATAGCATGAGCCAAAAAACTCTGAGAGATCATCCAAGAAGTGTCGGAGTGTTTTGTTTCACTTACAGACTTTCCCTCCCTGTCATCCAGTCAAGTCTCTGTGTCGTGCCTCTCCTACGTTTACTTCTTCTTTGATCCAAAATGGTCTCTGGAGGCTTTGTCAGGATGCTTTTTGTTATTAAATAAGACTTTTTTTTTTTTACTGGAATGGTTTGAAATGGACTAAATCCTGACTAATAAAGGGATGAGTTACACAGAGAAGGAGGGTGTGTTTGAGGCTGTCGTCAATCCACTCTCTCTGCTGCTGTTTCTTCTCTGCACCTGCCCGTCAGCTGAGACATTAACTGTAAACATGCTTGTCCTGTTCAGATGCAGTACATCGACGCTCTGGACGGGGAGGACCTGCTGCTGACAGGAGAGGTGAAGTGGCGCCCTCTGGTGGAGGAGAACGCTCAGAGCATCCTGAAGGTGGCCACACCAACGTATAATGACACCGGGCTGTGAGACGAAGAGACAGACTCCTGTTTCCTCTCATCCAAAGTCCTTTTCTCTGACCTCTTCTCCCCCCTAGTGCCCTCTCCCCTTTTCTCCGAGTTTGTCTCTTTTTTTCTTTCCCCCTCTCCTCCTGTAATCATGCAGCCTGTTCCCCTCCTCCTTCTGTCTACTCTATCCTACCAGGAGGGGTTTAAAATCTGACATTAAGTCTGTTGCTGTCCTTCTTGTCTTCCTTATTTGTATTTTCTTTCCTTGCGTGTACCCACACAGTTTTTCCTTTCCTCCTTTCCATCCTTCAGAAGTCTGTTTTTTCTGGAGGTTCAGTTTAGTCAGGATAGACAGTCAGGGATTTTTTCCACACACAATGCTTCACAGAAAACAAACTTATTGAAAACAAGCCAGCCAAAAACTGGGAAATGCCACGAATTCTCATCCTAAAATGTTGTCCTGTCGGTTTTGAGAGCCTTTCATAAGTCTGTTGGAGCTACTTGTCAGAGGGAAACACACGAAAAGAACAACACACTGTATTTATATTTTCTTGTTCATCCATAAATGCCACTCTGTATTTGTAAAGTATTTTATATACCTCCATGTTTACGCTTTTCTCCTGCAGAGGTTCAGGCCTTCTGTCTTTCACTGTACGTTACACAAAGTTTCACTCTAAATAATGAAGTTAGGATATGAACACAAAGCTTCTGGTGAACAAATGGAAGATGTCAAGGGAAAGAGTCTTTGTAAGGGAATGAGTGTTTCTCTGTGACGATCAGCTGTTTGTCTCTCTCTCTCTCTTGTCCTGTGATGCTCTCAGACCCGAACAGGAAGCCGAGCTCTAAAAGACTCAAATGTCGTCACTGCTTTAAAAACAGTCAGATGTGTTTTTGTTTTTAAAAAGATAATTAAAATGTTCTCTGGATGTAAAAAAGTGACTGCTGGGTGGGTTTTCTTTATTGGCCAAAGAGACGAAAAGCTTTTTTAACTTTTCAAGTGGAAGCTTGTTGCATGGTTCATATTTTGTTGTAGGGAGTAAAGTGATCAAATGTCTTCTAATTTAAACAGAAATTTGAAATAAAACTAATAGACTCACTTAAAGGACAGAAAGTGCTCAAAAAACAGTCAAAATTGAACAAAATCAATGTAACACACCTAATTTTTCAACTGGTAAACTTTGCCAAAGTAGCTAAAGTTTGCAGGGCTAGCTCCAGCTGTAGCCGCTGACCTAGTGGCAGGTGGTTTTGCCACAGTTTGATGCAACATAAGAGCCTGCAGTGCTCCTATAATAGAACTTTTCTTTCTCAGTCAGTGCGTCATACTAGGAAAGGGGATTAGGGCCGCAAGAAGAGAAAAGAATAATTACAGGAGGGAGATTTCTCTCATTTCTATTTTGAGATTAAAGATAAAATTTCAAGATTAAAATCACAATTTAAAAAAGTTGAAATGAAAAAAATGGAAATTTTGTCGTGAAAGTCAAAATTTCAAGTTTAAAAAATTGAAATTATTGAAATTAAAGTTGAAATTTTGACTTTAATGTCAAAGCTTCAATTTTTTAATGTCGAAATTTTGACATTTTGCAATCTCAAAATTTCAACTTTAATCCTGAAATTTCAGTTTCTAATGTCAAAATTTCTACTTAATTGACAAAATTTAGATTTTATTAATCTTGAAATTTTGACATTAATCTCCTTTCTTTATTTACTTTTTTTCTCTTCATGTGGCCCGAATCTTCTTTCATAGTCATACACTTAGGATTATATTTAGTTGATTAAATATGTTTATCAGAAACAACAAAAACATCTTAAACCTCCTGACTTCACTACTATCAAATGTTACAGAAACACTCTGAGTTAGCATCATTGGACTAATGGGCCGGCTGTGGCTGTGTGTTTTTTTCAATGTCTGCTATTTTCTAGTTTTTATGTGAAATCTGATCATTTAGCATTTCAACCAAATTTAGAAAAACCTCTGTGCACATAAAATATCATCTTATACATCATGTATAGTATATATGATATAGTATATCATCAACATGCAGACAAACAGGTGCTTCCCTAAAAGACTTCTCCATATGACTCTCAAAACAAACCAAAAAAATGAAACACTGGAAATGTGTTGAATGGTCATAAATAGACTGATTCCTGCTCATCACAGACGCTCTGCTTCAGTCCTACAGAGGGCGCCACACCCCACTTTTTAATACTCAGTTTATCAGCTGATCCTGAGTCAGCATCTGGAAAACCTAAATGCATTTCATTCATATCACAAAGTTTAAAGGATGAGCTCAGTCATCTACTGCTGCATGGTGACGTTGGCAGAAACACTGTGAAGTTTACAGATTCATTCAAGTTTACGAAATAAAAGGCTCATTTTTTTTTTAAAAATCTGTCATCAGAAATCATGTTGCTGCTCCAGAAACATCGTATAAGGTCCAATCATTCTATGAAAGAGAAATGCCCAGAAGTTTGTTGGACACAAAGTAAAATCTTTGAGTGTCAAGTTTCTTTTTCTTTTTAAATTAGATCATTATCCTGAGAGGTTATCTTATTTCAACTGAACTCTACATCCACTCGAACATTCCTGATGCAGGTATTACCTGTTATTTGTATGATGTCACTTTTCTGACTCTTTATTCATGTTTTCAACCATCAACTCCTGCATTATCTAAGCCATTTGAAGACTAGTTGACCTTTGTTCACCAACAGGAAAAGAGAAATTCAGTCTTATGCTGGCGAAAAGTAAGAACCTGTCTCAGTAGCTCATGGAAATGTTTCTTAGTCCTGAGTTGAACCTGTGAAAAGTGACGTTAAAACAGGAGAAATATTTGTTTTTCTCTTGTCCGTTTGGCTCTGCTGTCTGCCTCTGTGATGTTCACAGTCAGTGGAAAAATCCTCCAGCCTTCATCCGTGTCCCTGGGTGTCAAACCTCCTCTCTGTAGACCGTCTCCAGCAGCTCAGACAGGAAGTGGTCGGACTGAGTCATCTTCACAGGATGATGTGCCACAGAGGAGCTGCTTTGTTTTCATGTGCACTGATGTAAAACAGCTTTTTAGTCTTTTCCTCCTCTCCGCTCAGTTCTGTTTTTACCCCGCAGTCTTCACATTTCCCTCCTGCTTCTGCTTTTTATTCTTCTGTTTCTTAACTTCTGTCTGAACTCCTCAAACAGCTCATGCTCAGTCCTCAAGATCTGACAACTGACAACAACCAGCTGAGGATCTGTCTCTGTCTGATCTGCCTCATGTAGCTACAGAGCAGGTCAATCCTCACAGTTTACATACTTACAGTGTGTCCTGTTAGAAAAGTGATAAAACTCAAGGTTTAAATCCCTCTGTGAGCTGTTTCTGTGCTGCTGCTCATTTTTACCCAACTTTTTCAGGAATTGATTTTCAAAATCAGTAAGCACAGACACATTACATGGAATGATGCTCCCGAAGGAGATGTGTTGTTAAGCGGCTCTGTGCGTGCTAATTTTGCCCTAATATTCCACTGTATTGAGGTTTTTTCTTAAAGTCTAATGACCTCTGACAGATTATACCAGAGAACAGGAGCTGCTACAGAGAAAGGATCTGAGTGAGTGCTGGAAGGATCTGAAGGGTCCAGTCGTGCTGTAAAGGCTGAGAAGCTCTAAGATACGAGTAGGGGCGAGGGTTAGGGTTAAACAAGAGGAAGCGTGGCGCTAGCAAGTCCTATATTTCTTGAAACCAGTTTTGCAATCAGGTTTTGCTGATCAGGTTTTGAGAACTGAGGAGGAAGTAGATCCGAGTATCATCTGTGTAGAATTAGAAGGAGATCTTTTGAGTCAGTGTGATTCTTTCTAATAGGAGTATTTAGAGACTGAAGAGGGGTGGACTTAAGACTGAACCCTGAGGAACTCCTCATGTGATGTTTGCTGGAGTGAAGGATGAGTTACCGATGGAAACAGTGAAAAGTCTGTGTGGGACAAAGGAACAAAACCAGAGAAGAGCAGTTCTGGGAATGTCGACCCAGTTTGACAGGCAGTCAAGCAGAAAAGGATTATCGACTGTGTTGGTTGTACTTGAAATGTGAGAACAGTATTTCTACTTTTAAAGCTAAAATTTCAACTTTTTTAATCTTGTTAGTTTTTGGTTTAGGACAGTCACCTTGAGGTGCATAAATAACAATATTAAACAATATGATAATCGACAAAAAAACAAAAGTGCTAAAAAAGGTAAATCCCCTTATTGAAGTCCAGTAAAACCCACCTCACAGTCACTCATTGTGTTGATACAATCACAGCCATCGCACTGACCGCAGGTGTTTCAGCTTAAACGCTCCAGAGATACACGCCCTGCATCACTATGAATGAAATGAACAACACAGCAGACATGTGCCGTGCAGACACACTCTGAATACATTCAAGGCAGTGATGCAGCACTAGACTGAAACATCCACCCCAGTGTGATACACCAACGCAAAGCTCACGTGGGACATTGAAACAAAGTCTTTCAAACATTTGGTGAAATATGATGTGACTAGCAGTATTGTTGATTGAAGCACAGTGAGCACTTTTTTCGTCTCCAGTGTGATGACTGTTGCGGGTTGTTGTGAGTGTTTCTTAATCATGTGTCTCTGTGGTCTGTAGGTTTGGTGCAGTCAGAGTAGTCAAGATTGATTTAGTCCTCAACAGCCACCAGTTTTCCTGTGGGACTTTTTGAATCTGTTTTTACACTCAATACACAATCAGCTCACCCACACACCCATGAACCACCTGATACAGATTTACATGTGCTAGCCTCCTCATTTGTTGCGAGTAGGAGCTAACTTTGTTCACGGGAGGGGGGTGCATATCAGGGATAGAAAACCGCTACAGTCCCCCCAAGTTTGAAAAAAAATCCATCCAGTCGTTTTGTAGTTATCTCCGTATTTAGGAACTGTGTGCTCAGAGCCGTTCTGAAAACTCCACGGACATGACGTCATGTCAGTGCTGGCGGGTTGATGGTACTGCCCATGGAGCCGCCCACTGACCTGCCCAAAAAATTATCTAAACAGCGCCATTATTCCCGGCCGCCCGCTCACGTAGCTCTGGTTAGAACCATGGCGAAAGTACGATCTGAAAAAGAGGCAGCGTTTGCTCTGTTGTTGGCTGCACAAACGAGCACAAAACTCTTTTGAAAACTCCCTCGTCGGAGGATTTGAGGACTCAATGGGTGGATTTTATTTATAATGGGAATGTACCCGCGGCACTTCCAACATATCTGTACGTATGTGCGCACCATTTCACTTCGGACTATTTTATCAATGAGGGACAGTTCAACGCTGGATTTGCTAGATGTCTGAAGATAAAGAATGAATCCGTACCAACTATCCGTGATCCTACTACAAACGTGGCATCTGTAAGTATGAACGTTTTATTTTGACTTACTGTTTAGCCTGAATTCCCCCCGGTGCCTCAGCACGGCCACCACGCTTTGATAAACACACCGGATCCGCGCCGGTTTACCGGATCCTCCCGTATTTTAGCCGCTCGCTTCTTCCCCGACAACTCCGGCGGCGGGGGACAAAATCCCCCTCCGGAGCAGCATGTAGCTTTAGCATTTACCCGTGCGGCGACGCGCCTCTTTTGGCTCAAATATGGGACGTCCCGGCTAAGCGTGACCCTCCTGGCGGCTTTGAATAATACATCGGATGTGTCGACTAGGTCGCTTCACGCCGCGTTTGGTCTGAACGCGGCTAAGAGTTTCTTCCGGAGCCTCTCCCTCTGGGTCAGACTCTGGCTCAAACTGGTAGGGTTGTACGAGCGATCTTCTTGCAGCCATGACCGAGCCAGTGTAAACATTAGTACATGGCTATCGGAGCACAGCCACAGCCCCTTCCAGAGAGATGCGTGTAAAGTGGACGTGAACTGTCGGTGTTACCTAGAAGTCAGAAACTGTTATGGATATTGTTTATTTAAGTTTTTTATTTCACTTTTTCCTCGTCGTTACTTTAAAAAGTTTCAGAAGAAAAATATTTCAATGTTTCAAGCAAAACTTTTCTGCCATGTTAGCAGGTAACCGAGGTGTTAAAAAAAACACAGCAGCAGCAGCAGCCAGTGTTTAGGCAGCGTGTGGCAGGAGGGACAGGTGTTCGTTTCATTCCCCAGACAGGAGATAAACTGGTTCACTAACAAGGATTCATTATGGAGGATCCCAGGGTGACAGAGTCAGTTACTGACATCTGGGTCACAGAGAAGATATATCCTCCTGATTGACTGCAGGTCAGATGGCAGGATCTTCAGATCGCAGATTAAACTTAGTTTCTAATGTTACGGTGGAATTTTTATCTCTATGTGCTTAACATTAAACCAGTCTCTATTTTCATTTAAGACGCCTGACTTCATGTTTTTCTTTCCACTTTTCCTCGCCTGATTTATTTTGCTACCTTGTGAAAAGTTTTTAGGAATTTTGATGAAATTCTGTCATTTCCTGTAATTGTATTTTTAGGTCTAGCTGCAGAATTAAAATGTGAATTAATAATCGAAGTTACTCAACAACTTCTGTAGCAGGACTGGATGTACTACAGTATTTAGGAACATGTTGGTCTAATTTGTTCTGCAAGAACATGTCAGAACAGCCTGGATTAACACACACTCACATTTGTGTTGCAAGAACATGTCAGAACAGCCTGGATTAACACACACTCACACACGCTCAGTAAATTCATCAATCTGAAATTTACTGCTCCAGCTGCACGTCAAGTATCCACACCTATAACACACACAGAGACTGCATGAAGGGATCTCTCTGGGAAAATGAAAAGCCGTTTTGATCATGTGAAAATACTTTCACTCTTAGTGAACCTGCATGAACATGAATCCTGCAGATGACATAACATGCGTCTGTGTGCTCAAAACCTTTTTTCATTTCTATGTCATACATGTTTCCCCTCATATTTTCTCAGAAAAGACTGGAACTACCTCTGGTGCCTTCACTAGACCGATAAAAGCAAGCAAAGCAATCACATAGAAAATTGATAATATCTTAACAGTCAGTTTTTATATCTGTCAGCTCTGAGGAGGAGGTCTCGGGCAAAGAGGGTCAAACCTGCTAAAACGACTTTAAATCTGGAATTTCAAGTATGGTCACCTGACAAAAACCTCATCCTGCTGACTTTTGACAGTCACATGTGTCATGTGTCATTTATCAGGTTATTTTTGGTGGGAATTGTGCAAAAAGGAATTTTTTTCTCCAGCTGCTTGGCTGTCACTTAACCTTTTGCACCTATTTCAGACCTCACAAATCATAATATAAAACTCCTCAATCTTGCCCCTGAATGTCTTATAGTCAAGTTGTCTAACAGCCGCTGCTGAAACAAAAAATGAGCGAGACAATCTGCCGAGGACCAATATGTTGATATCACATTGTTGTCCAATTTTTTCTTTTCTCTCTCTTTCTATGCATTTGACAACATATGATATAGTGTAAAAAAATAATGCTAACAGATGAAAAACAATATTGTTGAACTTTGGATCATTCCACGTGTGAGCAGGTTCATCAGAAACAGGTGAGGGTCATGGTTGAGTATAAAAGGAGCATCCCCTAAAGGCTCAGTCCTTCACAAGGACGGGGCCACGTTTGTTTAAAACTGTGTGAGCAAATAATCCAACGGTTTAAGAACAACATTTCTCAGCATACAACTGCAGAAACAACTGAGGAGACAACTGCAGTCCAGATTCACACAAATGTGTGGGAAAGTCTGCTGTGGTCTGAGGAGTCTCCACTTTAGATCTTTTTAGGAAATCATGGCGGTGGTTTCCTCCGGACTAAAGAGGAAAAGGACCATCCAGACTGTTCCCAGATCAAAGGTCAAAGCCAGTGTCTGTGATGGTCTGTGGGTGTGTTGGTGCCCATGGCTAACTGTCACATCTGTGAAGGCCTCATTAGTGCTGAGAGGTGCAGTACATACAGCTTTGGGAGCAACATCTGCTGTCGTCAGAGCCCCGTTTTTTTCAGGGATACCCTGATTATTTTAGCAAGACAACACAGAGACACAGTCTGCACGAGTTACAACAGCGAGGCTTCAGGGTCAAAGAGTTCAGGTACTAAACTGGCCTGCCTGCAGTCCACAGTTGTCTCCCACTAGAATTTGTGTAGCATAATAAAATACAAAATACCACAATAGAGACCCTGGACTGTTGATTAACTGAAGTGGTTTTATCAAGCAAGAATGTAAAAGAATTTACCTCCAAGGCTTCAACAGTTGAAGTATCCTCAGTTCACAAAGACTTACTGAGTGTTGTTAAAGGAAAGGTGATGTAACACAGAGGTAGACATGACCCTGTCCCAACCTTGTAGGAACGTGTTACAACATCAAATTCAAAATGAGTGAATAATTGGGTTTTGTTTTAATGCCCCTGAAGGGATAATAAGCTCTTACGTTATCCTCATGTCTGCTGAAGTCTCTCCCTGTTACCTGTAGAGCAGGTTTGGAGACATAAATCACAATAGGTAGAGATAAAGAGGAACCCTAAAGCAATTTATCGGTAGAAGATGGATGTCAATCATACATGATTAAAAAAAGGTATGTAAATATTTGTCGGGTTGCCTAGGTATCGTCGATGTATGGGAAAAACTGATGACGCCTCCTTATCCGTGAAATCTCTGCTGACTGATGTGACTGATACAAAAGAGAAGATATCAAAAAGAAAATATAAATATAAATAAGTCAGGTACTACTTTAACTCTGACACTTGAATGGAGCTGAGGTTAAAGTTAGCTGCACTAACCCCCCCTGCTGAGTGAGACTATAACATCACATGATCATGGCTGTAGTGCAGGAGTTTTATTTGAAGTGACAGGTGTCAGGCTGGCAGTGTTTGCTCACGGTGTAATAACTGGTTTGATATGCTAATGGTGTCCACACAGCTGGGACAATTTTCAGCACAGTGTTTCGTAAAGCAGCTCATGACTCAGTCAGCCAGGACATCATGAAATTTTCCACTCAGCCTCCTCAGGTTTGCTGCGGGGCTTTCTTCCCCTGTGCTTATTCAGTCCACGGTTACAGTGAGAGTTTATTCTTTGGCTCAGTTTCCCTCCATCTGTCTGCTCTGCTTCATTTTAAAGTACTTCAGAAATTATTTCTACCTCCGCCTCGGTCCAGACACCTCTATCCCTAAGTCGATCTTCCGTTCCGTTTTTTTTAATATCCATGTTTTATGAGCATGTCTATATTTGCTTTCTCACCTTTTGCACACTCACATCAGGTGTTATAAAACAGTAATGGGGGTCCATGTATGCTCAGCCCAGAACAGGACAAAGTGTGCCTCTCTATAAAGTCAGGGTGTGGACAGGTGTGTGACCTGAATGTCCTGCTCGAGACGAAAGCTTAGACCAACAGTTCATGTTTGTTTTCTGCAGCCGTGCTTGTCTGTTACTTTAAGGATAAAAATGTTGGTCAGTTGTATCCAAACCATAAAACTACAGCGTCATGAAATTAGGTTAATCGGTCAGGGCAGACATTCACTGTGTCCTTAAAAACTGATGTTGATAATTCCAGAACAGGTCATTATATAATGCTGATATCATCTTATTTGCTTTGCACTGTAAAAGTCTAAGAGCCCAGAAGACCAGTTTCTGGACTTCATAAAGCTCACCTGTTCTAAGGCTCCAGCTCCTCAGGGGTTAGGAGAGTTGGCAGTTCTGGGATCTTGTTCATAAATGTTTTCCACTTTGTTCAGCATGAGTTGAACCTGAATAAATGAATCAAATTGCCAACTGTGTTTCTCTGACAATTCTCCTTTTAGAAGTAATTTTGAGCCCATGTGGCGATTTCTACTACAGAGTCATGGCTTTTTTCGTACAATGCCACCTGAGGGCTCAAAGATTATGGCTGCACAGTTGTGGTTTGGGCTTTTTCCCTTTTTATTCAAAGACTTCTCAAGACTCTCACTGCACAGTAAACAACAAGCCTGTCACCACAGTTAAGGACCAGCATAAGAGTGAAATACGACCCTTTCTTTATGAACACAGGTGTGTGTGCTCACTGCACTTGAGTTCAAAGTCAAAGACAATAACTAAGGAGTGTAAAACCTCTTGACTTGGAGTGAGGATCATTCCTCTTTTTTATCACTTTTCTTCATGTATAAAATTCCATAAACTGTAGATGAGTGTTATTGGATGAGGGCTATTTCAATGGATTTTATTCACCTAAGACTAAGAAATTGGATAATTTCAAAGTGGGAGTGTTTGGAGACTATAATGTTGCTTCACATATTTCAGTGCTTAGTACAACTTTGATTACTAATTTCTTTTTGGCAAAATGATTCACTTTAAAGAGAAAGTTTTGACTGAGTGTTATAACTAAGATATGATTCCTTTTTACTTAAACTAGACTAGAAGTTGGAGTTTTAATTGACTTAAAGAACATCTTTTTACCCTTAAGGTCCTTACACATTGGGAGCATTTTTTTTGTGTGATTATTTCGGATGTCAATATTTTTTTTCCGAACCCGTATCCTGTCAATACAAGCATTCACATTAGCAATGTCTTCCCATCCTGCGATATTACGGCATTTATTTTTTCATATCATGGTCAAATTTTCAAAAGTTTTGCATACTGTGTGTCCACTTCTGACCAATCAGATTTCGTGTTGTTGCGACGTCAGATTCACCGGAATATCCAACATGGCCAACCGGCTGATTAACGACCTGAAGGGCAACTTGTGGAGAGTCATAGTGTCGGATTTCTCATATGACGATGGTTTGTGTGCTTTAACTGTTTGCTAAACGTCTTTGTTTTAACTTTCATCTGTGCTAAGTAACTTTAGCTCGTAAGCTAACCTGTTCAGATACAACATACCATATGTATTTTCACTGTCTCAAACTCAATCGTGTTGCTGTCACAGCACCATTAGGTCTGAGTTGTTACCTTACGTTTATGGATTATAGTTTAATGTGCTTATCTGGTACTGGCCCCGACTCAGTACATGCTATCATGACTGACAGCCATCTCAACACTAGTGTCTAATCAGAACTGAAAAACACTCAGTCTGCTGTTGTGTCAGTCTTCACGCTTCCACCCGGGACGCGTCTTTTTCCCCCCAGAAAGTCGCAAAATCGCATCTGGCTTGATGTGTATAACCAGGCGCGTCAAAATTCGCCTCAGAATATTTTGTAATTTTGCGTTGTATATTTGCGTCGTTCCCGGTAAGGACCTTTACTTTTACAGCATCTCTCTTTCTTCATCTCCCTCTCTGCCCTCTCTAAACCCAGCTCAGTCTCAGCAGATCACTGTCTATCATGAGTCTGGTTCTGCTCAAAGTCTCTGTCTGTTAAAGGAAGTTTTTCCTCTCCACTGTAACTTGACAAATGCTGTTAAAGGTTTCACTCATGGTGGATTAAGACAGGATAAGAGTGGGTGGTAGCCACTTTTATTTTGCAGTGGCACTTCGGATAAACAACAATTTTTGAAAGAAGAAGCAAGCTTTCCTTTTGTAAGTGACTACTTGTTAAAAAGCTGTCTTCCTTTCCATTTTTTTATTCTCTGGATCAGGTCAGCACACCATTTGCACCCTTCTTTATGTAATTGGTCACTTTTTGCTTCAGTATATAACACCAAACTGGAAACAGTCAAGATAACCCGCTCAAAGCTTTCAGATGGTGCTCCTCTGCCTCTACATGTTTGAAATACCAACAGTGTTTTCTTCACCTTTCAGATTTTGTTGCATTGTAAACGTTTTGAAGATGTTTAGTGGGGGTGCAGGTTTTAGCCTTTCGTGGTTCAAGCTTGTGCCCCCCTGTTTGTGGGTCATTTGTGTCTCATTTAGAGAATTCTGACTGAAATAATCGGGCCTGACCTTTTTGTGGCGACAGTCTCGTGACTCACTCTCTTGTGCTACAGAGTCAAACACTCTGATTTATTCAGAAATTTTAACCACAGCCCTGAGTGTTAATGACCGAACAAAAGATCCTTTCTCCTTTTTATTTTAATTTCAACCTTTTCTGTTGTCAAAGAGAACAAATTGTCTTTTGGCCTGACTGGAGTCTCACACTGTGGTATGAGCTGTAACCTTTAGCTGCTAACCGGAGCCACTTCATCAATGCCGGTCTGTCAGAGTGTTGGAGCTGTGGGTGGAGAGCGGCTGTGAAAGTCAGTCTGTGCTGAGGCAGAAAATAATCTCTCCAAACTGAACCAGTTACACAGGACTCTGCTCTGAGGAGCTTAGTTCACAGAGTCTCCTGATTACGACTAAAAACAGAAAGAATTCGAGACGTATGAAGAGTTAAATAAAAAGGCTGATTTAGTCTCATGTTGGTGACATTTGAATGAAGTTAGTTAGCAGCTGTTCATTAGTCTCAGGACCAAAAACAGGAGGAACTGGCTCACCTTATTCCGTGCTCACCTCTCAGCACCTCTAAAACTAACTTAATAATACTTTATAACCTCTTTTTTTTAATCTTTTTAAAAGTGCAGGATAAATCATCATTTCAGACTTGACGTGGGGGTGTAAAGTGCCAGACTGAGCCGCGGCCGATTGCTGTGACCTTCTGTAGTCCCTGCAGGGTTTCTCACCACTTCACTGCAACAAAAAGATGAGAGCTTGTGTTTGAGGTGCTAGCACTCTGTTACCTTTAGCAGAGACAGGCTAGCCGTTCCCACTTGTTTCCTTATCTGCTTAAGCAGGGTCCACACTGGCCCCGTTTACATGGGTAGTTTTCCTCAATCTGATTGAAATCAATCGGATTAAGTGAATCTGATTCCATCTGTATACATGAACTTTAAGTAAAGAGATCCACGTTCAGTCTGCGTTTTCATGGCCCCAGCTGAATCCAGTTGTATTGTATTGTATCAATGGGAATTGTTAATAGGAACCATTGTTTAAGTTCCGTTTTAGAGTTGCGCACGGACGTGTTTGTGTGTGACACCGCCGGAGTTACCAGACCGAGCAGAGTAAGGAACCCTATGTGTTGAAGTTTAATAAAAGTATAATCCAGCCGGGTTACACAGCAAGAAGTGTACGCTTCGTCAGTCGCACGAAACAACACACTTTAACACTCCACTGTCCAGTTTTTCTGTTTGTTCGCCATGTCTGTTTCCGTTTTGGCGCGCTCTGCGTACGTCACTACGTGCCTCTTACGTACTACCGAGCGCTTGCGCAGACCGAACAAGCCTCTCTGTAAACCCAATCAGCTCCACTCAGCCGTATATATGGAGCATGGAGCGGATTATCAATCGGTGTAGACTACCTCTTACAATCCGACCCGAAATACAATCAGATCCGGGTGAATCAGATTGGCTAAGGTGTTTAGATGAGACTTTGAATCTGTTTGACCTTTCAATCTGATTGTAAATAGGATTTTTGGACCCATGTAAACGGGGCCACTGAAAGATAGTCCGGCTGATTTTGGGCCCAAATTCCCCACTTCCAACAAAAGCCAGCAAAGGTCCAATGATCAGATGGCTCCAAAGATTATCTTCCCAGATTATCCTGTGGTATGAAATGTGTCAGGAGGGATTTTTCTACCCTTCAATCTGCCAAGATGATCAAAGCCAAAGACTGGAAGTTGTGAATAATAAACATATCCAATATTTACAGTGATGATGAAGCCATGGCAATGACAGTAAACACAAAGTATAAACTTAGTTGGATGTCAGAATTATTAAACCTCCTCGTAGATACATGCAATAACACAAGTGTCTTCACAGCAGGTTCAGTAAAACAAAGCGCATATTCTGGTCTAAAGGGATTCAGCAGATGCAGAAATGTTAAAGATTGCAGTTCCCTGAGTGTCCACTTGAGGCTGTCTGCAGAGGCACCAGTAACCATGTACACAGTACGCTTAAAAAGATGTTTTTAGAGCAGAAATGAACACATTTGTATTTACCTTGGACCTGTTACCTCAGTATCTCAGTCAGAGTAGAGTTTGATTGAGTCCTCATTTGTTATATCACTTCTCTTTGGGGCAAAACTGAAGCCTGAAAAAGTATCTGCTCCTTGGCCCAACCTGGACTGCTTACACCACTGCAGCAGATGGCACTTTAACAAAAATCTATGGCTGATCGAAGCGTTCATTCATTTCATTCTACAGTAATGGTGCACAGCCCTTCGAGAGACAATAGTTACATCTGTTGTTATGTGCTCTGATAAACAACAGATTAAACTCCTTATGTACGTCTCAAAAATTCATGAAGCCCTTGTATGAGTCTGGAGCACCTCTGTTGTCATGAATTATTCACTGCTTTCTTCTGCATGTGTTTTTGTGTGTTTCTGACTTCATTTCATTTTTGCATCTGCTGCTCTGGCTGTATTTGTTCTTCGCCTACAGTTTCTGGTCCGTCACCATATTCATTTGGGACTTTGCATATGTTTTTACATAATCTAGTGATTTACAGCCTTTTCTACAGATGACAGTTATTGTGCAGATATTGTGCAGTTATTGGCGGTTTACCCTCAGGACTATTGTATCATTTAGTGCTGCGTGGTTTTACCGTCAAGAAGCTGTCATGGCTGTTAGCTGTCAGTCTGTGAATCTTCAGTTTTTGGAGTATCGGCGCTCACGTAGCTCTCCTACAAACTCTGAGCAGTACAGTTATGTGCACAAAGAAACAAAGCAGATAAACTTCATCATCTGATCCGTTTCCTCTCATGAAATGAAACAACACATGAAGCTCAGTGACTCCGAGGACGGGACTCACTGTTCCTAAAGTGTGAATTGAACATGAAGATCTCCCTCCTCTCTAACACTGCTTTAAAAGTTCAGCCAGTTCAATATTTCCTCATGAAGCTTCTTTGATAAACAAATGAAGAATGAACAGATTTTATGACTGAGTTGATAACACCTGGTGGTCCTGAGAGGAAATCAGAGAAGATGATTTGTCTGTAAAAGATCTTGTTTCTCTCCTGAAAATCAAAATAAAATCCCACAAAGATTATTTTCCCCTTCTTATAGGAGAATACAAAGGCAGACAAATAAGTCATTTAAAAGAGAGGAGAAAACTTTTTTTATTTATTTATTTTTAACTTTGCATTTTTAGATCAAAGTCAAGTTCAGCATAAAAAGTCAATATATCAAAGAAAAAGATTTTAATGTTGCTCTCAAACTTCTGACATCACTCTCCAAATTCAGACTTACTGAAGATCATCTTAGGGGAAGAGAGAAAAGGTGTCAGACCACAGAAAAGAGGAAAAGGATGAGACATGGTCTCTGTGTTAACTATCTTTGCAGAGCGCTGCATAGATCTTGAACTGTGTGAAAAAGTCTTTTTTTTTTTCTTCTGCGAACCTCCTCAGTTGAAAAAAAACCTATTTATTTAAATAGATCTTCAGCTGCATTTGTAGTATTTGTATAAATAAGTGTAATAACTATTTGTTCACTGTATACATCAGGTCATTAGGGCCATATTAAAGAATATTTTTAATAATTATTTTGACTAATTTCCTTCGATAATAAAGTGGCAAGAAAATCATGTCATTATGCATATACAGGCTTACAGTTGAAAAAGTAATAGTTGTAGTATAGTCATAGCATCATCCAAAAATGTGCTGAGAGTAAAGTGGAGATAAAGTCGTAGTTTTGGTCTACAGTGAGCCGTCAGCTGTACCAAAATGAGGAACATGGAGCGTGTGGTTTAAGTGTCTCTAATGTTTTGTCACCTCATTGTTATAAGTATCAGGACTGGGCAGAAAGCTAAGATGTGTGGTTTCCCCTTTGGCTAATCTTTGACTCATTTTCCCAACGTAATGACTTAATTCTCATAAGAAAAGGACTTTGACTAATCTTAAAAACAAAAAAGAAGATCTTTAATGTGGCCCAAACACTCTGTCATAACCATTGTTTTATATTTTGCTTGTGCGACCTCTGATCGTTGTGTTTTCTGGTTTTACTCTGACTGCTCTGTGTACGATGTGAAAACATTACTTTGGATCCTAGCACAGATAAAATTGTACAAATGTGATGATTTGATTTTGCTTGTAACTCAAAACTGGCTTTTTGTGCTCACGGGAGAACAGAGTGGAGAGTTTCCAGAAATACGTCTCTGCGGTTGAGGAAACCTGACCTGAATAAAGAAATCCCCATCCTCTTGGTTGTAGTTCCTGTCTGTCACATGATGCAAACTTATGTTCCACTTGCTTTTATGGAGTCTATTGTCAAATAAAACTCTTGTTGATCCGTTTCTTTTCTCCTTGGCTATTTTTACTCTCCATTATTGAGGCCTTTACATGTTTCCCTTTGAATATTTGATAATAAATGATGTGTTTAATCCTAAAATCACCGGCTCTGTATGATTCTGCTTCATTCACAGTCCACGATTGTTTCTTTTTTCAGCCAACAAAGAGGAGAGATCAGTTTTTCTCTGATGAAACGCAGCCTTTCACAGCGCAGACGGCTCTCAGGTTCACACTGAGTCTGTCCTCCTTTCATTATGTAACTGTAACTATTGACTTCATACTGACGTCTTTGTGTTTATTGTTGTGTAAAGGTGTGCACATACAGTATGTACATACTTTTACTTTAACAACACCACCACACACACATACACACACAGGTTGATAAAATGCCTGTCTCTCCTCATGGACACAAACATAATGTGGCAGTTTAGCAGCAGAGTCAAGTTTCACTGCAGAGAGACTGAACAGGAGGCAGACAGAGAGTGAGAAGAGAGGCGCTCTGTGTGTGTGTGTGTGTGTGTGTGTGTGTGTGTGTGTGTGTGTGTGTGTGTGTGTGTGTGTGTGTGTGTGTGTGTGTGTGTCTTTTACTGTGAGAGGGGGCTCAGTAGCAGCAGGTTTAACCTGATCTGTCAGGTATCAATGGAGGATGCTCTCCTGTCAGTGTGTCACACATTTGCACCGCTGCACCTGGAGAAACGAATTCTCTTTATGACTCCAAAGACTGTTTTTAATGGTCCTAATGAAACTTATTTGACCCCCACAAATATTTCCTTCATATCATACATCAAGGTATTGCACATAACCTACATCAAAATATCAAATGACGGTCTAAATTCAGGTAATTCATGCTATCTTGACTTGATGGAAAGTATTTATCTACTGGGACTTTGCATCACAGTCTGAATCTCTGTCTGGCTTGATGTCACTATTATGGCATTATTTTGTTTGTTTTTTTTAGTTTTAAAGTTTAACCTCATGCTGCAGTACACAAGCTCTGGCTGATGATATGTGAATATTCCCTCTAAAGAGACATAAATATTGGAACCATTCAAACCAAACTGCTGCACTGTCAGAGATGTATAAAATGAAATAGGAATGGCATCATTTACTTGTGATTCCACACCTTAGAGCAGTGGTTCTCAAGTCCAGTCCTCGAGGCCCCCCTGTCCTGCATGTTTTGGATGTTTCCCTGTTCCAACACACCTGATTCAAATGATCAGCTCGTTATCAAGCTCTGGAATGGCTTAATAACGAGCTGATCATTTGAATCAGGTGTGTTGGAAAACCACTGCCCGAGAGTGATCATCATTTCACTTTAAAAGTATTTGTAGTTATTCGTCATGTATCAAATATCGCCACTGTGAGCTAGTAACTAGCTTTCCTCAACTAGAAGTAGACTGTAATGCTGTTCGGAGATTCACCTGTACATATTACACTCCAGTTGTTGTTTACCTCCCTTTTCAGCCAGAGCAGGAGTCACTTTTTTACCATTTTTGTCCAGAAGTTTTGGTTCGGTTTTATTCCCCTCTTAGACGGTATAACTCCCAAGTGCACAGGTGTGGTAATGAACCCCATAAAGCAAGAGTCGGAAACCCAGTTTCTGGTGTTCCTTCTGCCCTATTCATACACAGGTTGTCAGTTGGTTGCCTCTCATGAATGTACAATGTGTTGTCCTGTTGTTTTGTTGAGCAGATTTAACAACCTGACAGGATACAGGTCCATTTTTTTTTATTTGTAAAAAAAAAAAAAAAAGGCAAAAGTGACTTCTTTTTGGACCATTATGTCAAGTATTTATTTTGCATTTTTCCCCCTGGACTATTTGGCCGGTGAAGTCTTTATTTGCCAGATTACCCCATGTGAAACCACCTAAAGCCAAGATATCCCAGCTCATGTAAGCCCGAATGACTCTGTCTGCTCTGTCTCATTGGTGAAACTGCAATTCCTGTGACTGTCTCGAGTGGACAGGGAAGATCACAATGCTGCAACCGAGCCTACAATATGATAGACAGCTGTTTTTGTTATTTATCTAAACCTCTGACTGTACACTTTCATGTCCTAACACAGGCACATTTTGTCTTAGCGATACGAACATACAGAACATTTTCTGCCCTTCCCTAAACTCACACAAGAAGGGGGAGAATTGGGATCTCAGACTGGTTTGCTTGTTGCAGCTTGTACAGTGCAGAAAAAGTGCTGATGCAGCAGCTCCTAAACTGAGTTTAACACAAAATGACATGAGCATCAACTGAAAGAGAACACATAATGCATGAACATGTCCATGATTACAGAAAAAGGACTGAGATAGTTCTCAGAGAGCAATAACACCTCCAGAAACTGCTCGATTTGAAATAATAATGCACATCTGAAGGGGCCTGCAAAGATCTGGAGTGAATGTGAATCTTACATAACGTCACATTTTAACTTTAAAGCAAACACACAGTGACAGATAGGAACATAAATGATGTGTTGAACACTCAGATGTTTCTGATTCTTGGTGACGAAAGCCCAGTTAAATGAGACCTTTGTACCAACAGCACACAGATCCTGTGTTTTTACAGTTTGGCACTGAGAATGACAGCTGGCATTCAAAGTATTTAATTGACAGCCAAAAGAGGGTGTTGCTCTTTTCATACTAAGGTCGGGTTTCCTTTACTTGGATGGCTTGGAGTCGGGGCATACTTCAAGATCCTGGGCTTGGTTCTAAGCACACAACACTTTCAGCGAAAAACTGGTTGGTACATGTCCTCAGTTTGGGAGAAATCAACCGCAGACCAACTCTCCAGTGGTTCCTGCAGGCTTTACATCAAACAGCTTTTAAGTGAATTTATTGCTGCAGACAAATTTATAATGTTGGATTAAATCATGAGGTTTTCCCCCAAGGTTCAGGTGTAGTTTTGTCACATCTGCAGCCCAGCGTCTTTGTTCTGATTTACATGATAAAGTGATCCTTGAGTCTTTTTGTGTTGACTCTGTGGTGTTGTCAAGGAGGTCAAAGCACACACATACAGCTAAACTAACGTAGCCTACTGCTTGGACTTTGCATGATAAGACCAGTCTAGACCGTCATCAGGTTGATTCATCATTGGTGTGTCCGCTCATGAAACAGATCAGTGGACTCTGCTTCTGGTACTTTAGAGTCAGATTACACACATACAGCGTACTGCAAAGAAGGTAAACACAAAGACAAAGTCTCACTATGTTCTTGGTCTACCTCGTTTTCTTCCTCCTCTATAGAATCAATTCATTATCAAATTCTGAGAGACTCCAACCTAAGAATTTTTCTCTACTTACTTAGAGAGCCATTATCGAAAAACTCAATGATTCAAGAGTTTTCAAGGTATGCGGGGCAAATTTACTTGATAGTGCCTCTATAATTTTTCTAAATGCAGTCCAAGTTTATTTTTTTAAGTCCGAAAGTTACACGTCTAGGTTCCCAAGAATTGAAAAAAGTCTCCTAAATACTGATAGGACATTGTCCGATTTGAAAATGGGACATTTGAAGGGGTCCCTCAGTTGAGAACTTATCTGACAGACCTCATCCTGTCCACTTCAACTACGTTTTACAACTACAAGAGACTTGCACAAAGAAAAGTTGGAAGTTTGAGTCCTTGGCAAAGGGTGCAGTCATGGCAAATTTGTGCGTTTCAACATCAAACACAAAGTCATTTTTATCTGAGCCATGCATGCTCAGACCGACCCAAACTCACTATGTGTGTTTAGGATCAAAGCATGACCACATTTATATGTTTCATACTTAAAATATTTTCCCAAAGCAGCCATTTCACAGCCTAACACGCATCTCACCTGATGTGTGCAATAATGTGAGGGATCACTCAGTGCAGATTAATTAATTTAATTTCTTTAATTTCCAAGCAGGAAATAAATGCTTTATTGCTACAGCTGGTTCACCAACAGCTGCTGCTTTTTTTTGTGTGTGTGTTTGTGTGTCTCTTCTCCATTTAATGATGTGTACCAACCGGTGTGAAGGACTGCTGCTACAAACTCAAGGTAATACTGTAAGCTTGTTTTCATAACGATATTGTTTCATTTTTCCAAAAGGACAGTTTCCATCAGCACCAGTATAATTGGACAGCCCTAGTCCAGAGAGTGGGATCAGTGTTTAAGCAAATATCAGTTTTCCAGACTATGTTAGGTTTAACTGCAAAGACCTGGTGCAAACTTGTTTTTCAGATTTATTTTTAAGAGCAGGTTTGACAGCTGTTTGAACAATAAAGAAGGAACATCAACACCTGATAAAGGTGAAGAGGTTTGTCTGACATCCATCATCATTCTTATCTGTCAAATCTACCTCTTTCATGATGCTGTTGTGTACTTATGCATCATTTAAGAAAAGACTGGATTGAGCTCTTTGTACAGCTGGAAAATCTTTCAGTCAGTGCCAGCAACGATGCTTCAGAGAACAATGCAGCAAGTCTAGTTCACTGCCAAACTGTTGGGTAATCAAGTTACTCAAACACTTCACTCAGCCTCGCTACTTTTACTTTGTTTAGAGCTGCGACTGCTCCAAAGCTGCTCCTGAGTTAAAGTGCTGATAAATAATATACCACTTAGACTGACTGTGATCCTGCAGATAGAGTCATAATATTAGACTATACTCATTTATCAGACAATGTTGGCTTAAACCTGTCTAGACGGTTGAGATAATTATGCTCCAGTCAAACATGTTGAAGAATGAGGGAGTAAGGAGTTTTGCATTGTTTACTCATCTTTGCACTTTATCTAAAACAGGAGTAACTTTTATAACAGTGGAGACGCTATCTCTGATCTTGATCCAAATCAGTGAGCCTTGTCAAAGGTCTAAGGATTTATGGAGGGAGTAAACTAGTGACCTTAAACAGTAGCTAAATTTCGTTGCAGCCGTAAATACTTTCACCGCTTGGGGAACTGCTTACTCTTCTAATTCTGTTTGGCTGACAGTCTGCCAATGCGCTCTTTTGTACTTTTGGACTCTGGTTTGGGATATTATTGGCCTTCTGGTTCTAATCAGGGTAAAAACTCACTGTTTCAGCACACAATGTTATTTTAGACAATAGTCTTTTTTTAAGGCAGCAACTCCTGTCCGTGCCCTTCCTGATAAAACAATGCAACCTGGGTCCAAAATGAGATCTATGAAGAAGATTTTCCGTCTTTGGTGCGGGAAAACTGGACCAGCCTGTAGAGACGTGGACTTAAATATATCTCTGAGCTTTGGGATGAACTGGAACGAAGCCTGCCAAGCCACTATTTACCACCACGCCATGTATATTTTCGTATTAAAGGTGCAGTGCATAGAAATGGCTTTATTGAGAAACATTTAAGTATCAGGGTCTAGGTTGAAATGCTCACAAGAAGAAAACAAAATGAGTTTTACAGGCCATTGATGGAAATTGGTGGTCTTCTTTTAAAAAGTGGTGCCAGGATATCTGGATCCATATTATTATAACTGTTGATATCCTGAGATTTTTTATTGTGAACTGCAGACATTGCAGCTCCAGTTTGGATGAAGAAAGGCATGTTTTTTTTTAGCTATCTGAGCAGACAGTCCCTAAGTAATTTCATCTCCATCCGCTGCATCATCGTTAGGACAGACAAACATTTATGGTAGAACTTTTCTGTCAAATTTTGAAAAGCATAAACTGGGTCATTCAGAATAATAAAGAGTAAATATCTGAGACAGCTTTAATCTTTTTTATTAGGACTTTAAAAGACAAAACAGTTACTTAAACCTATAGTTACATAAGCATGCAGAAAGGCAGCAGACACGATTCACTCCTGATGAAAGTTTAAAACCAGTCTCGCCACGTCTTGTCCTGATGCTGCTCTCGTCTCTGCCTGCAGTAAAGCCCCTTTTCCTCTCTCTCTCTCTCTCTCTCTCTCTCTGTCTCTCTCTCCCTCACTTGTCACATGCATCAAAGTATTTTTTGACTTTTTTTGCCTCAGGAGTTTTTCTGTTTCTCACCCTCTGCTCACTGAAACTCTCTCGTTTTTGCATTTTTCCCAGTGTGTTGCTTCAGTACAGACTGTTTTCACCAGCAGTGGAAACTTACCGAGTACCTCAACTCAGTTACTTCATGCAACTTCAGTGCACTTTGCTCACAAGTTTTCTGAGTTTGTCACTCTTACATTATTCTATTAGCTTTATT